TTTCACTAAAGACTTAATTCCCATGTACATATTCCTTATATAATTGAAACATTTACCGTTAATACCATTTCTGAATAGCTTATTCCACAAACCGTTTCTCCATACAGTATCAAATGCCTGTTTAAAATCAATAAATGCACAAAAAAGTTTCTTTTTTCTTTTCATAAGGATATCAGATAGAAATTGCAAAGTTAAAATATGGTCTAATGTTGAGTAATTTTTCCTAAAACCTGCTTGATTATTATTTAGAAGGTTAACCTCGTTTGCATACATTTCTAGTCTATTCGCCAATATGCGGGTAAAAAGTTTGCCTAGGCAGCTTAGCAGAGATATAGGACGATAATTTTCAGGCTGGGTTGGGTCGCCCTTATTCTTATATATCGGTCTAACAATACCAATTAACCATTCATCTGGAACGAAACCACTATCAAAAATTATATTAAAAAACTTCTTATACAATGGTAAAAACGTTGACAATGTTGTAGAAATATGTTCATTTAGAATGTTATCATACCCTGCGGCTTTACCATTCTTAAGTTTCTGAATAGCCGCTATTATTTCTTCTTCGACAATTTCACAATTGATAATACTGTCTACATGGTCTGAGTTATCATTTGTATCATCTAATCTAAAGTCGTAATTTTCGTCATCGTTAGCATCATTAGTATTGCCTTCATTCATTTCTTTTAAAAATAGAAACATATCTTGGATTTCAACAGCGCATTTTTTTATCTTGACTTGATGCATTTAAAATTCTCCAATAATCTTTCGGGTTTGTTGAACGTAAATGGGCAAGTTTTTGAGTTAATTTATTTCTGTAACCCTTCAAGCAGTTATCCATTGTTTTCTTGTATTGTTTGCTAGTTGATTTAAGGTCGCCTTTGTTTTCAATTGTTTTATTTCTATTGTAAATTCGCTTTGCTAAATGGAATTTCCTCCTTGCTGTTTTACATTCCTGGTTAAACCAGGGTTTGTTACACTTTTTATTATCCATTGAGGGGTTTTCTATATTTTTTTTCATACCAAACGTTTCTTTTGCTGAATTAACAAAAACTTCACAAATGTTTTTCGCTATTTTGGTAACATCATCCCTGCAAATACTTTCAATATTAATAGATAGTCTATCTAGATCATTTTCTATGGCTAATACAGAACTCACTTCAATATTGCTACGAAAATCGTCTGCTTTGTCCGCACACCATAATTTTACACTTGGTTGATTTTTACCTGTTCTACAACTTTTGACCTCTTTGTTACAATTAGTGAACGAAAAAGTTATTGGATTATGTACATCTGAAAAAAGGTTACAAAAATCAATAATTTCAAAATTTTCCACAATTTCAAAAATATTTGCACTGGCTACAACATAATCAACAGTGCTGCTATTCTTACATGTGGCACTACCTGTATTTTTATCTCTGCCAACCCGGCTATTCACAATATACAAGTCATTATTTTTACAAAAGTCAACAAATTTATGTCCATAATTATTTACAGTACAGTCTTGTACAACTCTTTCTAAAGGAATCTGGTGGTCATTAAATATCGAACATCTAAGAGCAATCTCTGAATGAATCGGGCTATGAGTTACCTGTGTCAAAAATTCGTCAGAAGTACAATAGTCGTGTAATTTACCAATTCTGGCATTGAAATCTCCAAATAAGCATACATATTTACAGTTATTTGCCATGTTTAAAATTTCTTGCTCTATTTCTAAAAAACAGTCGGGAGAGGAATATTTACTCCCTTCTGGTGGAATGTACACAACTCCACATAAGACATCTTCACAAGTATTAAGTAGAAATTTACTAAGTTTGAACCAAAAAATGAATTTACAATCTGTTTTCAAAATATTTACATGTTTTATAATATCGTCTCGTACTGCTATAACTAACCCACCAGATCTTCTATTTGATAATTTGTGTCTATTTTTCATGAAAACTGTGTAGCCGGTTATGTGTATATTGTCCGAATCATCGGTTTTAGTCTCTGAAAGACCTATTATGTCATGCTTAGAGATGAAATCGTAAAACTCTGGATAATTAAGTCGTTGTTTAAGTCCACATACATTTAAGGATAAAATTTTCAGGGATTTGTCCCTGTCAGTTTGTTCTCCCGCGATTTCCTATGCCTGCTCAGGTGTAGATCCCTGTCGCTGTCGTTTTAGTGCCTGGCGGTCGGTATTTTGCGGCGTGCTCTGTTGATCCAGCGGTTGATAACTCGAGGTCGAATTCCAGGTAGGTAACGATTGTACAGGTGCGCTGGGCGCGGATCCAGCTGATGGTATGTATTCTTTACCGTCGATGTACAGCGTGTCTTTCACAAGCTTGGCGCGCTTATGATCTTTCAATGCTTGCCGAAGAACCGGATAGAGTTTTCTTCTTCTTTCCTCAATCTCAGGAGGGAACTGCTCATTTACCCAAACATTACTGTGTTTTAATTTTTGCGGTGCTCGACTGCGGATGAACTCTCTATCTTTGTAAAACGTAAATTTTGCGACAATATTTCTTGGGTGTTCACTAAACTCGTTCCATTTTCCCATTCTATGTACACGTTCAAACGAGATTTCGTAATTTAGTCTATATTTTCTTTGGATAAAATCTTGAAGAACAGCTTCAGTATCCTCGAATCTCCGTTCTGGTATTCCTGAGAAAATAAGATTGTCTCGCATAGAGCGCATTTTGAGGTCTGTAACTGAGTTTTGTAGAGCCTCGTTAGCGTCATTCACAGCTTTTAACACATTTTCGGTTTGTTTTTGGGTACGAAGACACTGCTCTGTAGCTTTCATATTGCTCACAATTTGGTTCTTGTTCGCCTCAGTTGCATCTTTGACTGAATCGAAGACATTTCCCAGTGCTTTCATATCTGTGTCAAAGTTTTGAACATCATTCTTCACACTTGTTACTCTTTCATCAAGTTTTGATACTTGCGATTTTAGCATATTTACAGACCCTTGTAGTTCATTAAAGGAGGCCATTTTATTTTCAATAGCACTGAGTCTGGATTCGAGTGAATCACTCCTGTGTTGGATGTCCGTTAATTTACAGTTCATTTGGGTCAATAGGGTGTGTATAGAGGATAATGTGATTTGATTTTCTAGCTCTTTATCGTTGTCACATTCCGACTCTGGCTTGCCGTAAATTACAGAATGGCTCTCTTTTAGAATATCAGATGTTTCAGACATTTTGGTACAGGATGACAAAGACAAGGACAGAATCAAAATCACATAGAGATAACAGACACGGATCAACAACATAGAATGTACGTACGCGTGAATGTACGTGAACTAAACTCACAGCTGAACTCAAACTGGCTACACATAGCACAAACAAATCACAAAGAAACTATCGATTTGACGTTGGAATTTACCAAAATTGTACAATAAATGTCTTCATCAATGAATATCACGTATTCTTGCACATTTTTTTTTTTTGTTCTTATGCAGTAAAATGGTATAATTTTAAGAATTTCACCGGAGCCCAAGTTGAATCGACTTACCGGTCCGATGACCTCTGACCTTTTTTCACCTCAATATCAGATGTCTGCGTGGACTATTAAACAAAAGTCAACAAATGTTATTACAGTGATACTTAGTAATGTACATACAGTCATTAAGTATAGATAATTTTATTTTTAATTACCTAACTTTTCTATCGTCAAATTCCCTTACTTATGCACCAAAATATCTTTATCTTCATCTCCTGCATACGGAGTTAATGAATCTCAGTTGATTCGATACGCAAGAGCATGCTCTTTGTATGAACAATTTCTAAAACGGCTTAAATTATTGACAAACAAGTTGATGAAACAAGAACATCAGACGTCTCGTTACCCAATTGAATGCCTAGTTCTTCTAGAAACCTGATCCCACTATTAGTGTTTCCAGGGGTCCATGTATCAGCTCTACTCCCGATGGGAGGCTTAGTCCTTTTAGACATCTGACCCCTGTATTGGTGTTCCCGATGGAATGATAAGTCCTTCTGGACACTTGACCCCGCTATTGGTCTTTTACTTTTGTTCTCAATTGGATCTAAGTCCTTCTAAGACACCTGAACCCATTAATAGTGAAATCTCTACCCAGAGTTATTGTTCCACTAATACATCTGTTAACGTCTAAAAAGTTGCACAGAAAGTGGAGAAAAGTGATTTTTTTTTCAAATGCTGTTTGAAATACCCCACAGGAAGATTAACACCTTTACATTTCTACATGCTAGTATGTACCAAGCTTGCTGCAAGACCTTTGTTTAAAATTTAAAAAAAAATCATGTTGATATTTATCGGCAATGCGTTTTAAATTTTCCATGTTTGTAATACGAGTATTTGCTGGAAATAATCTCTTGTATTATATAGTGAAAAGCGATATTTATTTTTTAATTTTCATAAATCAACTTTCATTCAAAATTTAAGGCTAGAATATAGAAGTTTTGCATTTATAATTTATTATGAAATAGGTAAAACTAAGTTTTGCCAAGAATCTAGGTATTTAGAGGTTGACAGAGGTGTAGCAGCGTTTTATACGTCCTCTGGTGAGAAATTAATGATAGTGTGAATGCCGATATATGACAATTTAAGCAACAACTATTGTACACGATAAGACAATCGTTGACTGAAGTTACTTAAAAAGGTTAGCCCTAATTTTCACACTGAATTGTCTACTTTTTCCCGTTTATCCGCTCATGACAAAGGGCACACGGTAGGAGCCACCGTTTTCGACAGGGATGCTTTACATTTCAAGACACCTGATCCCACTCCCAATGTTTTAGAAGTCGTCCGTTTTTGCTTTGCTCTATATTTGTATTGTTTCAATGATTTTGTGAACTTAATAAGTGATCATTATCCAAATCTTAGCCTATGTTTGTAAATTCAGTGATGGGAATGAAAATATGAGCACGTGTTTGAAAATAGTTCTTAAAAATAAATCTATGCATGTATCATGATGGTTAAAACAAAACGTTTTTCTAATACGACCTACGCTTTTTATTATAGAATTTTAATTTCAGAGGAAGGTTAAGGAGAGACATCCGGAGGAGCGAGCAAAAGAGAGTTACCTCCGAGGAGAGGCATTACACGCTGCCAAATCAAATAGCCAGATTATCAAAACTACGTCAGAACTTCGCACGACGAATTAGCACCCTCTGGATGGACCGGGAAGTCGCAGACGGTGAATCTGTAGGAAACAGCAGAATAGCGCAGAATTCTCCCAGAAAAGATCGGAATGTACGCATGCCCTCGCCGACACCGTCCCTTACAGATAGGCCGTACATGGATATGTCGTCCTTGACCAAGGCTCATAGAGATTCTGAGAATCCGAAACATTTTGATGATCATGATGCCGTTACCACCAAAGGATACGTTAAACCAGACCGGAAACCCCCTCCTGTGCCTCCAGTAAGAATCCATCCTAAACTGCAAAATACCGACGGACACAGTAGTTTGAAATTGAAAAATATTTCAAGCCCCACGGGTGAACTGGGGTATTACAGTCCACAAATGCCTGTAAAGTTTCAGGCTATTTCGTCAATGCCAGGCCCATCGCCATATAGCACATGCCAACAATGCGCTATGGGTCACTTTGGTCATGGTTGTAACACTATGATGCAAATGCCGATTCAGCATTCACCAGCCCCACAAACCATGTACAACAATCAAATGTACATACCCGAAGAGCTTTGTCACCCCGTAGGTGTCCGAACATACAGCCCAGGTCCGGGCATGACCGTAAGGAGTCCGCCTTGGAAAGGCAGCATGGGCCACGTGTATTACCACGGAAATATGCCCTATAATCAGTGTATACCAGAAGTGACGGAATTGAGTGAGAATGACACTAGCGGCGGCCAGTTTTTTGGACATCAGTATTTACTGAACAGTAGAAGTCCACTTTTGCATGACCATGAAAGAATGAATACAAAAGCTGACAGTAAGTTATATGATAAACCACTGGAACATGAGCACACATACAGTGACGTCACTGAATTAGAAATGGAACGTCATCAAAATCACTCTTTGAAACAATCATACGCACCTGAACAGCATGTGAAACAATCGTACGCACCTGAACCGCCTGTGAAGCCATCTTACGCACCTGAATCGCCCGTGAAGCAATCGTACGAAACTGAACCGCCTTTGAAGCAATCGTACGTATCTAAACCGCCTTTGAAGCAATCATACGCACCTGAACCGCCTGTGAAGCCATCTTACGCACCTGAATCGCATGTGAAGCAATCATACGCACCTGAACCGCCTGTAAAGCAATCTTACGCACCTGAACCACCTGTGAAGCAATCTTACGCACCTAAACCCCAGGTGAAGCCATCGTACGCACCTGAACGGCTAGGTAAGTGATTAATGAAATTAATTATATATCCTATACGCAATGCTTTTGCCATTTACTTGTTTATTGAAGTCCATCATTACATTTTCGGAACGTCAGTCAGCAGCCAATGGGACAAGTTAATTATTGTCTTATGCCCATGAGGTATTCAGCTATGACGCTATCAGAAGTCACATGTTGATAACCTTCAGAATAATCTTTCTTTAATTTGTAGGCTTTAAAGATTCACAGAAGAAACATGTCCGCATGTCTATGGATTTAAAATGATTTAAAAAAAGGAAACTACTTGCCCTGTCATTGCAAAAGGTTTTCCATACTCGGAAAATATTGTTTTAGCAGTATATCTCGAGTATCTGGATACTTCATGAATCAGAATCTGATTGTTATTACCGTAATATATTTTCTTGGACACGCCCCGTCTGAGCAAATTGTAAAAGGATAAAAAGCATGTACTACTTTTTGTTTGTATTATCTTAGACGGTATACATTTATTAAAGCTACGCATCGAGGATTTCTAGGTACATGTAGAAATAGCTGTGAGGTATCTTTTGAGGTTCAGTAAGTCTTTTGGTCATATTGATTACATTTATTTTATAATAAACAAGTCTGAAACGATCTTATTTTCAATTCTACTTGTATTTTTAAACAAATAAAATAAAATACTTATTAATCTCTTTGTCGTTATTTTTGCTTAACCTTAATAAAAAAACATTTTTAAACGCTAAAAATATTTGTAAAACTTGAAAACGGACACTTTTCCCACAAACTTTTTAAGTACAATTTTTATTGTCACTTGAAAAGTTATGCAAGATGGCTTCGTGTCATTAGAGCCTCTGTGAAAATCATGGCCAAGGAGCACACGGCGGGTGAGACCAGTCGGCAGGGGATGCTATCTCTTCCATGGCACATGATCCCAGCTCTGAAATTTTAGAGGTCTGTGCTTGATTTGCTCCTATTTTGTTTAGTTTTTTTGACCTCGTTATTTCCGTTTATATTTTAATTTTTTACTCATTTGGACGAATACCACGGTAATCACTGCTGGGCACTGATTACACTCCTTTATTACCCAATCTTTTTTTTTATATTCTAACGATGAAATAAATTAAAACTTACTCTGATTTCAACATTATGTATATTTGGTTTACATTTATGGACTGGCGTTTTGTCTGACTCCAGTCTAAATGTTTGAGTTCATAATTTATCCAATATTCGAAGCAGATTTGTGTCAAATGAATGCTAAGAAACAGAATGACGTTTAAGGTACACTGATACTCTGATAAGAGAGATAACTGTTAATGACACAAATGTCTATTATTCCTTTATAAATTTGTCAAGTTGAAGTGCCTTTTTTGTCAAATTTTGCCCCGCAAGCCATGATAAAATTGTTTGTATTTTATTTAGCATATACTTTTCTTTTGGAAAATCATAAAAGTTAAAGAAACATTTTATATGAGTAAGCAGAGGGTTTATGAACCTTAAAAACGTCATAGCGGTCCGATACTGTAATGAAAGGTCTAAGGTCTCATTTTGTGGTCCAACGTGTACCTTTTTGGACCGCTTAGTAATAAACCTAGCGAATTTCTATATACAAGTAAACTTCAACATTCTGCATAGTGGTTGTTAAGATTTTTGAACAATACTGACTTATCTTTAATCAATCATCCAATTAACGAAATCTTAATTCAAAATGTGAACAATATACAGACGACAGATAACACACTCTTCAGTCAAAAAAGCTAACATGAGTCTTTTGCTCAGTTGAAGACAAATAATTCAAATCAAGTTCGATTTATTTCTCTTTCAATATTTTAAAACATTCTTGCATGTTTCGAGTAACATAAATTTTCAAATTGTTTCTTCAATTGAAAAAAAAAAGCACATTTTAGGTACAAAAAAAAATGGTATAAAAATAAATATTTCACTGAATTCAAGTTTATCGACTTTATAAAAATAAAATGACAAGATAACAAATTATATTAAATCTCACTGATCCAGTAAACAAAAGAAATCGTAAGCAGGGCCAAAACATCGAACCCTGGAAACATCTGACATAGGATCTTATGTTATCTACTGTTCACCGGTCACACACGCCGAGGTCGTTTATCTGGGATACATAGAACTAGTACTTCATAGGCAGTAGAAATGAAATGAATCAGTGTTTTCAAACACATCAGACAAAAAAAAGATCACAAGGATATGTTGTCTTTACAAAGTCATTTAAAGACCGTAGAATTTGGGACTTATTTGTCTGTAGCTCACCTCCGTTAAAAACTTTGCACTCAGAGCATGCTCCTGAATATCAAACTGTTTGTTCTAGTTAGTGTACGTATCAAGAACAATATTCATGCAAGTTTGATTAAAACAGGACTTATAACTACTAGGAAATGAACCTGCTTTAACCTAATGAAGGAAACTTCTGTCAGGTTTAACATCTTAAGCATGTCTGGAAGTGTCCATCCTTAGATGCACCATCCATGCAAATCAAAGCTTTACAGACATAAGATTATCAGGCTACTCCAAAACATAACCCTGGAAACTCATTTGGATAAGGTTGGCCATATTCAGAATCCAAAGCAAGTCTGGAAGTGTCCTTCTCTAGATCTATACAAAATGTCAAAATCTATGCTTATTTGGTTAAAGTATGGCTTAAAATCATTCAGATCAGATCTAGCACCCAAAGGAGGTTGGGTAGTGTGCATCCCTAGATGTACATGTATCATCCAATAAAAAAATTAGTCCAAGAAGGGCTTCAAGTTACTCTGGAATCTACCTTTGACATAACTCATTAAATGTTGGGATGGAAAGCTACCTTTTCATTTATCCCGGACTGGAACCAATCACCTATATATACTGACACACTAAAGAAACGCAGCACCCTACTTTAGGGGGAAATAATTATGTAAAGTAAAGAATTTTGTACCTTAAAATTATGGATATCTTCAATTTAGTAAATATCAATAATTTAACGGTTGAACGATTTTCGTACCATAACCGGAAGTCAAGTTTGAGTCTGCTTAACAGAAATAAAAAATTGCATGTTTATCAAAACATTTGGCAATATTATGGAGTTTTAAGCGTTAGTACTGTTCATCTTAAGTAATGCAGCAATATTTCAAAAAATAAAACCTCCTTTCATTTCCCGTAACAATGCTAAGGCTTCTCGAAAATGGCTTAAGTACGCATTTCCATTGCTCTAACTGGAAAATCTCAACGTAAAGGTGATGGAGAGTTTATGATGCAAAAATACACTGCATTACACCTCAATGGGGTCTTATGTATCATATGCATAAATGATAGTCCTTGGACCGGAAGTCCAAGGGTTACAACAATGTGCTAAGTTAGAGAAAATTCGACCTAATCATCTGAAAAACAGGCATTTAAAAATGGCAAAGAATAATTCATTCGCTCAGATCTCGATATTGATTAACCTATTGTATCATAGAAATTAAGCTGCAATTATTGTTTAAGGCAGTCTTGCACATTGTAATTGAATGGCTAGGAGGGAGGGGGGGTGTTTTAACAGTCATATGTTACTTAGTAAAGTTAAAAGAAAAACATTTCACATTTTTATCAAATCTCTGATGTTCTGAAAAATGAGTTTAGCCTTACTGCATTATTTTTTGAAAATCATTAGATAAAAAATTCAAACATTTGAAGATAACTGTTTGTTGCGTTTCTTTTGCGTGTCAGTATATAAGAACATCACTCCTGTGGGACTTGTCTCTCACTGAAAATCCAGCCTGAATTGAATGAGATTGGCACTATTCTGTATTATTTCTGAAACAAATCCACCTCTGGCGGTAGTCTGACCCATTCCCCTATCCCTATCATGGCACAGTGCTGTCGGAAGGCATGTTTTGCAGTCTGATATGCCTGACTAGATTGTTTAGCTGCCGAGTACGAGGCAAAGTTTAACAGCTGATGCTGTTTTGTCACTTTTGATAACTCTTTAAATCTGTGTAGAAACCCTGCCTTGCACAACCTGCTAGCTCCAGTAGGACCTGCTTGATGTGGGGACCTGAAAAAATATATACATTTATCAAAGACTTATCTGTTCATTTTTTTTCTACATCACACCAAAAAATTCTAAATTCATACAAATGGTTAAAGTAATATGTAATATGGTGAGTACCTTGCAGTTAACTAACTTACTACCACTCTTTTGCGGGGGAGTCTGGAAAGCTCTAAATCTCGCAAGATTTCTGGGGCACATGATTTACAGTAGTGACAATTGAATGAATCAAACAATTTTATGCCCAAAGTACACATACATTGTATTTCCAAGGATTGAACTCCAAATAGCATTTTGTCAAATTAGGAAACTTTAAAATATTTTTATCAGCTTTAAAATGTGAACATTTTCAATGAAAATTAAATGAGAAGAGTTCACTTAGTTAAAAATGTCCTTAAAAATGCAACATTATAGGATAAGCTCCACTCAAAAAGGCTAGTTCAGCGATTGTTTAGCAAGGTATTCCATCAGAATTTTTTTACTTATCTGTCCTTATTTATAAATTCTACAATGATCGATCTTGCATTGTATTCAATAGCACAGTTGCCCCCATTCAACAGACGTTTCCTACCTTCATCGAAAAAGAGTTCTGCTAAGTTAAGTAATCGCAATATCAAGTAGATGTATTAGTAAGATAATCTTGCTTTTTTCACTGTTTTCTGCTAGGACTTCCAACAAAAATGATATAAACAATCAAGAAAAATGGCAAGGTTGTGTACATAGCTTGTTAAGCACATTTATCATTAAATTTTAAATCATATAAGAAAATATTATAGCTGTTTTGTTTTTCAGTCAATGCCCCTATTTAGCATATGTATCCTTCTTCTGTAAGCATCAATAGTCTCTGTTCTACATAACACACTTACATAGGGTCTGTCCTTCCGCTGTACGCATTAACAATCTCTACTCTCTCATCCCCCTCAGACCAATTAGCACTGAGAGGAGTAGGTTGTGTCCCTTTAAATGGACAGGCAAGGTTTGGGTGGGAGAGAACTGGGTGAGTAATTGTGTACTTGGGGGGTAAGGATTCCTGTAGGACATCATAAACACGGCAACAAACGGCTCGACAGAAATGTCCATGGTCATAAGCTTTACCTATACATTGATATAAAATGATACATGAAGCAATACTTTGTAAGCTATAATGTTAATTTGAATGTCAGCTGCATAGTGTCCTACCTAGTTTTAAATTTAAATAATACCAAACAGGATGTTACTGCTTCAAAAAAATGTAGTAAATATCATCACAATGATAATCATTGCAAAGTGAAAGATTAAGCTCAAGGCATTTGTTATTTCCCAATACAAACTTTACCCTCCATTTATACTTTCAAATAACTAACATCCAATAGTCTGAAGTCTTTTGTATAAAATTAACCTTACCTACAATGATGGATGATAAGTACACCGGTGACATGAAGTAGCTGAGGAGCGCCCCCTGGAGGCCGCACACGTTCCACTGTAACAGTTTGTCACTACAGGACATGACCAGGAGGTCTTCACCAGCCTCGATCTCACTCGCCACCTGAGGCTTCTGATGCTCCTCCACTGGCTCAACCATACCTACAACATATAACACACAATACAGTGACTCAACCATCCCTACAACATACAACACAATACAGTGACTCAACCATACCTACAACATATAACACACAATACAGTGACTCAACCATCCTTACAACATACAACACAATACAGTGACTAAACCATCCCTACAACATACAACACAACTCAACCATCCCTACAACATACAACACAATACAGTGACTCAACCATTCCTACAACATACAACACAATACAGTGACTCAACCATCCCTACAACATACAACACAATACAGTGACTCAACCATCCCTACAACATACAACACAACTCAACCATCCCTACAACATACAACACAATACAGTGACTCAACCATCCCTACAACATACAACACAATACAGTGACTCAAACATCCCTACAACATACAACACAATACAGTGACTCAACCATCCCTACAACATACAACACAATACAGGGGCTCAACCATCCCTACAACATACAACACAATACAGGGGCTCAACCATTCCTACAACATACAACACAATACAGGGGCTCAACCATCCCTACAACATACAACACAATACAGTGACTCAACCATCCCTACAACATACAACACAATACAGTGACTCAACCATCCCTACAACATACAACACAATACAGTGACTCAAACATCCTTACAACATACAACACAATACAGTGATTCAAACATCCTTACAACGTACAACACAATACAGGGGCTAAACCATCCTTACAACATACAAAACAATACAGTGACTCAACCATCCCTACAACATACAACACAACTCAACCATCCCTACAACATACAACACAACTCAACCATCCCTTTAACATAATAATGGCTCAGTACTCTCATAATGATTTATTGATTTAACAAAAAAAATATGGGTCTTCAATTAACATGATCAACATACTCAAGCATAATTGCAAAAGCCCATCTCTGATCCCACAATGACATCCCCTTCCTCGGATCCCAAACTGATAGCCCCTTCTTCAGATCCCGCAGAGACAGTCCCTTCCCCAAATCCTACAGACAACCCCTTCCCCGATCTCACAGTGGCAGCCTCTTCCCACGGTCCAATAGTGACAGTCCCTTCCTTTAATCCCTCGTGACAGTCATTCCCCGATCCCACAGTGAAATTCTCACCCCAGACCCATAGTGACAGTCCATTCCGATCCCACATTGACAATCCACCCTCAATCCACAGTGATAGATCCTGCCCCAATCCCACAGTGATAGACCCTTACCCAGTCCCACAATTATAATCCCTTCCCCAGTGACAGCCCCTCCCAGATCCCAGTGACAGTCCCTTCCTCAATCAAACAGTGACAGTTCCTACTCCAGATCCCACTTTGAAAGCTACTCCCCAATCCCCAGTGAGAGTCTCTTCCCTACATCCCACAGTGACAGCCCCTTCACCTGTCTGATAGTGACAGCCCCTCCTGTGATCCCACAGTGACAATCTTTTCCCCAGATCACACAGTGAAAGCCTCTTCCCTCAATCCAACAGTGAAACTGGATCACACAGTGAAAGCCCCTTCCCTCAATCCCACAGTGAGTCCCTGCCCTAGAACCCACAGTGACAGCCCCTACAAGAGATCCCACAGTGACAGCCGCTTCCCCAACTTACCATCCTCATTCTTTGTACAGAACCAGCCCGGCAGGTCTTCGCTGAAGGTTGGTACATGTGCACCCTTACTGACCAAACCTTCTGTTGTGGGTGTCAGGGGGCGATTAGGTCTGTAAAAAAAATTACAATTCATACTTACAAACCAATGATACTACATGTACAATTGCATTATATAATTACAGTTCTAAATCAAATACATTTCAGAGGTTTCACAAGACTAGTTTAACTTGTCTTTGCAACTTTATTTAGTTCATGAGAAGGGTGAAATGTGTTCTGCATCCAAATACAGGTAACAGACCTGCATACAAAAAATACTTTTACTAGCATTTCAACATGCGCTTGGAATGTTAAGAGTTCTTGATGTCTGGTACATATTTAAAGCTAACAGGAAATGGCACTGCTTTCATACAATTGATTCTCAAACTGTTTATTTCCTTCCTGTGCTTAGAGAGTTAAACAGAAATATTGATAAATTTTCCCTGCTTCACATGAGTTTTAAAAGTACTTCAAATATAATATTTTTTTTTATTTACCGACACAAGAAAACAAATTTAGAGCAACTAATTGTCACTATTGAAAATATTTACCACATCAAATAAAACAATTCGCAGTGTTTAACACTCCCATCTTCCTATCTGTTTATGCCTTTTACATATGAACACTATAAATTTTTATTTGTTCTATTTAATAAGCATATAAAGCCATTTATCAGTTAAAAGTAACATAAATAAATTCTGATATTCATCAAACGCTAAACTTGCTGAACTTGAAGCATTTCCTGTATACAGTACCAAGTCTAAAAAGCTGACTTGTGGCCAGACAACTGAAGCGATGAGTTGTTGTTATACATGTACCAGAAATCATAAATGGCATTTAAAAATCAGGACAAGGGGGATAACTCCTGATGCTTTGAATTCTCTTTATAAACCCAATAGCAATAACAAAATATGAAAACCTCTTAAGTATTAAATGTATTTGGATGAAATTAAACAGGATTTTATTTAGAATAAACAGTTGTAGTAGGCAAAATTCTCACAGCTTGGTGCTCATGCAAAAATGTACTGACACACAATTTACCAAATAATTCTACATAGTAAGTGTAATCCTTACTGAGGAATTAATCCAGACTTACAATTCATCTACCTAGTAAGCGTAATTCTCACTGATAATTAATACAGACTTACAGTTCGTCTACGTAGTAAGCGTAATCTCCACAGCTCGGATGACTCATGTAAAGATGGATAGAGACGTGGTCCTTTAACTTCAGACTGTGTGATTTCTCCGACTCCTGCTCAAATATAGACAACACCTTACTGCCCTCATAGTAACTCTTGGCCTCCTTATACAAGTACCTACAACATCGGTGTAGTCAATAATCAAATCTTATTCAAAAGTCATTTGATTTTACTTTAGATAACATACACTGTACATTCAAATGATAGTTTCTAGACTGTTTCAACAGTCAGGGGCATCATGGAATCAAGTTCTTTTTTAAAATAACTTTTTTAGGTTACTGCACTTATTTATGACTATACAAAGAAGTAACTCATTTGAGTTAACTCTTAAAAGTAGAATACCTATCAGTTTTGCCAAAAAACATCAATATGTTGAGTTTTCTGCCGATTAAAGATGATGTAAGGCTGAGAAAGTTGTAAATATATGTACTTCTTTTAATAAACTTAACAGACTTAATATCTCCTAAGCAGTTAGGATGATATTAAAAATATATGACTTTTTTAAAGGAAAAATAATTTCATTTCATGAACATTTCAGGGGTCAATTACACATCTTCTGCCAATTTGCCAACACTGAGACTAATTTTCTTATAATCTTTGGACATTACTGTACAATCTCTAAGTCTTACATTTTTTGTGCAAAGCTGTATATTTTTGTGCAAGAGTTCTAAAGTGAGGTGGGTTAAGGATGAAATAACAGAAATAAGTTATGATTTGTGGAATTTCAGTGTGCTAGATTGTAAAGATAGATTACTTTTCCCTCTACTTAATAACCCAAGCACAGCATGACTAGAGCCTTTCAGATGCCAGTAGGTTTACAATAATGAATAGTAAAGTATCAATAACTGGAATAAGTAACTGAAGAAAAGCATAATCAGGGAAAGATAACCCAAAATGTTGACATTTAATAACTTAAACAAATCATTTCAAAGATAACTTGTTTCCATGATGCCCTTGACTGTTCAAAGAAAACAAGGCTGCATGATATTTTAAAGATGTTAAAAATGAGCATGTACAAAATTTGATCATAAAAGTTTGTGACAGTTGACACAATGATGATAATAACGTATAAATACTTAAAACCTTCAACAGTGATGAGGGTTTTCCAATTAAACCAGCCATGCAATGAAATACTGTAAACCAACTTTTATTTGTGTTGACTTTATTTCGCCATAATTAGCAGGGTAAACTAGTCCTTTAAGATGAATTTTTTTTTTAATCTGTTGTTTACATACACAGAGACATTTAAGACCTATTTCTGGTGAGAAATACTGGCGATGACCAGGCTCTTGCAAACCTCAGGAAAATTTCTCAGAGGCAAATAAAAGTACACCCTAGTTTTGATTTACAGTAATTCATTGTCACAGGTATAGCTCATATGGCTTTAATTGTGTCTTTAATTTGTTTTAAAAATGTCAAACACACAGAATGAGTTGACAGATTTTATATCTAAATTGAAAAGAACTTTGAGTACATGTCCATATCTGCTATCCCATCAATCAAGAACAATGCTACATCTTTAAAACTGATTTAAAATAAACGTGTTTTCTCTTGCATAATTTCCCAACTATACATAAGGATCTCATCTGTCACAATTTAATACATTCTCAAGTGTTACTTTTGCATAAGTATTAAAATCATTAAATTCCCATGTCCTGCATGAACATGGAAAAATACTTAAGGTAGGATTCTTCTCTGGTTTCTGACTAGATGAAACATTCAAAGTATATTTCCTTATATGTCTTATATATTGAGGTGTAAGGAAATTAAAAGACCATATTTTTCTTCATCACAATTGTACAACTTTAAATAGAAATGTTAAACTGTGTTTGAAAACTAGCAGGGACTATATTTTTGGTGGAATATTGGCGTATGAAAATATTTTCTTTTCTGCCTCTCAAAATTATAATAGAACAATGAATTTAGTTATAATTTTAACACAATCAAAGGCTTGAAGAAATTTCAAATGTAAGTTTAATTAATAATAAGGGACTAAAGTTTCAAAATATATCAAATAAATATGATTTTTCAAACAAACTAGAACTTTATTAGCTTTAACGCTTCCTATCAAAGTGCAGATTTGAGCCAAAAATCCATAAAAAGTATTTTTTCTGTCTTAGTAAACGATCAAATTTTTTTGTTTTTGTATCATTTTGTATATTTATAAGACTACTTTATTATATGTGAAAATAAGAAAAAGTTAAATATAGGAAGCATATGAAAATAACTAATATATCCTAAAAATTAAGAAAAACAGAGAAAATTCGGATTAGCCAAATATCCAGTTAAGTTAAATTATTTATGTAAATTTGGTAATATCATTCTATAGACCCGATATAGTAATATGTTTTTCTGCAAAAAGAACTGTCATTTAACTTTTGAAATAGAAGTAGGTATCACATGATTGGCAACAGTTATTTTTTATTATTAATGTCAAGGAAAAAGATAATGACCTTGACCTGACCTTGCCTCTAATATAACACGGTCAAATCTAATCTCATTGATATCATCACTTACTGATATTGTCTTCTTGATTCTGTGAAAATTTCATTAATTTTTAAATATTAGAAATACGAGAAGAATCCTACCTTAAGATTATTAAGTTTTTTTTATTTGTGTCTCATAAATAGATAAAACTTCAACTGAATATGCATAATAATTCTCATAAAAAATAAGATGTGCACTTTTTCTGAATCTCAAAATTGGAAGCTGAATTGATATATTAATGTGTACTTTGGAACCCGATGCTACGACTCAATATTTTAAAGTTGTTAAAACTGAGAATCTCCCTTGGTGCGCTCTTTCGTTACAGGAGGGGAGTTTCGTTGCCGCGTAAACAAACAGGTGGGACAACTATATTTGATGTTTATATATTGGATACATTGTATCATCGATATACTGGTTTATCATACTACATGATTGTGATGCACTCTACATTTCGATAATAACCGAATTAATTTAAAGAAGTTTTTTTTAAAGTTAAAAAATCGTAACAAAAAAGAAAATGTCGGTGGATGTGAGACTTTTCAGACCTCAGGGAAGAAATTAGGACCTCTAATAAAACCGGTACACATGCATCTGATCATTGTACAGGCGATCTAAATGACACATTGATTCTTTTCTTTATTATAATTTCAAAAAACACACAAACTTTAAAAAAAATTGAAAAGAAAGTAAGGTTGTACGATCAAGAAAATCGGTTACTTTTTATTAAGACTATGACGTTTCTTCTCGTTTTCAAGTACCTATAATTTAAAGTAGATTTGTAAATATGCATAAGTTGAACTTGATAAAATCATCAAATGCATCACTGCTTAATATCATTATCTTTTTATAACATTTAATAAATTTTAAAAGCCATAAATATCGTTCATTTACTTATGCACGTTTGTGTAAAAAATAAGATGTGCACCTTTTCTGCCGAAAATGGATACTTTTTGCGCCTCTATCGATAGATTACATGTGTACTTTGGAACTGGCGTATTAGGGAAAGCCTTACTTCAGAAAGGCCCTCCTCGCCATGGCAACGCTATGACTGTCCACCAGACATCTGCCGTCCCGCGTAAAGCTCTCACTGGACAGAGTACGACACCCCGTCCCCATAGCAACCACGTCCCCCACAGAGTCACCTGGTACAAAACAGTCAAAGTCCAATAACTCCAAAATACAATAAATTAATGATAAGTAAATAAAAGAAGAAAAAAAAATTGAACTGACAGAATATAATTAATCATTTCATCTGATTTATCACAATAGAGTACCTCTTTTGACAAGAAACGCAGCCAGATGAAGATCCTTTTGTAGAACTACTGGGACAATGTTGAGTATCTTATGGGCATGTCTAAAACAGGCTTCTGCCATTTTGTCTTCCAGTGTCAAATTTATTGTCTGATTCTTGATAATCTATACAAAAAAGAGCAACCTGATATGAAGTGTGTTTCAAAAACTGATGAAACTATATCCTGTTTCAAATATTTAAATATTTCAGGACATGTACATAATGTACCATGTCAAGATGAATTAATATTCTTAAAATTAGTAAATGTTTTATAGGGCTGGGTATTGGCCTGAGATTTCGTGTTGCGATATTTTCAAATGTATTGCGATATTTTCAAATGTATTGCAGTATTTTCAATGTAATATAAATGGCATTTTCTTACTATATTTACTTTAATTTACATGCAGAATGTACATAACTATGATAAGTAACCAACACGAAAAAAAAATCTTGTTGATTTCATTTCAGTTATGCTCTGAAATATTCCCACAAAACGACTTCTGACTTACTGTTTGGCTTTATAACAAACTTTTATAAGTTCATTTTCATATTTAATGACAAAATTCCTTAATCTAAGCATATTGCCAATATATCGATATTACAAAATTGTATTGCGATACAATATTTTTTCATACATGTTAACTCTACCGATTTAGGCGGGAGTCTACCGCTTTTTCACTCCAAATCCCGCCTACCGATTTGATTCAGAAATCTACCGCTTTTCTACAAAAGTTTCGTCTAAAGTATTTTTGGTTCGCTTGGGTATCCATTTTTGAAGCCACTCTCATAAAATCTCGTTAGATATCATGTGATTTGACTCGGAGGCATACAAACGCTTTTATTGTACCGATGTGTACATAGATTTCAAGCACGAATTTGACAACGACCATAGCACAAGATTACCAGTGATTACATTGGTTACGATAAATTAATCAACATCACTGTCATGAAAAAGGAGATATAGCTTTTAAGAATTAGATGAAAACGTTTGACATCATCTATAAAAGCACAGGAGCTCCCAATTTTATCGATAAAGTCAATAGAAATCACTCGATTGACCTTGGCAAGCCATGTGTCATATCTCTACTTTCGTTTTCGATCATCGCGGGAAATCTGATTTATATGACGAAAGTTAGGAACTTGTTTTAGATCAAGTTTAAACCATGTCATCATTTGTTTTGTTTACAACTGAATGAACATTCAGAATTATTGATTCTAGGCTATATCAGCAAAGATCACTCTTCAAAAGGCTAAGTTAAACAGCCAATCCAAGCAAAATGATGAGCATGAAAATATTTGAATTTGTACAATTTATATCAAACTTAAGGTGTTTCTGTCTTCTTCTTTGCAGTTGATATTGAAGATTAATTATTGTAGGTTTCATTTAGGCTATATACAATGTACATGTATATTACATGAAATGTATCGATAATCCAAGCGTAAAACAACGCGCTTGCAATGCTACCGCTTTTGAGGTCTGAATCTCCCTATTTTTCATCACAGTAGGTTAACATGTATGATTTTTTTGTCATTGTATTGCAATATATTAAAATATCGATATTATTGCTCAGCCCCAATGTTTTATGCTTTAGGGTATCTTCAGCTATGAAATATTTGATCTTTTTCCATGAAGGAAATTTGTGCAAGTCCACAAGGATAATGATTTATTAGACAAAAAAAATTCTGGGATGCAGTGTAGATTATTACCTCATCATTGGCCATCAGTCGGTATAAAGCTTGTTCAGCTGCGTTTTTCTTGGCCTCTTTCTTTGTACTGGCAAAAGTTTCCACAATGAACTCATCCCGCACAAAAACTGCAGCAACAAACCTAAGAGAAAAATACAGAAGGTCCATTAACCATAAAGCTCACCTGACTCAGTTTCTCGTCCCAATTAACTAGGGTGTCTGTTACCACAAACTTGAGTACATCTTCCCAAAACATATATATTGAGGGGCATTAGTTGACATAAAAACATGACAATATTTTCAAACTGATAACAAATAACTTACCCTTGAGGTCCCTTCTGATCACCGACATCAATCTTGAATGGAAGCATTTTATGGGCACAGTATTCCTGGAGTTTGTTTATAGGGTTCTTCGATTCATCCTGAATTAAAAAAATTATATAAACAACACACATGTTTAATCACTTCTGTATACTTTGAGAGTCTTTAATATATTCCACTACATGCTCATTGAAAGACTTGATACTATTTGTATACATATTACATACAGGTTTTAGTGGTTTCTCGTGTGAACCAAGTCTTCCTGGCTCTGTTTGTAGCTTCCTCCCCATTGCATCAAACTGCACTGACCCATCTACAACAGGAATAAATCAAAATAATTAATATACTGAAGTGAAATAAGATACCACGCTGAAAAATTATTACCTTTAACAAATGAGCTTTCATAAAAAATGGTCTGAATTGTATTGATCTTACTAATAATGAGTTTTATGGCATTCCTTGACCATGACTAAAAATAATTTTTTGTATAAAATACACCCACCATCCTCCTCTAATTCTTCCTCTTTATCAAACCCCAGAATGATGTTGAATGCGATCTTGGCAGAGTTTGTCTTGGCCTCTTTCTTGGTGGAGCCGATACCCTGGGGATATTCCTTACCATCTACTTTACACACGTAGGCAAAAGTCTGTTTGTATGTGGCCACCATTACCGCGTCCTCGCGATAAGACACGACTCGTCGCTGTAATGAACAGAACTCATTCAGGGCACTAATCGGCTGCTTGGATCCATTCCTGAAGTTGTCTATTAGCTCCTTTGGAACCTGGAAAATATGGAAGAGAATTTCTAGTCATAATGTGAATATGGTATACCGGTACATTGTCATATGTGGAATTAATAACAAGACAAATTTATATTGTAATCATTTAACAATTACATCATGTACATAGGCAAAATTGTCGGGACTAAGAATGAAATCCATTAAGCAGTATAAGTGTCCAATGACAAACAACCTTTGAATGATTCAGTTATAGGCATGCAATAAATACATGATAGATAGATAGATTTTTATTTGGTATACTACACATACGTTGTTACAATGCAATATTAACAATATAATTTATGATATATATATTTATTACACACTTAGTAATAAATACAGGTTTTTTGCATATGCGATATGGCTGACGTCACAATAGCCGTATCAGCCCTGCAGGGCTGATATGGATTTGCGGGGCTGATATCCGTATCAGCCCTGCAAATCCATATCAGCCCTGCAGGGCTGATACGGCTATTGTGACGTCAATATCACACCCTTAGTAAATTAAACCACAATAACAGTACTTGTGATCATACACAATTTTTGGTGGGTTCATATTCTCTTAATTTTAACTTTTTGAAAATAAGGTTAATCTTAATTTACAAATACATGTAATACTATAGATTATTTTCAAATAACTACGGATCAAGTGCATTGAAATAGAAGTAGAAACAAACCCAAATCGTATGAAACATTAAACTATGTACATGCATGATTATTTACTTATTTTCTTCTCAACTGAATGTGTTCTGTATTTTATTACTAAGTATGTAATAAATATAATAAAACATACCCTTTTCCACATCACATCCTGTATCAGCCCTCGACCAATATCAGCCCTCGGGCCTTCGGCCCTCTGGCTGATATTGGTGTCTCGGGCTGATACAGGATGTGATATGGAAAAGGGTATGTATTATTCTCTATATAAAAGTTGACATTAAACAATATAATTAATATAAAATATCGGAATCAGTTTTGAAAGACATGATTTTATATATATGATTCACATAAGATTACATTTGTATACCAAGGATAACCCATGAAAGCCAATGGCTTATTTCCAATGGGGTCCTTATACTCAAACATGTATATTAATTGGATGTTAAATAATATCACCAGATAAATATAAAATTAAAATACTACAGCTAAGATATGGGATCAAGTTGACAACACAGAGATCTTTAAAAATGAATTGTATTTTGAATGTATACCAAATATTCACATGATTGTAATTGGAACAACTTATAATAATAATAAAAACTAATAAAACACAACTTGACTTTTACACTGGGCAATTCCCCTTTCTAATAAAAATTTCTTGACATTTCTTTTAAAAGCAAAATTACTTCCAGTATTTAAAACAGGTTTAATTTCTGCTGGTAACATGTTCCAGTCTTTGATTCCATTAAAATAAAATGATTCAGATTGTTTTTGCTTAATTATTGGAACGACAAAATCTGCATTTGAGACTGATCTAGTATACATGCATGCTCATCTTCAAAATTGTTTTGTAATTTCTCATATATTACTGAGTCTGTCATCCAGGTGTGATCGCCAGTCGCCAGATAGCTCAGTCGGTACTACCTGACTGGAGATTCACGGGGCCTGGGTTCAAATCACAGTCTGGTCTGCTGCATTTTTCTCCTCTCTCATTACATAACAATAAAATGTAATACTTGCAAATAATAACTGGATAAAAGCAATGTAGCTGAGATAAGTAGATGACAATTGATCTTACCTCTTTCGGGATTTTGGAGGCTGGAATTTTTTCTTCTGGTGGAGTAACGGGTCTTTTACTGAGTCCAGGAATATAACTCTGTGTTGCAGCAAACATCTTAGAAATATAATACGTATGTAATGTTTTTGTTTTATATGAAAATATGTTATTGTTATAAGTAAAACTGAGATAAGAATTTTGTTTATCTGATAAGTCCTAACCATGGTACCTGATTAGCGCCCTTATCTTGGAAGTCTAATTAGTGTCCTAATTAATATGGTGCTTATCAGATACTATAAATATATTGTGTCTTGACACCTAACTATGGTGCAGAGGCCCTAATACTTGGAGCCGATTGCCCTAACAGGGTGCCCTAATGATGGAGCCGATTGCCCTAACAGGTGCCCTAATGATGGAGCCTAACGCCCTAACAAGGTGCCCTAATTCACGTTAGGTGTCAGGCAGGGTATATAAGGAGAGAGAGTCAGTGAGCAGATATACTTGAGATAAATTGCTTGTACTGGATTGTAAACTACGTTTGGATATTATTAATACACTTGTTGAAACAAACTTTGTCGTTGTTCTGATGTTAGATCTATAAAGATCTAAAGTTCCTATCTTCTACACGGGATCCACAATATTTTGTGACGCGGGTAACTACAAACACCCCATAGAGAGAAAAACGTTACAATTGGTGGCAGCGGTGGGATCCAAAGAAATTATTCTATGTGTAACACAGGAACGAGACAGCACAAAGTTTGAAATGGAGACACCCATCGTAAGGAGGAGAATTATGCCTAGAAAGGTAGGACAGTACTTCACCAGTCCAGCTCCTCTGAATGACTCTGGAATAGAGGTCGATGCGGGGTGTAGAACAAGTTTGCAGCCCACAAGTCGAGTAATGCCAGACAATCCTAACTTTCAGGAGTTCGGGCAAAATTCGCAGGGTCTTTCTGTTCAAAACGAGTACAATCCAAGTCCAAGCTTAAAGAGAATCCTATTTATTTGGGTACTCTTTGCTTTGATAGGATGTTCCCTGATGGTGATGACCTGGATCTATTTTCCAGAGAATGAGATCGTGCAGGAATCTCGAGAAAATGCAGTATTTTCTCTAATATCGATAACAAGTATGATATTGCTTGTTACGGTAATCAGCGTATTATGGAAGTATGGATCCGGTCTGCTGATTGCCAATAAGAAAAGGGAAATTTCTTTGACACCTAATGATACACCCTATACTGGTCGTAGTGCACTTAATGCCCCTACAGGTACCTATCAGGAACCTAAGGTTTTTGGGCAATCTGGACGCACTACTCCTCATTTGGGCAATCAGTCCCCTCAGGGACTCGGGTGCAATTTTGAATATCCTATGGCTGACGGAACACCTACAAACAGTCCTATGACAACAAATGCTGGTCAACGAACCAATGAATACCCAGTAAGGAGGACTTTCTCAGGGGCCAATGATGATGTTTGGGATGAGTTCCTACAATATTTTGGAAACATCTCAGAATTAAACTCATGGGGACCCGAGAAATCTCGCAGAGTCTTACTTAGCACCTTGCGAGGGCAGGCCGAGAGTTATGCCTATGGAATGCCCCTTACTGTACAGAAAGACTATGAGGAACTAAAAGAGAAAATGAATCAAAGATTTGGACATTCTGCAATGAAAGAAAAATATATTGCAGATGTCAAATTAAGGAGAAGAAAACCTGGCGAGTCCCTGCGAGATTTAGGACAGGCAATCGAAGATCTGTACCGAAGGGCCTATCCAGGAAATCCAGATTTAGTGGAAGAAAATGCTATACAGTCCTTCCTAGATAAGTGTGGACAATCTGAGGATTTCCGACTTGCAGTGAAACGGACCAGACCCAGGACACTCCAGGAAGCAGTTCTTAACGCGATGCAAGAAGAGTGCTTGCGGATTGGAGAAAAAGAATTGCCAAAGGAGACAAAACCAGGCTATAAGCCTGTGTATGAGATTGAAGATGGGGAATGGAATAATGAAATAGCAGCTGCGGATACTGCCAAACCTCCAAGCGCGGGTGACGGATGCAACAGTATCTATAATAATATGAGAACCCCAAGTGCATGTACCAGTACAGGACCAGGGAGGAGGGGACGCCCTTACAACCCATGGAACCAGAGAGAAAGAGGAGGATTTCTATCAAGTAACAGTTCTCGAGACCATAACTGTGTTGAAAAGAGAACTGTAAGGAATTATATTAACTAAGATGACTGATGCCGCAGGTCAGGTGTCAGTCAACCTTACACGGCCTATAACCTAGGGAGGAAAAGCCTATATCAAAAAAAGTGAAGAGAAAATGTGAAGAAAAAAAAGGCCAGGGAAATACAAATGTGAAGCTTCCAGTGTGATGAACTTTTGATCTAATCTAGTGACATTTTTATTTGAAATAATTTTGTTGTTTTACTTTGTGTCTTTTTATTGATTGTTTGGCTTTTGTGTATTGGGCATTTTTTATTTGCGTAATGTGACTACGTATAATTCATATTCATGTTTTAAAAATTTATGACAGTGGAAGTCATGTTTCAAAAGGAGGGACCAATGTAATGTTTTTGTTTTATATGAAAATATGTTATTGTTATAAGTAAAACTGAGATAAGAATTTTGTTTATCTGATAAGTCCTAACCATGGTACCTGATTAGCGCCCTTATCTTGGAAGTCTAATTAGTGTCCTAATTAATATGGTGCTTATCAGATACTATAAATATATTGTGTCTTGACACCTAACTATGGTGCAGAGGCCCTAATACTTGGAGCCGATTGCCCTAACAGGGTGCCCTAATGATGGAGCCGATTGCCCTAACAGGTGCCCTAATGATGGAGCCTAACGCCCTAACAAGGTGCCCTAATTCACGTTAGGTGTCAGGCAGGGTATATAAGGAGAGAGAGTCAGTGAGCAGATATACTTGAGATAAATTGCTTGTACTGGATTGTAAACTACGTTTGGATATTATTAATACACTCGTTGAAACAAACTTTGTCATTGTTCTGATGTTAGATCTATAAAGATCTAAAGTTCCTATCTTCTACACGGGATCCACAATATTTTGTGACGCGGGTAACTACAAACACCCCATAGAGAGAAAAACGTTACACGTACATGAATCATTTGTTAAGATTATTTTAACAAAGATAAACACAATTTTTTCAAAGGAGAATGTTAATTATTATCATGTAATTTGAAGTTAATATTTATGTTCATCTTACATATAAAGTAAACATGTCAAACTTAAACAGATTTGAGTAATCTGTGTAAAACAGACTGGTCAGCTTTACAAAAGAAACATGAGAAAATGAAAGTAAAAAAAATGAAAGTACAACCAGTTTTAGACACCTTGCACGATTCATTGCTAAATATCAGTCTGAAACAGAGGCTTACTACTGAGAGTTGACTATCGAAATGTATCACAGAATTCTCTGAATTTCTAAATGAAATTGAGAAAACAGCGCCAAAATCAGTGTTCATCTGTTTATTACACGTTACATTTAGAAGGTACTGTGGATATTAAAAGAACAAGGCTCAGCGATTAAAACCTATGGAAAAACACTTAGTTTTAAATACCTTGCAACATTTGTTGTTCTATAATACAAGTGAATTACTCAGTAGGAATTCATAAGTCTAACATTACCTTCTTCAGATTTTCCGAGCGTTCAAGCAGTCAATACATTAATCGGAGCTTCTCGCGTGCCTCGTTCCTTCATAGGGACAGTAGGGGAGTCATCCGAGAGTTACCGAACGTCAAAACGAGCCCGATCCAAAATAACTGAAATCGGTCGCTTCTCGCTCACAAGTACATATATATGAAAGCATCCACTGCATTCAACTTGGGACCAAAAAGCATATCGATAAGGCAGCTCAAAAATCCATTTATTTTCATTAAATTTAATTTAAATTTAATAATAATTTTCTTTTAAATTAGATACATTGTACTGTCGATGAAAAAACCCTTGAACACCTTTTAATTAATACATCAACTTCAGAGTACTTGTGTGTACAGTCAGTATGTTTTTAAACGAAATAATTCGGCAAATGACCAATGATAACGTTAGTAAATAAATTTATGAGTCCCATTTTTATTGAAAAATCAGCTGTTATTTATATGTATATATAAAAAAAATCCTAGACTTTAATTTAGCATAAGGGATGGTTGAAAAGTCATGTAGGTTTTTAGTTTTTATGCTATTGTAAAAAAAAAAATGGATTTCAAATCTTCCATAAGTTCCTTTGAATGTTTTAGTATCTACACCTCTGTTTTACAACAATGATCGAATATTTTGTTGCCTAATCTCCTCAATCTCCCATGCAGAGTTCTCGTTCACAGTGAATGTATGACCTGATGATAGAGTGAGTACTCCTGAGATTTCTCATTCACGGTTGTTACTATATTATAGCGAGGAGAGAAGAAATAGTCTTGATCATGTTGATAGAACATTTACTGGAACCAGCTATGTATCTTTGTAAGAATTTCTATGAAGTTTCGGAATCTAACTTAAAGGTATGGTAATTCAAATTCATTTTAGGTTTTGGAACATTATAAATATATATATTCAATCTACAATATTCATAATACATGTATTCATAAAATTCTGATGTCAGTTGATAGATCGGGGTTCATTATTTGAAATGTTAAATTTGCCCCTTTTAAAATACTGAAGTGATTTAAGGTCCTCATTACTAACTATATTAATGTATTTACTTTTCCAGTAATGTTTTTGTACCCATCTTTCATCCGATACTCCTCTTCTACCACTAAAGGGAATTTAATGAAACTTTCAAAGAATCTTTGTTACATAGTGACTTTGTGCATGTACTTTTTATTTAACATCTTGATCGGAAATATATAGCAAATCATACAATTTTTTAACCCGCACGTTTTACTGAAGAAAAACGCAGCTCATACAATCCGTCTTATCCTTAAACTTCAATGAATTTGAACTACCATATAAATATTGGATTCCGAAACTTCATAAGAATCCTTACTAACAAAAATACATAGTGAGTTCCAGTGAATGTTCAACCAAGCCTCTTTCGAAATCTTTACTCCTCACTAAGATATTAACAGTAGTGAAGAAGAAACTTCAAGAGTACTGTGCAAAAATTGTAAATCAGATGTGAATACTAGTACGTAAAAATTCCGTTGAACATGTGGACAATTTGAAATCACAAGATTTTACCAAAATTAACAGCTTAAAAACACACGACTTTTCAACTTTATACACAACCATTCCCCACGATGAATTAAAGACCAGGCTTTTTGATATCATTGACAGCTGCTTTTTCAATAAAAATGGTACTCGTCAATTTACTTACCTTGTCTTTGGTTATTTGCAAAATTATTTTGTTAAAAAACATTCTGATTGTACACACAAGTACTTTGAAGTTGACATCAAAAAGATGCTTGAGTTTCTGATTGACATTATCTATGTCATTCTTGGTGACCAGGTATTCCAACAAACAGCAGACCTATTTTTGTATTCACATGAAGTAGATTTTAAAGGTACTTGGACGCAGATTTTAAGTCAATATTTTCTCTATAATATTACGACTTAAATATTTTGATAGCATTTCAGACAAAAATTAATTAAAAATCTTATTTCATTTAAAAGTTATTAAAACTTCAAATCTTTTGGCGGGTTTTATTGACACATCCTTCCACTTTCACAAATTTTAACCTTATTCTTAATCCTTAGGAAAAGTGGCAATCTTGTTGTGTATTAATGAGAAATATTAAAACTTTATCCAGAAAAAGAATTTTATTCAGAGTAGAAATGTTAGAAAGCAAAACTCCTTCACAAGTATCGTCATTCCGAACTAAGAGTTGCGTACAGAGTTTAGCAAATCGAGCACACTCGTGTTATGTACACAGATTTTGTAAACAGGGCACGAGTTCTGTTATTGTTGATGTTTATAATTCACTGGGTGCGTTCAATCGTCACAGTCTGCTTACCACAATTGCACGGACTGACAACATATTGCGTGTTTGTTTTGCTTTCGAACATGTCTACTCTGAATTTTCTGGATTATAGCATTAATATTTTTCATTTATACACAACGAGATTGCCACTTTTCCTAAGGATTAAGAATAAAATTAATTTGTGAAAGTGCAAGGATGTGTCAATCAAACCCGCCAAAAAATTTGAAATTCTATAATCTTTTATATGAAATAAGATTTTTAATTAATTTTTGTGTGAAATGCTATTAAAATATATATGTCGTAATATTATAGAGATAATGATAACTTCAAATCTGTGTCCAAGTACCTTTAAGCTTATATGTGTGAAAAGAAGAAAACACTTGCCTTGGCCTTCAACTCGACATTTAGATATATCGACGACGTATTGTCAATTAACAATGGTCATTTCCATTTTTATAGCGATATGATATCTCCCGGTGAGCTTGAGATAAGATACCACAGAGTGACACATCTGTTTCATACTTGATATATTACTTGAAAAAAAAACGTTAATGATAAACGTGATGACTTTAACTTTTCTATCATCAACTTCCCTTATGCAGCAATATACCTTCATCACCTGCATACGGAGTATATACATCTCAGCTAATTCGATACGCAAGAGCATGCTCTACGTATGAACAAATTCTAATACGAGGTAAATTTTTGTCAAACAAGTTGATGAAACAAGAATTTCAGCAGTCTCGTTTAAAGTCATTATTTCGTAAGTTCTATAGTTGATACAATGACCTTGTCAGCAAATACAATTTATCATTGAGTCAAATGCTGACTGACGTTTCTCATACTAATTGTTAGTCCAATATTTATACACTGAATTGACGAGGGATTTATCCGTTATTTGCCGATCATGACAAGGAGCACATAGCGGGTGTGACCGGTCGGCAGGAGATGCTCACTCCTTCATGGCACCTGATCCCACCTTTGATGTTTTAGAGGTCTGTTTTTGCCCTGCTTCTATTTTGTATTGTTTTATGGACTTTTGATCTTGAATATTGTTTGTTAACGCCATATGTTTCACAGTACCTCTAGTTTTCTTTAGTGATCATTTATTTTTACTAGCATAAACAAACTAAAAAATCTTTTCTCAACTAAGAATGGTGCCTCTTGAGTTGGCTTCACTTGGTAATGTTATATAAATCAATATCCGTGCTTTGTAGCTCCCGTAATTTTATTGCAATTTTTAGGTGAGATAGCAGACCAGAAGAATCAATGAGCACCTAGTTTTAAATATTGGAACGTGCTACTATTGTAGCACTTGCATCTAATCAGGTAATTACAGCAAGCTTGGAAAACACATTTAATGAGAAAGGAATGAGTTAAGAGATTGTTTATTTCATTATAACTTTATTTATAAAATATCAGTACAGTCTTGTTAGTATAAAACTTAATTTAGGTACTGTTTTCACATTTATGTACAAATTAGACAAATCACGAAATTTTAGATTATATCTATTATATCTAATAGAATAACCAAAAATTAAAGTGTACATGTTATCTGCAACAGAATTCTCAGAATGCATTACTATATGCAGTCGAGGATGCATATTCCAAGAAAAAGGCAACATAGACTTTACAAGCAGCCAGAGAACAATTATACTAGCAAAATATTTATGTAGAAGAATGTTGAACCTCGGGACATTGAGAGGATCTGTGTCGTTTTTCAAGAAAACGAATAAATGTTACATCCTGGTCGTTCGTCACTTCCAGTTCTGAGTTTACGTTGTTTTGACGTTGTATGACGTCACTGAAGTTTGGTAAGTCAGATGTTGATTCCTCTCTCTCCTCTTTATCATCTTTGTTGTAAAACGAATTATCAAGCGTATGAATTGTTGCTAGATATCGTTTTCTTTTAATTTGCTCCTCCGCTGGGCCATATGTGATCTCTCTTTCAGTCCAATACTTAATATCTTCTTTAAACAAAGAAACAATATTCTTAAAGAAGGAAGAAAGTAAAATATCCTAAAAGAACTCTATCATACACAATTTTTGATAATTCAGATGTGACTTTCTTTCTTGATGAAAATCAGAAAACGTCTGAGACATAATTGCAATAAGGGCATTAAGAAGATGAATAAAGGAAAGAATTGCAAAGAGTATGAAAAGTGTATAAGCAAGCCATGGAATTCTTGACTGATTCAAAACACTGATGTCATTTAGACCGACTCCAAGCTTAAACATTGTTAAAAGAGAATCTCTGAAACTATCAAATTCTTCCGGATGTTCATCTATCCCTCGGAAAAGGACGTGCATGGCAGTAGTGAATGACATCAATAAAAGCAGGAAGGAGAGAGAAAAGGGAATGAAATCCTCAACAAGTCCAGATTTCATCATATACGTGAAAGAAACGATATTTTTGTGAAAAGGTGAAAAGTAAAGCATAAAATACCAGCCAAATATTAAGAGGCAAACTAAATGAAAATCCCAATGCAATCTTAGAAAACTCAAAATAGACTCAAAGATTGCACCAATCGACACAACAGTCAAACAAACGATGTAGTCGAGATTATGCCGAAGTAATCCAAGGCCACCGTTATACAAACGAACAACTAACTTATGAATGAGTAAAGATGAAAATGCAAGGTAAACCAACCCGATCAAAAGAAACATAAAACCGACAGCATCGCCGCTCTCACCTAGTTCACATGAAGTTTGATTCTCTTTGCTGCAAATGAGAACGTCTGATTTTCGCATTGTCACAACTGTCGTGAATAACATGAAAAAGAAATGTGTTATCAGCCAGATAGATAGAGGAATCCAATATGTATTCCATTTTTTCTGTAAAATGTATCGCACCAACTTTTGATTAAGAATTTCAAAAACTTCTCTCTGCGTACATTGTGGGTCAAATAACCGCTCAACTATCGTTATTTTCCCAGGTTTCTTCTTTGCTTTATCCGGTTCGGATTTTTGTTTGACATTATTTCCTGAACTCCTCTTTGATTTATCTTGTTTTTTAATTGCTGCATTTGCACTTTTTTCAAAATTCATCTCCGAATTTTCTTGTTCTTCTAAATACTGGATTAATCTGTCAAATTCTGTAACATCGTAAACTCGTATGTCGAAAAGGCCATCCTGCACATTTTGGAAGCAATAAACGTTCGAGAGATTGATAATGTAGTCAAAAACTTCACCAACACCAAGTTTAGCAGATAGTTGAAGAGGTGTCAAACCTTCATTATTTTCCCAGAACAAAATATCAGTGATAAAAGGGCTGTTGTCGGGGCTTTTTAATGCTTCATCTCTAAATCTCTGCCAGACATAACTAAATGCGGCTTTGACGTGTAAAATCTTTTCATGATAAACATCACCGTATTTGATCAAAGAATGAAAGACGGTATCACCGAGGCTATTCTTCTCCCAAAGAGAAGCACCCTCTGACAGAAGTATATCAAATATTCTTTTCCTACAGGAATCACCTTCTTTTCTCCACAAGGCCTTTTGCACAACGGTTTTAAATCTTTCTGTATCAAGACAGTCCTGTTTTTTCATCATGAGAGCCGCTACCGACAAAGGTAGTTGTCCCATTAAAACAGTGTTCTTGAACTGTTTTCCATTGGCACTGATTTGTAACAATTTTTCTTTCTTGTTAGTGCTGTTAGCGTACTTAAGAAGCATTTCCACAGCTTTGAAATTGCTCTGCACTATAGCGACATGTAACGCTGTTTGACTTTCAAAGTCGGTACATGTACCTTCTCTTTTCATGATCAGTATATCATATCTTGGTCTGGAAAGTTCTTCAAAAGACTTTCAACATAGCGAAGATTATCAGAATTGTCGTTTGATATTGCAATGTGCAAAAGGGTTTCTCCTTTAAAGGACGTTTTTACTGTTTCATTCAATGCTTCCATATCATTAGTATTAATTGTACTTAACTGTTTCAGAATGTCTGCTTTATTTCCTGTCTTGATCTTTTGTGTTAGCTCCTCCATAAACGTCTCCCTACGATTCTCCATTTTCGATTCTTGATTTTGGTAGGTGTTTTGTTCAATATCCACACGAGAACTACAACTAGTTTCGTTTCCCATCCTGTAAGAAAATTCAAGCTTATGTCTTTGTTGCATATCTAAATGATAAGCTTTGAAAAACCAATTAATAAGCCATTCTTATGTTCATCTATGAAGCGTTTACATGCAATTGTAATTTGAAAAGAAAAAAAGATTCTCAGATATCTTGTATCTGGCATCTTGTATTTGTTTCTGTACACAAATAAATATTAATAGGTATTTATTTCAGCAGCTGAAAATTTACAAAAAAAAAAATATGAGAAAGAATGACGGATCAAGAAAAGTTTAGAAATGAATGAGGAAAAAACAATAAAGCTTACCTTAACTGTATGATTGATCCGCTAAAACTTGCTGAAATTTCTTTAACGAACGTATGAATGCTTTGGTAGTTGATAAAATGTCATTGAAAGACTTCAGTAGAAGAAATACGCTTTTATCTCTTTTTCGAAATAAAAAGGATTGAATAATTCAATTTTTTTAAATTTGTTGTCTTAACTTCTTGAGAAAAAATAATTCTATACATCAATTCAGTTTTAGACAGAAATCTTTGTAAACGATCAGTGGTTACGTAATTATCCCAACGGTTAATCAATGATCTAAATATCGAATAACAAAATTATAAACAAAAAGAAATATTTACAATGAACTTTGGTTTTCAGGCTTTTAGTCGTGTTGACAATGGTGCAGTTTATTTGACCTTTGATCTGATAATCTATTGATTGATTTGAAAAATCGTGATTTCTTCGACAAAAATCAAGGACACGCTCTTTTCTTTTTGATTCGTATGTATATTTGTATAGTTATTAAGCATTTAGCCATTTCTGATTTGAGTGATTTCATGTGTTAAAGACTGCTTCTAAAATAATTCAGTAATTCGAAAGTATAGAAAACGAAGACACCTTGAGGTTGAGCATCTTGAACGCAACTTGATTTTGTTAAAAGAACAAAGTTTTCAAAATACTGATTGATGTAACGTTCATAAGATTATGATACCGAAAACTTTTGTTGATGGTTTGATCCTGCTATTAATGGGATTCTTCCTTTGCCCACCCCGCATTTCTCTTACAAGTTTTTTTTTTCAAAAGTCTTACGTAAAATAAGAGAACACTTGCTGTGGCCTTCAACTCGACGCTTGGATATATCGAAGACGTATTTCTAGTTAACAATGTTAATATCTATTCTTATGCCGATTCGGCATATCCGGGTAAACTTAAAATAAAAGATATCTAAAGTGTGACACATCTGTTTCATATTTGGATGTTTTACTTGAAAAGACGTTAATTGTAATCAAATAATAAAGATAAAGGTAGTGATTCGTTTACTTCCTTTACCTATGCAGCAATAAACCGTCAACACCTGCATACGGAGTTTATATCTCTCCCTAGATTTGATACGCAAAGCATGCTCTACGTACGAACGATTTTTAAAACGAATAAAGTTACTGATAGAAAAGTTGATGAAACAAGAATGTAAGCATCCTCGTTTAAAATTATCATTTCATAAGTCCTTTGTCTATACAATTATTTTGTCAGCAAATAATTCAAACATTAAGGACAGATGATTCAAACAAACTTTTGTCAAAAAAGATAATATTTTCATATCAATATTAGTCATGATAAAATGAGTAAAACGAACAAGAAGGATATTGAGATAACGTACAATATTTAATCTCAAAGTCCGTAAAACAATACAAAATAGGAGCAGAGCAAACACGGACCTCCGAAACATCAGAGATGATGACTTTAAACGAGGCTTCTGATATTCTTGTTTCATCAACTTGCTTGTCAATAATTTACCTTGTTTTAGAGATTGTTCATACGTAGAGCATGCTCTTGTGTATCGAATCAACTGAGATATGTATCAATGGACCTATAATGTCCATTGTAAACAATCTTTTACCACCGGTACTGTACCAGAAGATTTTAAAATGCCAAGAGTCAAGCCTCTGTTCAAGAAAGGAGATTCCGTTGTAGTTGGGTTTTCATGTTTTATACATCATGTACACCATGGTTACCCTACAGTAAAACCCTTCTATCTCCAGCTAAGGCTTTTATCTCTAAATACCTGAGTATCTATTCCTTTTTGATACCTTTTTTCCAACTCTTATGTATCATGCTTGTTCCGATATCCTCTGACCTACAGAAGAGCTTTTCGGTAATCCTACCAGTACAGAAACAGAGTGCAAGACCGCTCGGCCATCAAGTCGAAAGAATTGCTTTCGATGTCGATTGAATTCTCACGGCGCTGTCCAATACCATGCAGTCACTGAGAATGGAAGATGCGACGTACGACATTGATTTGATTTACCCCTTGTACTACAAATATAATTAATCGACAGGTAATTTATCTTTAAATTTGACTCATTGTAATGTATCTTTTTGAGGCCGTTTCTGAGAAATCCATTTAAAAAAATTAACGTTATGCATCCGGGTGTTTGGAGGAAAATGAATATCGACTAGCTATAGGGTATAGACTAATTGTAGGTATGTATTCACATATTTGAAAAGTTTGCTATGTTAGATAATCTTTATTTACTAGATTGATGTGCAAATAGATATATGAAGCTTTAACAGAGAACGATTTGAAAGAAATATAAAAAAGGTTTGGATTGTTAGTGTCACAGATGACAATGTACCATCGGACATTTTGACAATTACTTTGGACATTTTCAATTCAAAATGCTCACAACTGTTTTTAATCATTTAATAATGAGTTGTCATATTTGCTTCAATCTTTCAGTTTTATCTATTTTGAAATATTTAATTATCTTAATTACCCATGAGTGATATGACCAGATGGACTGTGCTTTGTGTGCTTTGTGTGATTTAATTATTGTTTATTTAAAATCATAATCTTTAACTCTACTTCTAAATCAAATTAACTCGTGTCATATGTTACTCAAAATTATAAATTATCAATCTTGTCTATAAATACAAATTTTTGTTAACATTCGGGGAGTTGGAATCGGGACGTGTTTGTCCCTGATACTATCCGACCCGACGAGAAAGAAAAATCTGCAAATCGTAAAGCGGCTTTATCTTCATTTACCAATAGTCCTAGTGGCTTTACAACACACAAAGCACAAGCATCTAACGGGAGGGTGTGACATTAGCATTGATGTGTTTGCCACACCCATGTATCTTTCATGTTCTCCTTTTGAACATGTCTGCAATGTTTGCATTTCTATTGTCAAAAAATAGCTTACCAAAGCTAGTTACTAGCATGTTTCATAGCAATTTTAAGAAAAAATATGGGACCCTATGCCGGTTATAGTAATTAAATGCAATGCAATTTGTATATAAAATTTAATTTTGTATTAATAATTACAATAGAAAGCCTGCTATCCTATACCAGTAAGGTAATGAAACAAACGCACATGTATAAATTGATGCCAAACTTCAGACGACTCTGCTACGCTTTATAAATGATCTAGCTACTAATGCCATATTACAGACTTTAACTAAGAAAAGTGGAAAGTACAAAATATACTGGAGAATTGGCCTTGTCAAACAGACAACTGCGTGTATCTCATTACTCCCAAAGTTTGCTCCAAACAGTATGTTAGGGAAACTATAGAACTAGAGAACTTCAAAGGAGAGTCAATAATCACCGTTCGTCCATTATGACATTAGGCATTCATAGCGCTCTGGAGTTCCTTTTTTACAACTATTTATTAACTGTTCGTTATCTCCATATATTTTATTCCTCTTAACTATTTTTTGTCCTGAGGAAGGGGCACAACGTCCAAAATTTTAAAACAGAAATTATTGTTTGTGTCGTTGGTCTTTTTAGCCCTTTATATAAATTTCCATCCGTTACATTGTATCTAGTATTTAGTAGATCCGAATATCTCCCTCTCTCTCTTCAAACCAATAGATCAAAATAATGGATTGTTGCAAACTTTCTTGGATATCAAAACAAGATAAAAAAAAGAAATTATTAAGAATATTAACATTAAACAAACAAAAGGGTTTACAGGGCGGATAATGACACCTTAAGCGTTATACGAATATTGCAACTAAGGTTTCAAAAGCCATTTTAAACTCATGTATTATTTTCCATCTAAACAAAGTATTCTGTACACAAACTTTTATTATGCGAAGACACGCACTGGTCTTGCTATCTAGTTAATATACTTCTGTAATATAATGCTCTAAATCCTTTCGTGCATTAAAATAAACTGCTCTGTGCAACAAGCTAACATTTTTAAAAAGACGCAAAAAGAAATAAGAAAAGGCCTTGACAGGAGAAAATATGTTTTTAGTGCATGCGAATATAATAGTTATATAGCGTAAACCATAGGCCTCACTTAAAAAAATGTGGGTAGAAAAAAAAAATTAACACCTCAATTTTTTTTCTAAGGGATCCAAAGGCCTTTGGCGTAAACGATTAATCTAATTCCTGCTATTTTACGATACTTTCAAAATAAATGAATGAAAAAATTATTGTTGACAAATATTTTCAGAGTTGGTATAATATTCATTATCTATTTGAATCTAAGGAAGGATATGGAGATAACGATCAGTATTCAATATCAAAGTCCATAAAACAATACAAAATAGGAGCAGAGCAAACACGAACCTCTGAAACATCAGAGGGGGGATCAGGTGCCATAGACGAGTAAACTTTCCACATGGCGCAGTGGTTAGGGCGTTTCACGCAGAAAACATATAATAGAGGTTAAACCGGATGCCATGGGCATACATGTACGTCAGGCTACGTATTCGAGAATGCTAGAGGTTTTGCCTCTATGACGACTTGCCCGTATAAAATAATTCTAAAACTTGTTCTAGTTTCTCTACGGAGTTTATACTCGAATCCTGCTGCAGTACCAGCTGGGGGCCAGTTAATTATCGCAATAGACAACCAGTTGGCATGAAAATGAGAAAAAAAAGATCCTTCGTTGCTCAGGGGTCATAAGTTTCAGTTCGCAACCCTCATTCGGCCACTATAGTGAGGTCCTTAAGTTAAAAGTTATTGAAGGGACTAAAAACATAATAAACAGAAAATATGCATGCGGAACAAAGAACACATTTTTCAGACTCAAATTAGGTTACACGGGCACATTTCACTACATGCACACGCATTGCCAAAATAATTATTTTAATTTTGTGTGTAACACTTATTCTTTTAGTGCAATGTAGTAGTGTATGTATGTATTTTATAATTACAATCATTTTTAAGGTTAAATGCCTAAATAATAGTAAGAATAAAAAAAATAAATAGAGAACCCATGAAAATACAAATATTTTATTATTTTGTTTGCCTTAATATAAGATTCAATTGCATGACTTCTATTTATTTCTATGTTTCAAAGTATTATGTGTCAGAATATATACCACAAGCCGTAAAAATGACTTGACTGCGCTCTTTTAGTAGCAATCAATTTTGTCACGTAAGGTGGAACTCAACACTTATGAAGTATTTGCAGTCATTCAATTTCAGTTTGGCGTTTAAGAGATTTAAACAAGCCGTATTTTTTTTTTATTCAAAAAGTGCATTGTTTCTAGAAATATGTTTCAGTGTCCTAAGTGCCGAGTGTAGGACAAAATTTGAAGCTCTCCGTCGGCAAAAGTTGGTGTCACTATATGAGTGAAAAATTCTCGAGAGGGACGTTAAACAACATACAATCAATCAATCAAGCAACCAGATAACAGAAAAACCCAAACATATGAAGGATGTGGAGATAACGAACAGTATTCAATATAAAAGTCCATTAAACAATTCAAAATCTAAGTAAAGCAAACACGGACCTCCAAAACATCAGGTGCCATGGAAGTAGAATCAGGTGCCATGAAGGAGTGAGCATCCCCTGCCGACCGCCGGTCACACCCGCCTTGTGCTCCTTGTCATGTTCGGGAAATAACGGAAAAATCCGTCTTCAATTCAGTGTATAATTAACGGACTAACAATTAGTATGAAAAAAGTTAGTCAGCATTGACTCAATGATAAATTGTATTTGCTGACAAGGTCATTGTATCGACCATTGAACTTACGAAATGATGACTTTAAACGAGACTGCTGATATTCTTGTTTCATCAACTTGCTTGTCAATAATTTACCTCGTTTAAAAAAATTGTTCATACGCAGAGCATGCTTCTGTGTATCGAATCACATAAGTAAGGGAAGTTGACGATAGAACAGTAAGATTTAAGTCATCACGTTAATGATAGAGATTGGTTGTTAGATTACTATTAACGTCTTTTTCAAGTGAAATATCCAAGTATGAAAGACATGTGTCAGAGTCTATGGTGTCTTTTACATCAAGCTCACCAGGATATATTATATCGACATAGGAATGGAAATTACCATTGTTAATTCGACAATACGTCGTCGATTTATCTAAATGTCGAATTAAAGGCCTCGGCAAGTGTTTTCTTTGTATTTTTGCATATATTCTGCTTCATATGAATACAAATATAGGTCTGCTAATAACGGAGCGCAATGGGTTCCAATGAAAATTCCAATAGATTATTGGAAGACCTGGTTTCCAAAAACAACAAAGACATTGTCAATCAGAAACTCAAGCATCTTGTTGATGTCAATTTCAGAGTACATGTACTTGTACGTGTGTGCAATCAGAATGTGTTTTAACAAAATAATTTTGCAAATAAGCAATGACCATGTAAGAAAATTTACGAGTTTCATTTTTATTGAAAAAGCAACTGTCATTGATATCAAAGGACTGGACTTTATTTCATCATGGGGAATGGTTGTGTATAAAGTTGAAAAGTCGTACTTGATTTCAAATTGTCCAAAAGTTCTTTGGAATTTTTGTGTATCCACAATTGATTCGCATCACTTCTTGAATATATTGTTACAGAGTACTCTTGAAGTTTTACCCTCACTACTGTCAATATCTTAGTGAGGATGAAAGAAAGAGAGGCTTGGTTGATATATAATGAGCCTTACAAACGAAGACAATGTTGTTATCTGCTTTATTAGCAGGGGCCAGTACGTAGTGATCATGTAATCTACAGACAAAGACACATAATTTCTAGTGAAGATAAAATTATAATTTGTTTGATTTTTTTTAATGAAATGCACAGAAATCTTATCGCAGATCTACGGAGACAGTCGAGTGTCTGGTTTACCAAGAACACATTTGAAATTTTATGTTTGACCTTACATGTAGATAATTTGATTTATGGAATTTTTGAACATCTATCGATAAAATAATCAAACAAATAATCTCAACTTTGTTTAACGACCGAATTATATACTCAGTATTTCTCTTTTTTAAGGAGACATTTTTCATATAATTGGCTGTTTGACTGCAATTTCATGTACTTCTTTCTTTCTATTTTATAAGATATTATTATCATTAAAAATATTTTTAAATATATTTAATATTATACCCTTTTTATATGTTTATATCGATTATAAATATATGAATTTTATATTTTGCAAACTGGTTTTAATTAAATTTTTACAAATTGCTGAATTTAATCAAAATATTTCGTAATTGTAGATTGTCTTCAAACATTCCCAGAATGTCTGGAAATCTAGATCTACAACACTTAAGTTTCAAAAAGGTATAACATTAATTGACATTAACTTGAAAGTACATTTCAGCATATAATATTGTATATTGTTTTTCATATTTGTCTTTCTGTGCGAGTAAAACTTGTATTACGTTTCTTTACATTTTCTTTTAATCCTTATACATGTAAAATTAGTTCAAAAGGGCCTGGGCACAGATGCATTGTTTACAATTTTAAATGTCTTTTTCTAAATAAGAAATAATGTGACATAATTGATGAATGATTAAATTAAGAGAAGTCTCATTACGTCCACTGCTTTGCAAAAGCATACAAAATAGACCTTGACTTAATGAAACATATGGAGATAACGAACAGTATTCAAGATCAAAAGTCCATAGAGCAATACAAAATAGGAGCAGAGCAAACACATTCCTCCAAAACATCAGAGGTGGGATCAGGTGCCATGGAAAAGTGAGCATCCCCTGCCGAAACAAAACGAAACGAAAATAACATTCTATCTGAATAAGCATCACGTTCCAAAAGAAAATTGAAGCCTCTTTCAGATAGGTACGTGCTAAAGTACAGGTAATAATTCATTAAAGTTTGAATGAGGGTATGTTCTGAAATGTAGAAATTGGAAATTAACCTCCATATAGATAAGTTACAGATACGAAGACCATTCAAACATAATGCGGACTTTTGTAGACAAAATATCTGACTTCAAAACACATATGTAAAAAGTTACACATATTGGTGACATAGACTGTTTTTTTTCAGAATTTACGTATTTTTTTTAATTTCCTTTATTCGGTTATATATCTTTCATAATTGAAAAAAAATATTGATTAATTTTACTTGCAAGTGACTTATTTGTCATACATAAATTTATTTTATATTTCTGTGCTCAGAAATATAGATATGTACATTCCTGTACTCTTTGGAATGTATTGATTCATTGATTACGTGTTGCTTAACGTTCCATTCGATAATTTTATCATGAATATAGAGACCCCACCAATTGTCGGTGGAGGGGTAAAAATTTAGACATATTCGGCTCTCAGGGCTATTGAGCAGGGAGGGATCTAAATAGTGACAGTCAGCTAGAGAGCACTGACAATTACAGATATTGGACAAGGTGTTGCTTTACATAGAGAATAATACATACTATATCAGCCCTCGACCAATATATGCCTTCAGGCCTTCAGTCCTCTGGCTGATATTGGTGTCTCGGGCTGATACAGGATATGGAAAAGGGTATGTTTTATTATGTTTATTACATACTTAATAATTAAATACAGTTCACATTAAGTTGAGAATAATAAGCGGACTTTTTACATGTACGGTCAATTGTCTCATACGGTTTGGGTTTGTTCTACATGTACTTCTATTTCAAATGTTTCCGATCCGTAATTTGAAAATAATCTATTATTTGTCAATTAAATTATCCTTACATCAAAATATTTTAAAAAATTAAGAGAATATATAACCCCCAAAATATGTGTATGAAGTACTGTTTTTTGAGGTTTAATTTTCTAGGGGTGTGATTTGTATCAGCCCCGAAAATCCATATCAGCCCTGCAGGGCTGATATGGCTATTGTGACGTCAGGCATATCGTGTATACAAACATCCTGTATTTATTACTAAGAAGGTAATAAATGTACAAATCACAATGTTTAGATAAAAAGATAAAGCATCAAATCCTATGTGAGCGGTATGAACGAACAAAGCAGACAAAGCAGAAGCATAAGATATGGATCTGATTATGTTCATGAGGTAATTAAGAGATTTTGTGATAAAACATATTAGTTTTAATATGTTTTTGTACTATGTCCCTATAAAACCCTCTTTCTTAACAATTCTACAGCTACGAAATCAAACATATACATCTTGTCAATGACTTTATTTTGCACAAATTGTTTTTTATTAATGATAATCATTCGTTGTATCAAAATAAATAGTGAATGTTCTTCTTTTTTTAAGTTCTATTGACAGTTTAATTCTGAAAGTGCTTTGAATTTATCATTGCTTTTCTATATGTTGAAATATGCAGGTGCTATATGTTTTTAAATTGTAATTATAACTATTTTAGAAAGAACCATCAGAGCATATCTATGAGAGTACACGTGAGAGCAGATTGGAAAATGGATCTGATTTTGTGGTAATCAAGAGATACAATAAATTAAGTATAAATATTGTTTATTAACCCCCTCTTCCTTTAGCAACTACGCTACTTGCAATTACTTGAGTATGTCTAAATGTATCCTGGTGATCTTCAGATAAAAGATACCACATACAGTGGTCTGACACATCTGTTTCATATTTGAATATTTAACTGGAAAAAGCATTAATGGTAATCAAAAAACAGTTCTGTGATAAGCATGATGACTTTAACTTTTCTATCGTCAACTTCTCTTACTTATGCAGCAACATACCTTAATCACCTGCATACGGAGTTTATATATATCTCTGTTGTTTCGATACACAAGAGCATGCTCTACGTATGAGTAATTTCTAAAACGATATGAATTATTGAAAAACAAGGTGATGAAACAGGTTTACATGATGATTTACAATGTGTTGTTGGAATTGAGTTTGATGAAAATGACGTCGCCAAACGCGTAACCGGCGCACGGGGATTTAATAAATTGTTTATATGTATACATCAGGGACGGGAAACAGGAGTACAGAAGTGACATTACATAATAAATTCTAATAGAGAAGTTATTTTTAAATGGCATGAAATTCAATGAGAGTTTTTCCTCTATACCGCAAATAGTTACATCATGTAAGAAATAGAGTACTGTTTGTTGAATGCAGACAATGGGGAACAATCTGGGCCACAGACGACGTCAAACAATGTGTATTCTCTGCTGCCTAAAATGTTAGGTGATCTTTCGACTAAATATTTTGACTGAAATTCGAATCTGCTTTAAAAAAAGAAAAGAAAGAAAAAAACGGACAGTAATGCATTTTTTTAAAGTCTCGTAGTCAAGAATGGTTATTCACTTTTTTAAAAAAAATTGAATGTTAACAGACGCATGTTAAGCAGAAAAAGAGACCATGGCGTTATAAGAGATGTGATTTACGTTTGCTTTCATGCGCCGATATACGCCTACATGCCTTCTTAATTTTTTCATAATTTTCTTATTAAATGTTATATCTTCATGAAACTTGAAATGCATGATCCTACAATGTTACTTTTTCCTATGACAAGGAAAGAAATTTAATATAGCAAAGAGAAACTAAACTGTTTTCCCTGTCTACGAATTTTTGGGACAACCCTCGTAACTTTATACTGATTTTAAAAAGTCGTTATAACGAGATAAAAATTCAAGATAAAGAGAAAGAATGTCGTAAGTACGACATGAGTCTTAATTATGGAAAAAGGGTTGTAAAAACGATATAAAGAGTCGAAATAACAACAGAGGAAATGACAGAGGAAGATTAACCCCCTTCCCCACAGTCACGCATTTTAACAATCTCCTATGCAGAGTTGTCGTTCGTTCATCTCTCAGACACCTCTGCAATGGGCTCACGTCAAGATTTTTGACATAACGTATAAAAAGTAATATTTGCAGGTTAATTTCAAATTGAATTAATAGTTCTTGAACAATTTAGTAAATATCTATCTGAAAAGTCAGACATAAACATATAAATCAAATTATCATGAATTTAAACAAACGCACTCTTTTCTTGTGTTCAACACTGTGATATACACGAGCCAACGACAGAGGTGAATGTATGAGCCGATGGTAGAGAGTGGCATTTTAACGCATATACCATTTCCTATTTCTAACGCACAATCACGCATATACCGTTTCCCCGCAATCACGCATTTTCACGCACTATAAAAAGTTCATTTAATCTTTAATTTAATGCCAATATTCTTCTATTCTACACTTGCAAACATCTCATAAAATAAGAAAAGTTATTTTTGTATTAAAAGATAACGTCATGATATTTACGCTAAATATTAGAAAAACGTGTGTCACACTATAAGGTTCTTACGGGGAAATGGTAAATTTCTATTTCTATGATATGAACAAAAAGTGTGTGTTGCATAACAGTTCAGTAAGTTGTAAAGAGTTAAAGCAGCAAATAAACGAGATAAAAGATCTCATTTACGAAATGAGAAGCCAAATTTACAAATAAGAAAGTCCAAATAACGAGATAAAAAGTCGTAAATACGTAAAAAAAAATCGTTATTACTTCTAATGAAAGTCGTAATTACGAGAAAAAAAGTCGTTTTAAGACTTTAACAAGTCGAAATAATGAGACAAAAAATGTGATAACGATTTATGAAAGTCGTAATTATAAATTAGCAATTTGTTTTAAGGAGATAAATAGTCGTTTCTATGATTTGTATCTTTTTAAAGTTTTTTCATAATATGACTCTTTTAGGCTTTTGCACGGTAGCCTTTCAAACAAAATATTGAAAATGTTATAAGGAATCTGATATGTTTTTGTCAAATTTGTAACATTTTCGTCAAATGATGAATTTCGTTTTTCACAGGAATTGTTAATCTATTATTTATTCACTGATTTGACGACACATTTTCCCGTTATTTCTCGATTATTACAAGAAGCACACGGTGGCTGTGACCGGTCAGCAGGGGATGCTCACTCCTCCATGGCACCTGATCCCACCACTGATGTTTTGGAGGACTGTGTTTGCTCAGCTCCTATTTTGTATTGTTTTACTTTTAATTTGTTATGACAACTTTTTGAATTCGTTATAACGAAGTTTATAAATTGGTTTAGCACATTTAATTCATACAAATGAATTCAAATAAATTGTTATAACGAATAAGATCCGTTAGTACAAAATTCAACAATTCGTTATATCGGATTCAAAAATATTTTTGATAGATTCTAATAGGGTTTCGTAGCTTCTAGGGTGGTATAATACAGAGTATTTTAAAATAAATCAGTTCCAAGCACACATCACGACATGCCTGAAAAAAGTGTACATCACGTCTACATCTCAGACATCTAGTTAGTTAGTATCTTAAAAAATAGAAAAATAACATTCTTAAGGGTAAACAGAGAAAAATAATGTGTTCCTTAAGAAATGCTAGTCAAATTACTATTTACAAAGGAACAAATCAATTTAAAACATGCATGTTTTCAATTTCTTAAAAATACACACGCTTTTATAAAATTTGTCAAATGAGAGAAGAAAAAAAAAATAATCCAAAAATATATGTTTTTACCTGCAATGTAGAAAGAGACCAACATTGGTACTGATAATGATGGCTACCTGACAATTGGAGAAGCAAGACACAGAAATCAGAATTACTCACCTAACGAAAGGGAAAAATCAGTTGAGGTACGAATATTTCGAATGTTTTTCATTGGATTTTGAGGAATTGGAAAAAGAAAAAAAAATAATGTAACAAAAATTTATAACTTTTGTGACATCCAACTTCAATGTCAAACATTCTTGCTTTAAATCATATTTTTTGCCCAAAAAATATTATTTCTATATTGCAATTAATATAAATCAAAATTTATTCTGTTTCAATAAAATATACATTGCAACTGACAAAGTTTATTTATGAATAATTTAATTCTGGTTGTAACGCCGTATTTGATTGGATAAAAAAATTACTTCATATCGTATAAAATGGGTTGCCTACGTCACAATGACAAACGTCAAAAACGTATCAATCCGCCTGACGTTACATTCAAATTTTGTACAAATGGAACTCATTTTGTCAGAACAATCATCCTTTTTTCTTACATCAAATGAATGAAAATTAAATTATAAGCAATGAATTTAATAAAGCGTAAACTGCCCCAACCTAGTTTATACCGTATAAAATGGGTAGCTATTAAATTCATTCCTTAATTAATTGTGACCACGTCACACAAAAAATCATTTAATAACCTTCAATATTATTCTTACTTATATTTTTTCTTACAGTCAGAAACATTTCCCAAAAGTACTGACAATAGTGGATTTTTTACGAAGAAGAAACATGTGCTTGGAGTTGTTGTTGCATTAGTTATTATCATCATAGTGGTTGTAGTCGTTACACTAGTTACAATGGGACAGGACGGAAATGGAAATTTAAAAAGTGCGTAGTGTATAGAAGTAAATATGATATTAAACTAAATCAAAAAAGGATATTTTATTTAAAAAAGTATCTATATAAACAAACCTATGAATACCATTTTAATTTCAAAAACGTTGAATTAAAAAAGGGGATCATATCATAAATCAAAATTTGAGATGAACTGGTACTCCGTAGTTGATATTAAAAAGATGCTTGAGTTTCTGATTGAAATGGTCTATGTGGTTTTTGGATACGATTGAAAACGGTTTTTCCAATAATCTAAGCAGACCCATTTTGGTATTGACAGGAAGTAAAATTTGTCCAAAATCTAACATTTAAAAGAAGAAAACACTTTTATATTGCTTATGCAATATTCTCACAATGCTTGTTTTGTTTTTATGTGATTTATTTTTTTATTTTTCATTTTAAATTTCGTTGTTCATCTTATAAATTTGAATTTGATATTTCATTTTTAAAATAAAAAAATTACTTTGTTATTAAGTTTTTATCCAATTAGTTGTGATGTACTCTAGTGGGTTTCCGTAAAAATAAGATTATGACGTTACATGTACTCGGGAAATTAATAATGTTAATAATATTGAAGGTTCAACAGAAAACCAGAAAGCAGTATGTCCGAATGTGCCTACTACAAACATGAAATACTCCACAGAAGGGAAAACAGGTAGCTTAGACTTTTATGTAGACAAAGATTTATCTTTACCTTAATTAAGAGACTGAATTTTAGAAAAAAAATTTGAGAACTGTTAAACTTATTTAATTGTTAAATGTAAATTGTACAAATTTTAGGAATTCAGGGACGTCAGTTCTTGGTTTGTTTTACTGACAATCACCCAGAGGCTAGAAACCAAACAGAGACTATATATATTCTATCAGAGGAAGATTTTGAATATAAATTGATTTCGGAGTTTCTTGATTCATCACAGCTGTTCAAAGAAGTACAGACACAATCGAGAAATTTCAAAGAGATAAACGTCACAAATACAATAGCACTGTATGATTTCGAAATTGAACAAAAAGCCCTACTGATTGAGACAACAAGGGACGTGACCGTTATCATCATTGACAATTATATACACTCGTCTGATAGCACTAGTATTTTACCAATTAAGTCGATATCGAATTCATATGTCATTTCTACACCTGGGCCATTCAACAAAACACTGTCGGGAAGTTCACATTTTGCAATAGCCTCCCAAGCAAACAGAACTATAGTTAAAATTCGCTTTCATTTTGACCCAGATACACCAAAAATAATTAAAGGAATAACATACCGTAGTGGCAGCGAAATGATTCGTGTTTTAGACGAGCTTCAAACATATCAAATTTGGTATGGGGGTGATCTTTCAGGAACCATAATCAATGCCTCGTCCCCTGTTGCAGTGTTTGCTGGGAGTTTCTGCCAGGCAGTAGCTTTTGTAAACCAAACTAACCCTGGATTTTGCAGCAAGCTTGACGAGCAACTGCCACCTATTGATAGACTAGATAAGATGTATATAGTCCCGCCTAACTATAATAGGGAGGGAACAATTCTGAAGATTGTGTCTCCTTTCGAAAATCACCTCACATATAAAATTGGAAGTTCAGAAACAGGAAAACGACTAAAACCTAATGGATATTTCGAAATCAAATTCTCAGATGAAGAAGTTGTAGTAATAGATTCCGAGAAGCCAGTTTTGGTCACCAGTTATGCTACTGGATCTGACATCACGGGCGATCCCTATATGGTAACTATTCCTGGAATACGGCAATATACAGATAAATATTTTGTGACAGTTCCTGGAAATTTCACAGAAAATTACATTGCTTTGATGGTTGAGGAAAAATCACTTAACAACGTGGTATTAAATGATACAACAATTATACAACACTTTAATGACAAGAAATTCTATGCCACTGTGACAATAAAGGACGTCAGCTTTGTCGTGCTGGTCTTACAAATATCGGGAGGAACGTTGAAGGTTAAATCTACTGATAACTCCGCTTTCGGATTAATCGTTTATGGACATAGAAAAAACGACGGACATGGTTTTGTAGGAAAAGCAGTGCTACCCGATACTTGCGTCAACTCCTATCAATAATACTGGTGCATATTTTTCGTATCATTTTTATCACATGTTTTCCCAATTCTGCAGTTGAATAATGATCGAAACATGTATGTATTTGACATGTAAACTAACAAGACCTGTATTTCTGTATATACAAGGGCTGTTCAATAAATAATGTCCTTGGTGCTCTGAAAGAAGCAAAAGACGCTTTTCAATGATTTAGACTCAATGATTTCACTTAAATATTCTCTTTTAATTAAAACCCATGTCCATAATATTTTTATCCAATTTATGATTGTTTTTAGATTTTGTTTTTAGTATGACCCTTCGTATACTGAAATAGGGCAGATCCTATAATTTCCTGGAGTTGTTTCTTCTTTCTAAAAGGTGTTTTTTCCAGTTTGAAAAATTAATCAAGTCAAAGGGTGACAGATCTTGCAATTATTGTTTGTGTGACAAAACATTAACTTTCTGTTTATCTCCAAAACACCTTAAGTTTATTTTTCATGGAGTGTGTGTTTGGACGTTGTCATGAAGAAATTTAATGTAGTAGATTCATGATTCAGGTTCCGTCCTCTTTTGAACCTTTCAATCTTTTTGCAAAAATTTTGCTTTCTGGATTCCTCCAGAAATTGAACTGCCTCCCCGAATATGAATTTGAACAACAAGACCACTAATATATGCCATATAAAACTGTTTTTTGTCCTCTTGCAATTCTTTGCTCTTTTCAAACCTTTGCTGTTTTTTGTCAAGTGCATCTAACTGTAAATTTGTTTTGGGGCTTTAAAGCAACTAATTCAAGTTTCTTTATCTGTTTGAATTTCAGACAAATGTGGATAACTACAATTTCTGATTTTTTAAAATAATTGCTTAGATATTCTTACACGCTGTCGTTTTCACTCATTTTCGAAAACTTTAGGTGACCATAATGTACTAAGCTCTTTTTACTGTCAAATGTTTATTTAAAATAGTGAAAGCTATCTCCAAATTGATGCTTATCAAATTTGCTATATGTCTTAAGGTCAATCACACATAATGATAATTTGTTGAATTTTGAAAAAAACATAGGTTGTTGTAAGTCGTTGTCGCCAAGGACGGTACCCATTTTTGATGCCACTTTAACATTATTGTTCATTGAAATCCACCTGATCATGTCAAAAACAGACATTGGATGCTGTAAGTTTTACAAATTTCAGTGAATATTTCTTTGGGATTTTTAACAAGTTTTACGGCAGCTTTAATGAAGCATTTAATTTTAACTCTTAGTTTCTTGGTTCTTTACCATTCATTTTCAATACAGTGTCTCCAATAGTCTTTGTTTTCCAGCTTCTCACAATGAAAATATGAGATGAAAAGTGGTCACATAAACTGTTATTAATTCATTAAAGATTCAATAATGAGAGAAAGTCAAGTTTAATGACATATGATATCTGTGTTTTATGTCATAGAGTTCAGGACACTACTTACTGAACAACCCTCGTTGTATTCTTTTAATATCAGTAAGACTAAGTGCATTTTTACAACACGAAGTTTAATAACAACGCAAAATGTAACAAACCGTGATTGTTGCAATTTGCGTCATTATATTTTACGTCGAGATCAACGCAGAATGTAATAGCGCAAAATGTAATAACACACTTTCTAGGATTTTTACATTTTACATTTTATTATATTTTGCATCGAGATCAACGTAAAACGCAAGAACATAAAATGTAATAACACTCTTTTTTGTCAGCCAGGTTGAGTATAATTTTCAACTGAGTATTTGGCGAAGAAAATATATGAAAAGAAAACAAAACAAAGGAAAAACTAAACATGTGCTTTTTCTTTAAGAAAGATCATAACTCATAATCTATTGATTTCTTAATTAGATACATGTATTTAAAACAAATTTAATATTCAAATCATAGGTGTTGCAAATTAGGATGGTTGCTGTTGTTAGAGGTGGGGTAATTTTGTTGTCTAGTGTGCTTTTGCTTTTACTTTTACAAATGCAATGAATCTCAAAAAATCTTTTAATTGTACTGGCAGGTGTAAATATATAGCGAGAGAGGGTTATTGACAATTATGATTCCATACTATTTTGAGAACACTCTCTCTCTCTCTCTCTCCAGTAATAAAATGGATTATTTCTTATTTTCCATAGTAATACAATTTAAAGACATTCACAAGGAAACAGTTTTTGACACTAACAAGAGTTTTATTCAGTAACATTATAATGTTATTAATGTACAATTATGAATACGTTTTAAAATTAACGTTTCATTTAGCAAATAAACTTCGAAACGGCTGCCCCAGAGCTCTACTTACTTCTCTAGGTGTAAGTATTACAGGCATTATACACTTGGTATAAGGTGATGTCTGTAAGTAAAACTACATTAAGATTTTTCTCGCAAAGTCATTATCGTAAAAATCAAAATTTTACATTCATTTTAGGTAAACAGTCTAGAAATAGCTAAAACGAGAGTACGGTGGTGTTTCCCGTTGATGGATCTACGTTAATGGCATTTGTGAATTAAACTGAGAACAAGCGAGCGTTTGATTATTTCATAAACTGTCATTTATGAATTATACAATCAAAACTTGATTCAATTGATATAAAAGAATTATGGTTTATTCATTCATTTGATATGCTAAATACTATCATTTAGCAAATTAAAAAAAAAACTGAAAAAGATTTTTAAAAATTCTTAAACTGGAGCGAGGGGCCTCCCATGCTCGTACTCCTAGACCATCGAAAAACCTGAACCTTCGAGGAATTAATTGCAAACAGTAGGTCACTTATACATGTTCACATGACCTTTTAAATTGTCTAATTTTTATACAAATCCTAATGTGTGTAGTTTAGCCACTACCTAACCTTTTGACTTAAATATCAATAGTCGTCTTCTTGATCTCATAGAGAATAGTCATTAAGAATTAAATTGCAAAAGTTGAAAAGGCTAATCGAGGTCTCGCGGGAAAAGGAAAGTGTTACACAGAGGCAGAAATACAGACAGACGGACAGACATATGAAGCAGACTTTATTCAAAATCCTATACGTGAAAAGAAGAAAACACTTTATGTAGCCTTCAGCTCAACATTTGGATATATCGACGATGTTTTGTCAATTAATAATGGTTTTATCAATTCTTATGTTGATGTGAGATATCAAGGTGATTTTGAAATAAAAGGTACCACAGAGTCTGACAGATCTTTTTCATGTTTATGTTTGAATATTTTATTGGAAAAAGATGTTAATAGTTATCTATTTACAAAGCTTCATTATATTTAACGAAATAACTTAACCTTTCAATCTTCAACTTTCCATACTTACGCACCATTATACCTATATCACATGCAAACAGTGTTTGTATCTCTCAGTATATTCGATACGCAAGAGAATTCTCTACGTACGAATATTTTCTAAAATGAAAAGTTATTGACAAACAAGTTTGTGGATTAAGAATGTCAGCAGTCTCGTTTAAAGTCATCATTTTGCAAGAGGACAGTACAATGACCTAGTCAGCAAATAAATCTACCACTAAGTCATATGCTGACTGACGTTTTTAATACTTTTGTCAGGTCATTATTTATACACCGAATTGTCAACCGATCTTATCTCTACTTGTATTTCCCGATAATGACAAGAAACACACGGCAGGTTTGACTGCTCGGTAGGGGATGATCACTCCTCCATGGCACATGATCCCATTTCTGGTGTTTTAGAAGTCACTGTTTGCTCTGCTCCTAAACTTGTATTGTCAATGGACTTCGGAGCTTGAATATTGTTCTTTGTCTCCATATATCTTATTAATCAAAAGTATGAATACTTGCAGTGCAAGATTTAAAAGAAAAACTTTTTGAAACTAATGAACAAAAGGCAATGCTTAAGACAATGTCTTATTGTGTATTTAGAAGTCTGTGTTTGTTGTTGCCCTAAATCTAAAATGTTCAAACGGAATTATGAGCTTCATTTCTGTTATGTATATCTCATCGTTCAAATCCCACTCATAATGGCTTTGAAAAATACCCTTTCCAGTGCTGAGTTATACTTCTTGCACTCCAAAAAATTAATTGAATAGAAAAGTATTATTTCCTATATTTTTTACGGCAAGTTTTAAAATTTTGAAAATAAAAATATTAATCATTTTAAAATGTTAATCATTTTAAAATTCATTGCTATACGTTCCACGTAAAATATTGTCACCTTTTTACCATTTACCGGCTTTAAATTTAATTCTATTCTCGGTACAATAGGCATTGAAGATTTTTTTTATTATTCCTACTCCAACCGTGACCTAGGTTTTTAATGTCTCATCTGAGAGACCCGTGAATTTCACTTCCTATGCACTCGGTAGATCAAGCCCGACTGGGGTGTGAAGCAGCGCGATGAAGGAGAATTAAACCTCCATTTCCCTCTTAATTAGGTAGTGATATTCTACTGTCATAAACACACGATCCTTATAATTTTTCCAGTTAGTAGGATGTGAGTGGGTGAATTGTTAGATCTGAAATCTATCATCTTTTACACCAACTCAGACTACAGACAAATAAGTTAAAGTAAAATAAGGTTAAAGATCTTGGAACGATCTCATTTAAAGGTACATGTACCATTTCGTAAATTATATGATGGATATATTTTTCTCCATTACAAAATTCAGGTCACATTTTTAATTGACATATTTCATATCATATTTCAGTCGTTAATTTTACTAACATTTTTCATAGTGATTATTGTTTTTGTTTTTATGCGCCCGAATCGATAGATCCGGGACGTATATTGTTTTTGTCCTGTCTGTCTGTTTGTCTGTTTGTTTGTTTGTCTGCAAACTTTAACCTTCGCCATAACTTTTGAACCATGAAAGATGGAGACTTCATATTTGGTATGCATACTCCACTAATTAAGCTCTTTCAAATGACACCAAGGTCAATTACCTTTTGACCTTGACTGTGACTTACCTGCTAAAAATAGCTTTTTTGAACTTTGTTGCAGCCGGGCGCATAGTGTTTCACAAACACATCTTGTTTTTACATTCATTACTGGTTTCTCTTTTTCCATGATATACTATTTCAGTGCTTTGATATTCTATAAATGTATGTTCATTAAACTGTGAATGTTCAAACATATTAAATCACGCATATAATTTAAAATACATATACATCTGTACATGAAAAAATTGCTATCATGTTTCAAGAATTTTTAAATGTGTGAATGGTAAAGGTTGACTTCACATCACTGAATATTAACGCGACCAAGTCGTTTCTCCGCAGTGCAATTTAACTAAAAATCCCGGCTGCGCACGATCAAATCTTTATAGTAAATCTACCTTGATTAATCTTTACACAGTGTTCAAAAACTAAAAAAAAATGCAAATGTAATATCCATTTATGCACATGAAAATGGATTGATTCATAATGTCAGAAGGCGGAGGGGCCATCTCACTTCAAGAGTATTCTGGAGGAAGTGGGTTAATAAATTCCGAAAAAGGTAAGAGAGAGAGAGAGAGAGAGAGAGAGAGAGAGAGAGAGAGAGAGAGAGAGAGAGCATCAGAACAAAGTACCAGTAAACTGATGTAATTTATTTATTGTGTGGGTATTCATAATGCACTTTATATTTGTATATATTGCACAAAATGTAGAAAGATGAAATCAGAGCTTACTTATATCATATATATTGTCTGATCAATTCAATCAAGCTGGACAATACTAGTTCTATTTTTGAAATAAAGATTTAAAATAAACACATTCAATTCAACCATGTTTGTATTCTTTAAAAGACCACGGACATTTAATTATATTTTTAGCGGAGCTTCTAGAAGTCAAGCGCCGGGTGGATCTGACGGTGGCGGTGAGATTAAGGAGGGCCGCTATTGTTGTGTCCTGGCTGTCAGTCCTGTTCGGATTTACTCAGGGGGTCACGGCTGTAGGTACGGGGTGCTAATCATCCTCACTCTATGTTAATCAAATTTTAAAAAAGAAAATGAAAATACAGAAATTCTAAAACTCGAAATGCTTTCCAAAAATTAAAGATTTATAATAGTTTGTTCTCTGCATTGTGGAGAGGCAACTTATCATTAATTTGTTTCCCCATATACTTGAAATCTACAGTGTTTTTACTTAATGCTTATGTACCAAAACGGAATGTTTTCATTTAAACAACAAATATGTACATTTAAGGGGAATTAAATGTTTGCATATTTTGCATGACAAACTTCATTCAACACATCTGTGCCCAGGATAAAAACGAATATTGATGATATATTTGTATGAGGTCGTGTCACCTATTTATTTCATTTTATGATAACCTATACGCTTTGTCGTTATTAACTTAGCAACAGCTGTAAAAATACTCATTATAGCCCTCAGAGTCATTTGAATGTTCCATTGGATTTTCTAATAAAGGTCTTCCTAGGTATTGCTGACATCTTTTCAACACCAATATTTGCACATGCTCTGAAAAAGATAACTCATGCAGAAATAAAGAATCTTCCCGCAGCCAGACAATTAGAAATTGATTAAAATAGGAATTGTTTTAAAAAAATTCTTTCCACACTAGACAACATAATAAAGTGTGGCACAAAATTATGTGGCACATAAACATTTTCAAAATAAAATGTTTCTCATCGAATTTATCTCAAGAAAAAAAAGTAATAATTTGGAGATAAATTAGGCTAACAAAAGGCAGCCTGTTGATGTTCTATCTATAATATGTACAGAAATCATATAGAAAATTGTATTTTTGCAGTCAACTACAAGTTTTTAAATTATCAAATCAATGAGCCAGAACCACACTTATCAAACGTAAATCCAGTTTTTCTCTCCTTCAGTGAGGAACTTAACATTAGTCTTTTTCTACTTCTTTAGAGAACATTCCTGCAAAAACTTCAGATACACAGAGGTTTTAATGCATCATTTCAGAAACAATTGGCTTATATGCAGTAAAAGCCTAATAGTAAAGTAAACCTATGGCGAATCGAGATTGTTCATACTTAATCCCACTCTCGATTTCTTGAATGTGCTGTTCAAAGAAACTTAATTTTGATTTGAATAAAAATGCTATATCATCTCTGAATACCCTTTCTAATTCTTATAATTTTCTTAATCGTTTTCCCAAGGGACGAAGCGGTCTTAATATGCTTAGGTTTCGTTAAAATATTGACCGATGTCCTGTATGATTACAGCATTAACTTTTTCCCCATTTTTTTTTTTATTTCTTTTCAGTTTATGCTTCAAAACTCAGCAGCGACACATTATTCGGTTTTGGAGTAAGTAAATATAGACTTATCAAAAGAGAATTTCCTTAAAGAACATCAACATTTTATCCTTCCAGCGTAACATTTATGTTCATATTTTACGAAATAATTTGGTATCAGATCCACACTTTTTTGTGCGCAATAGCTTTTTTGGAATTTTATATTTAAATGAAATGGGTTTAAGATTTTATACTTAAACAGTTTGGATTCTAATTTTTTTTAACCAACAACATCCTTTCTATAGCTAAATGCAATATTAGACAGTACATCTTCCATTGTGGTATTATGGCGATTTCACAGCAAAGATCTGTACTCCGAGAGCAGAGAGCAAAAGTGAGTTGACATCAGTAAATATGTCTAAAATTTGTTTGTTTAACGTCTCTTCAAATATTTTATTCATATAAAAACTTCAAAACCTTCCTTTAGAGGGCTGCAATAGCTTACAATTTAGACCATTACTCGGATCTTAGTACTGTATATTACAAGTACACAGAGTGATGACCTGTATATGATCTTTAGAATACAGATTTTTGTATAATTATGAACGATTCAATGAAATAAAATTAGAGATGACCATCTTTATTGCTATTTCATGATCATTAAAATAAATGTATTGCTCTACCAAATAGTTGTCAAACTGTAACAAGCCGTCTGTCAGATGTTATGCATTTAAAAGATTTTTGCTTATTTTCTCTACAGGGCGTGTTTGATTATAGCCATTTTATTTGTGGTGTCCAGCACAAGTTTACTGATTATGACCATTTTAACATTGGTCAAAGAAAACAAAGAAAAACAGGTAATTGTCACATATAGATTAGCTTTTTTGTTTTTTTATTGTTCCCTATTACATCGAAGAAGCCTCTTTGTTTTACAAAACATCAGTCACCCTGTCCTTAAAATGCTACAACTGTATTTCTGTACGGTGATAGTAAAAGTTGAGATAGGATGAAATATATGGGGATAAAAAACAGCATTCAAGGAGCACACGGCGGGGTTGACCAGTCGGCAGGGGATGCTCACTCCACCATGGCACCTGATCCCACCTCTGATGTTTCGGGGGTCCGTGTTTGCTCTGCTCCTATTTTGTACAGTTTTATGGACTTTATTATTGAAAACTGCTCAGTATCTCCATATCCTTATCTTAAAAGCCCTGTCAACCAAAACAAATCAGGAATGAAGCGATCAAGGACGTCTAAAACATCAAAGGTGGAATCAGGTGCCACGTAGCAGTAACCATCTCCTGCCGACTGTTCATACCCGCAGTGTGCTCCGTGTCATGATCGATACATTATGGGAAATCGAATAATTATCGAATACTAGTATTCATCGCAAGATAATTGTTGAAAATTAGAGGTAAAATAATCAGCATTTTACAGAATGATACACGTACATGTAGATAGAACTAACTGACAAGGTAACTGCATCGCAAAATGATGGCTTTAAACGAGACTGTTTGTAATATTATTCTAGTTTCATCAACCTGTTTTTTTGCGAGTTCAACTTCCACCTTGATTTTGAGATGGAAGGTGCAAGTTTTCTTGCTTCAATTACGTCGTTTTAGAAATTTGAGAAAATATATTGGGTATTCGTTTCGAATTGACGGAGAGATATAAACCTCTAATTTAGATAAAAGGAGTATATGTTGCGTAAGTAAAGAGACTTGACGATTGAAATGTTAACGTTATCACGTTATTTAATTTTCATTGGCGTCGGAAGCAAATTGAAAGGGGGGGATAATTGAAAGCGTGTGGGCCTTAACGACCAAAAAAAAGGTAAAGCCAATTTTCAATGCCTGTATTTTGTCTATCTTTGCAAAAAAGGGGGCCCTCCTAGCCCCCCTCCACCTGGTTCCGACGCCTATGTACATGTATATCATAAAGTTTCTTTGTAAGGTTACCATAAAGGTCCTTTTTTCTAGTAAAATATCCAAATGTGAAAAAGATTTGATAGTACGTCGTTGATATATCTAAATACCAAACTGAAACAAGTGTTTCCTTCATCTTATTCATAAAAAATTGAATATACCAGGTTTCCTGTTTCAAAGGTTTGCGCATTTTGGGAAGCAATTTGTACCTATAAGAATTCTAATAAGTTAATGGTTGACCTAGTCTCTCAGAACACAGATACCATCAAAACTTTCAATAAAACTCCGTGGTTCTTGTGTGTACAATCAGAATTATTTTTGATAAAAGGAATTTGCAAATGACCAGTTACAAGGCAACTAAATTTAAGAGTTTCGTTCTTATTGCAAAAGCAGCTGTTACGGATGTCAATATTTTTAATTTATTGTGGGTAATGGTTGAATATACATGTGTTATACAGTTGAAAATCTTAAGTTTTAATGTTATTGATTTTGAAAAAAATGTTATATGGAATTATAATGCAGTAATTCATTTTGTTTCAGCTTGTGACATTGAGTATACTGTCCCTGGTCAATGGCTGTTCTAATCTTGTACTGGGGATTGTGAAGTGTGGTATTGGGTACAAACTAGAGAGTAAATCTCTGATGAATGATAGTAGGTTCATTTACTTTTACAAAATAAAGTGTAAATTATGCAATAAATCATTCAAAAACGATTTTTGTACTTGATAACATGAAAATTAAAGTGCAACTACCGTTATTTCTGTTTATTTATCGTTGTTCGTTATCTCAATATCCTTCATTTAAAAGCTGTTTGTTTTGAATGTAATTATGTGTTAATATATTTTCAAGGCCAAATTAAAGAGCGTTACTGTAAAGTTGCTATAATAATTGCATTTGAAAATAAATTTGAAAATGACTTTTATATAAGCAAATGTAATTATTTTTGATAGGTGTAATCACGTTTGTCGGCGCTGTTATAAGCTTTTCGGCTTTCCTAGCTACAGACCTGTATGAACACAACTCATCCCTCTGGTATATAGACAATGTCTTTGGTGTAGGCTGCAGTTTATTCCTGTACTTATTTGCTATTACGTAAGCCATGCTTAGATTCAGTGATATTTTCCCTCTTTTTTGCAGTTTTTTTTTAAACTACTGTGATAGACAATTTTGTCTTTATTTTTTAATTACAGATTATTTTACCAGTTTTGCAGCAGGGGATCGTCTGTGCAGTCATGAATGTTAATATATTTAACATATTAAACCGTCCCAAGAACAAGTCATGTGAACAGTATTTAGAGATCAAAGTTGATCAAAGACATCTGGTAATTTGTCATAAAACTAGTATTTGTTTTACATTTAGTAGTGTCTGGCATGCACTTTTCTTCAACGTTTACATGCATATCAATCATGGCTAAAAAACATAATTTTATATTTCTGTACATATCTACAAGTTTATTCTCTAAAGATAAACAATTTATGTGTATATATGTTACAAAATTATGTTTAAATTTAACATAATGTTAAATGTCAAAACTCATGGATATACAATGTATATCTATGATACAGTGTTTGCTTTTAAGAGTGCTTCCATATACATTGTCTTTTCATTCACATAACAATCACTATCATAACAAAAATCATGCCTGTTTTGCCTTTTGTTTTTTCTCCTTTTTTGTTAAATAAAAGATACTAAACACTTTTGTTTTAATTTTTTTTAATCTAACCTGAATTGTAGAGGACAATAATAAATCAACGTATACATGAAATATATGGAGATAACGAATAACATTCAAGGTAAAAAGTTCAAGAAACAATAAAAAATAGGAGCAGAGCAAACAAGGACCTCCAAACAACAGAGGTGGGATCAGGTGCCATGGAGAAGTGAGCATACCCCGCCGACCGGTCACACGTGCCCTGCTCTCTTTGTCATGAACGGGAAACAACGGAAAATCCCTCTTCCGTGTGTAAACAATGGACTCACATCACAATTAGTATGAAAAATATCAGTCATCATTTTGACTCAGTGGTAAATTGTATTTACTGACAAGGTCGTTCTTCTATAGGACTCCTTATTGGAACAGAATTTGTGTACAGTATAGTCATACATATCTTTATGGTACCTTAATTCAGAGTCAAATAATATTTTAAACAGGGAACTATATTACCACCTGCAAAATATGGTCTAGAAGAAACTAACAATTTTGACACATCTAATTAATTAAAGCATTCTTAACATGTTGTCAAATAGAAAAGAGAACTTCAGATAAGCCATCAATGAGTGTATCATTAGTCATATGGGTAGAACCAAAATCACAAATATCAATACGCATGACCCTTGTAGTAACAAAATAACGTGTATATTTTCTATGCATTGAGGAATGTTCACGAGAAAGTAAATATATTTTGAGACTGTTCAGTGTATTATGGGAAAGTTCTGCAGTCGGTGGTTTTGGCTGTAAGGTTTATTGTTGATTTTGGAGACAGGAACCAGATGACGGACTTGAGGTCTGAAGTGAAACTGACCTTTCTGTTGTTTTTCTCTCAGCGTTCGATAATACGACATATCAGACAACTTCCGGTCCAGAACTTTTCCGGATTCTTCCTGACACTGTTCTTTCAGGATTTTCTTCAATACTCTGTGAACAACATTTGGATCCGCCTGACGAATCTTCCTCTGGATCTCGTGTTTGAAGTATGCGGGTTGATATCCTCCGTTATATATTTTGGTTTCCAGTGAAATATGTCTTGCTGCTCGAGGGGATTCTACCAGCCTCTTTTTGAAGCCATGCTTCATCGTCTGGAAGTTATCGACCTTAAAATCCGCCCCAATGACTTCCCTATACCCGCGAAGCTGTTCGATATTCCGCTCTGTACGGTCCATAACTCGCTGAAGCAGAAACTCCTGTACCCGCTGGTCACGATTCATTAGTTTTGTAAGTTTATTCAATTTTTCATCTTCCAGTTCGTTTACTCTGTTTACATGCATCCGAATGCGTAGAGACTCTTTTGCTATGTCTGCAAACATTGCGCCTTTCCCAACGAAAGATTCGTTAGGATAACCTATTTTGACTTTTCCCTTTGGCATCCTTAAAATAAGTTTTGAAACATGAAGTAATAAAAAGCATAAAATATTTTTTTGCATATGGAACACAAATTTACCGAAATAGTACCAAAAAGAAAATGATGCAGTAGTTAATTATTTTATCTTACCTTTACTAAGAGAATGAATGAAACACCGCCTCTGTTATCACTTCTTACATTCTTACAATTAAAAGCAAGTACACAAATTCGTTTTAGACAAGTAACAAAAATATGTCTTTCAATAACGATAATAGAGAACTATAACCCAGAGATAACGTAGATCTCTGAAAACAATAGAACCTATACAATTTCAAATCAAATCAAATCTGAGATTGCAGCATCGTAATCTGAGTCCTCGCTGTTATTGCTTATATCCAACCCACGGGAAAGAAGGTCAAATATTTGATTTAAGACATCGATATTAAATTGAGTTATTATGACCAGGAATATAAAAGATTGGATCTATATTCACCGTCTGTCAATAACTTTGTTACAATGCATGAAAGCGACGTAATCTGTTTAGATTTATTGAAAACAAACGAGGCGATCAATATTATAATATCAGTTTTCAATTATGTGAGTCTGTCATTGTCGGCATTGAATAACTTTGTGAATATGTTCCAAAGAAAGCAATGAACAAGAAATTAGTTTTACACTTTATTCAGCACTGGATTCTAAAATGAGATTCTTTTTTTATTCCGTTAAAACAACTGCCAAATTTTGTATTTTAAAAGAAAACAAAAAAGTCTCAATGATCTGAGCTGTATGTAATTTATATCTATATACATTTAAATGATTTTGTATATCATTAAATCAATTTCGAAGAAAAATTGAAAATAATCTTCATTAATGATATTACGGATTTTAAAGCCTTTGTTCCTTGACAAATATTCGATCTTTAGGCTTTCACTCTTCCACAGGCACGTAACTTCCTTAAATTATTGACTCTCTGTGAGTGTAGTGCCTATGATAATTTTTTATGAACAACTTTTCTAATGAACGAGAATTAATTATATGTAATAAAAGCGGCTTTCTCTAAAAATAAAGTGAGAGATTATGGTAAAATTCGTTAGAGTCAATGCTTACAGAAGTATAGACCATTTGAGAGGGCATTTAATATATCGTGGATATTTAGGTGTCCACTGAGGCGGCCTTTTAAAAACAATCGATCCATTCTCGTGTATAGACTTGAAAACTTTAATGGAGGTTGTCCAGAAAGCAGGTAATGATTTAGTTGTACTTATTATATTTAATATTCCACTGGTTTACTTTTTCTTTAATAATGCATACAGATATGATTAGTGTATGTTAATAATATACGTCTTCAAAGATCATTGTCACGTTTATGGAGATATGTATTACATTGTACGTGCTTATTGGTAAACATGGATTTCATGAATATTCATTATGAAAAGTCTATTGTCTGCACGTGACACTCAACAACCAATCCTAGCTAGTAGTTGAAACTACTGCATAAACAAAATTATAACTTGTTTGACAATGTTTATTGAAATAATGTATGATAAGATTTTTTGCATATGATGAGGACTCGTGATGTTCGTAAATATAAATTGCTGCTTTCTTACGAAGCTAAAAACATATCTGTATATCTAAATTCGGTAATTACATCGATATCGTGATGCAAAAGGGCTCCCGGACAAACGCTTAAATGTATATCCATATTATCTTGTATATTAGTTTTTAAATTTCTATGTATGAGGCCCCGTGTCACAGCATGTGTGGCACGATAAAGATCCCCCCTGCTTAAAGGCCGTGAGTGCCGAGCATAGGCCTAAATTTGCAGCCCTTCACCGGCAATGGTGACGTCTCCATATCAGTGAAATATTCTGGAGAGGGATGTTAACAGTATTCAATCAATCAATCTATGTATGAACATTATTATTTTTTTGTTATTTAATAAAATGTAAATATTTACGATGTCTTTTGTTAGTTAAAAGTTTAATAATTTGCAAAGAAAAATTCTATGACAGGATATACTAAGTACATTTTCTAATAACCTCTACAAAAACAAAGAAGAGGTATACCTTTATATGTGAAAGTATCTTTATCGTGTATTGCAGTTGTAGAATGAGCAGAGAAGAAAGTCTTCAGCGATTTTTAAAGAAAATAAAGAAAGGCAGTAAAGCACAGAATGTGTTGATACTTGGTCAGTATGGTTCGGGGAAATCCACATTTATCAACACAGTCTGTGCCAGTTTGTCCGGAGAATGGGAACCGTATGCCTACGCCGGACAATCAGGGGGTGAGGGACGTCAGACGACATTCCACATCCGAATGTATGTGGGCGGGGTCTATTTTCGCCACATTTTAAAACTATTCAAAATATAGGAATAAATGTGAACACATTTGGCGGGTCAATGTTTATTCTTCGAATTCGTGTAAGATAATTCACGTTTATCTTAAAAACTATTTTATGATAGAATCGACACAGAGCGTTGCATGCCGGGATGTTGGCGGAGAAAATTGCCGACTCTGATCGACACCCAAGGCTTTGAGGACAACCCGCAGGAAATACATAGAACTCTCCTGGAGTGGTTGTTAAATGGTTACTTCTCTGACGGCGAGAGCATCAAAAAGGCTGCTGACATTTACAAGTAAAGCTTGGTGTATATCCAGAGAAAAGAACATGAAAATGAAACATGTAGCTTGAAATACTCGTTCTGTTTTAAGCTTTTAGAATTGACATATAAGTATACAATGTGTATATGAATTGTAGCTATCACATCTGAGTAGAAATAGAATACCATTATTCATGTAAATAACCTTAAGTAATATTTTGCTTAAGGGCTCAGTGCATGTTTGTTTTAGTTAAATTGTTTTAAAGGTCTCTGCCACTCAATCTGAGCCGATATCCTCTTGAAATTGTAGAGAATTTGAAAAAGCCGGTCTCTCTGGGGAAAAGGGACTCCAAGCAAAATATGGTTTCTTTAAAAGAAGAAAAGTTCAGATAGATAGAGTTGTCTTTGTGGCCTCTGCTATGTCAAGCCTTCCACAAAACCTGCTGGAATTGGTACGGAACACGACCAACTCTCCTAACAGAGGTAATATATAATAAAATAGATTCAGTCATTTCTATTGACTTATCTCCCTTCATTGGCATATAATTGATTCATTGAAATTTTTCCAACAGGGCTAATTGCAATAAACGGAGTACAATTAATATTTAAAAAGAGTTAATGTCCTGTTTTGACACATAATTTAAAACTCATTTATAAATGAAAGATTAGCTGTTTGATATTTTGAATTACAATTTATTAGAGTTACAGCTATAATTGATTTGCTTCGGGTGTACTAATTCAAAATTTCATCTAAGTACATATCTCCTGAAGAATTGCATTCTCCATTTTAGTATTTCTGGAATTCCAAAAATAAAAGTTAAATGCTTAGATTTTTCAGCTATAATAAAATCTTTCAAGAACGCTGAAGAGGAATTGTACGAAAATTGCACCAAGCACAAGAAATGTTGAGATGCATAATCATGTAGAACTTTATACTCGTGGAAATCAATCTGCAAATGAAGCAATGATTCTTTCTTTATGTGATCGGTACACCGATATTCCTGTCAATTGTTCTACTGTATTTGAAGTTCTATTGTTTTATGGTTATATTGTCTTTCTTTGCAACAGTACATTTCTATGGTTCTATCGTTTTTGAAATTGAATTATTCTATAGTTTATTGTCTTTGTACAATTCTATGGTTATGTTGTCTTTGTAGCTATACCACTTTATGGAGTGTTGACACACGTGGACAAAGTTAATGAGAGAAGTGATTCTTTCCTCAGGACAAGAAGAGAATTTCAGAATAAGCTGGGACTGACCAATGATCGATATTTACAGTGTACTAACTACTGTGATGACTTTTATTCTGAGGTACACAGCAGGTATCATCCATGCCAAGACATAGATATCCCCGTCATTGAATTCATGACCCAGGTAACTCTTACACCACCATAAGTTCATGTATATTAATGTTCAAATTATACATCTTCTCAATTTCATTTCTCGTAAAAATAAGGTTTTATCAAGAAAATTGACAATACTATTTTTTAATATTCTGATCATTCATTTATTGCAAATTTGATTTGAATTGTTGATTTGAGACGTACTCTAAAAATGGGTTATACTTGTATTTTTGTTCATGTCAACAAGAGGAATTTTCTTTCTTTCTGTTAAAGGTTTGTAATCCTGTTGCAATTACCATTCATCACAAAATTACCCGAAGATACAACCCTTGCTTCAAAGCTGGATTAGTGATGTGTATTATATCCTCCCTAATAATGATATCCATTTATTTTTCAAAGCCTGATAATTTTACACACATAGACGTCTTTTATTTGTACTATGACTTTGTGATTAGGCATATAATAGAAATTAAAGAAGAACCTGACATAAAACATGATAATTAAAATTTTACTTTTAAAACCATTGCCTCTTATTTATTGCATACAAATGTAAAATATTGTATTTATCGAAAGGAAACTATTCATTTCACAAGATTGGCTGAACTGTATTTGCTCAGTAGAAGTAAATCACTGAAGGACCCTCCTAGGAACTGCTTCGTACCTGTTTATTAATTAAAGTTTAACTGACAAGGAGATCATTTTTACACTGAAAAAACATATTCTTATTTCAACTATTGAACTACGGCATCCTGATTTAGCTAGGATGTTCTAGAAACAGATCATGTTTTAATGACATCTTACCCTAGATTGCAACCGTTTGCCTTAAAAGACATTTTATCTCTTTGGTTAATTAGAGTATTATATTTTTTATTTATTTTAATTTTAAGAAATGCAATGTTTTTGACAGAAATTTTGATTACAATATGATAGTTATCACATCCATGATTTCGTACATATATTGTATGATTGACACAATGACCTTGTAAGCAAATAAAATCTATCTTGAAGTCAAATGTTATTTTTTTAAATATTTATTGGTTGGTCATAATCTACATGCTGAATTTTTTAAACGATTATCTTGTTTTCTCGGTCATGAAAAGCACATGGTGCGTGTGACCCGTTGGCATTTGATCCCATATGTGAAATTTTTAGAGGTCTATGTTTCCTCTGCTCTTAATTGTATCGTTTAAATGATTTTTGATCTTGAATACTGATCTTTTTCTCCAAATATTTAGTTTCTTTTCTATCCTTGAGTCTTCTCAATCATTACGAGAGCCATGCTCGAAAAGCAATCAAACTCAAGACCATTGAAACAATGCATTGTTTCAATGGTCTTGAGTTTGATTTCTTCTCGTTATCTTCTCTCATTTAATAGTTTCCAAATATTTCCTGTATAAATATACAAGGCGAGCAAGACAAAAGTAATGAACTTTGAATCATTTTCAATTCAATTTGGTGTTTTCATTAGATTGGGCAGTAAAATGCCCAGTAAAATGTAACATATATTTCAGTCGAAATAGGCTTTTTTTTATATTACTAGTACATTGTACTTCATCACTTACATAAGGGTTTAAATCTCCCGGTAAGTTAGACAAGCAGATTTTCGTTTGCTACGTAACTAGGAACAATTTCTAAAACAAAATAATTTATTGAGAAAGACGCTGATGGAATAAGAATATCAACACTCTCATTTAAAGTCATCAATTTGTAAGTACATGTACTATCGTCGATACAGTGACCATATCCGTAAATACTATTTATCATTAAGCCAAATGCTGACTAACGGTTTTCATACTAATCGTTAGCCCATTATTCAGACACTAAGTCATCAACGGATTTTCCCTTTATTTTCCGATCCGAACAACGAGCACACGGCTGTTGTAACCGATCAGCAGGATAAGCTCTCTCCTCCACGGCACATGATCCCACCTCTGTTGTTTTAGAGGTTCTTGATTGTCCTCCTCCAAATTTGTATTCTTTATGGACTTTGTATTGTTTAACTTTTGAGCTTGAATATCGTTCGTTATTTCCATATACTTCACACAAATATTCTTTGACGCTACTGAGTGCTGTATAGCATTCGTCAGTTTACATCGGTGACGTTTGATTACACTGAACAGTGGCTATATATATTAGCGAGCAGTTCAGACTTGGGACCCCTGATATAGCGAGAGACCATTCGAATATTCCAAGCATATTGCATTTACTCATATTTGTATTGCAAACTCAGGCGTTCAATAAACGCCAACTTTTTGCGTTCTAAACTTCGCTAAACTTTTTATAGTTTTTATTTTTAAATTAAGGACTATTTATTAGGTACAAAATGATATGTTTAATTTGATTAAAAAAATAAAAACTATGGAGTTTACGTTTCGTAGATCATGTAACATTGCAGTAAATTGCACTGTTCAGTCACATAATTCAGCCGATAATGTCTCCAACCGTTTCATAGGTTGTTGAAGTTGTTGTTTTGTGAACAATACCTTAAAAGCATAAGTAAAAGAATTACTTTTAGTAATCACCATGGTAGTAAATATTTGTGTCTGTTAAAAGTTGCTGAACTATATTATAACATTCCTCTTTTTAATCTATTTTCAATATTTAAGAAATTACTAAGTAAAGCATAAAAGGGCATAAACGACACACAAGTACTCTGAAGATGACTTCAAAAGATGTTTGAGCTCTAATTGACAATATCTTTTTGGTTTTTCGGAGACAAAGTCTTCCAACAATCTATTGAAAATCAAAAGGGTACCAATTGCGCCCCATTGCGTTAGCAGCCCTATTTTTCGGTTCATATGCAGACAATTTTGTCCAAATTTTTTATGAAATAAGAAAAGACTTGCTGTGACCTTCAACCAAACATGTAAATATATCGACGATGTATTGTCAATTAAAGTAGGGGTCTAGTCGTGTGACGTCATAACCGGATCGGACTCCCGGATAGGTTTTTAACACTATTATTTATCGATAACATCCCGCAGTAATGGCGGCAAGAAATAAGAAGGGGAAATTCGTGAAATCCTCTCGTATAAAGCAAAATGAAGTCCTGAGGAGAGAGTGTGTAAAATATTGGGACCGCAGTGATGATAATACTTCCAAAGAAAATGTTGAAACACCAGTAATCACTCCAGTTACGAACGAAGACCATGTGTATCACTGTGTTGACCCTCTTGCTAGCGATGTCCGTGTTGCTAGAGAGGAAATTGTTGAGCCAACAGGTAAAAATGATTGGAGCGAAGGTAGACGTATAATCGAACTTGGTATCCTTGCAAATAATTTAAAGGAGTGCAAGAGATGTGGGCAACCTTTGCATTTATCCGATTGTGTTGGAGAGACTAGATTCGGACTCGCTCAAATTCTCCAAGTGCAGTGTAGATACCAGGAGTGTGGGCTACTTAATGATGTCCCAACAGGCAAAAAACATCTAACAGAAAAGGGAGGAAAAGCATGGGATATTAATACGAAAGTAGCAGTAGGTAAGTGTATAATAAGTATGAAATAAACTTGGATAAAATTGTGTACATTGGTGTTTTTAATCAGGGGTGTGCAATAGATATTACAAAAATAAATTACTAGCCCGTTGCGCTAGTGACTAGCCCATTAACTACCGAAAACAATACATGTATAAGTATAACATAAAGGTTAAAAAAAATATTGAAGTTGAAATAAAACAAATAATGGTTTGCACTTTGTAATTGTCAGGTACTTCCCCCTATTTATATCGACTATAATTGTCAGTGAGATGACTGGCGATAGGAACACACAATGCATATAGGTTAAAACGAATTCAAGATTTTGATTTTTCAGAAAAGTTAATTCGTACCTAAATTCAGTCGAGGTAAATATATGTTTACTTTCATTTTAGATTTACTAGCCCGACGGGCTAACGCAGTATAGATTTAGATAGCTGACCTCTTAAATTGGTAGCCCCGGGTGTCGGGCGATGGTGATTGCACACCCCTGTTTTAATCTTTGATTATTGTTTTAAATAATTGTGTTTGTAATATTTTAGGAATGATCAATGGTGGCTTTGGAGAGTCTCATTTAAATGCCTTCTTAGCAGTACTAAACATTCCAGGAATTTCAAAGGGAGGTCTAAAGGAAAGGGAAAGGGAAGTTGGCAGTACACTGAGTAAAATGGCAGAAGAAAGTTGTCGAACCAGTCTATTAGAGGAAGTTGAAAAGTACGTTTATTGGTATTTGTCAAAATAATTTGAATTATTGAAAAAAAAAAAAAAAAATTTCATGCATGATAATTATTGGATTTTTCTTCAGGAGTGATGGTAATCTCACTGTCAGCTTCGATGGTGCCTGGCAAAAACGGGGTACTGGGCGTGCCTACAATAGCCTTACAGGTATTTTTTGATGGTTTAAGAAAGTCATCAATTATCCTAATTAGTAATTTGAATTGGATGCTTTGACTTTTCACTGATTACTAAAATAATACAAAGTATTTACTGCTATTGAACAATTTTCTTTATGTTTGAAGGACATGCAAGTTTGATCGGAGAAAAAACCAAGAAATGTGTTGGTTATGCTGTAAAATCTAAAAAATGCAGAATATGTGACTTGGCAAAACGGAAGGATGTTCCTGTGAGGAAGCACAAATGCAGTCGAAACTGGTCAGGGTCAGCCAAATCTATGGAACCTGCTATGGCTTGCGAGATGGTGCAGAGCATAAAAGATCAAGGTGAAAAGGTATGAAATGTATAGATATGTTCAATTTTATATCAATATATCTGTGTACAATCAATATTCAAAATCCATGAAGAGCTAAGAGGTGAAAGCGCTATGAATTAAAATGCCACCTTCCATGAAATCTTTATTAAATATTTATATATATGTGAAGATTGTAAATGAAAGTGCTAATGCATTACTGTTTTTTATTTTGCTTATAATTATAAAATGTTGTTAGGTTACCACGTTAGTAATGGACAACGATTCTACAACAATAGCCAGATTGAGAGCAACTGTTGATCCAGATATAAAGAAAAAGGTGGACAGCAATCACATGAAAAAGGGGTTTACTGGAAGTCTTGTGGAAATCAGCAATACCCATAAAGTATTGAAAAATGTTAAAGTTAGAACACACATTGAGAGATGCTTTACATATTGTGTTCATCAGGCATCTGAAGATCCAGAAAAGTTAGCTAATGATCTGGGGAAAATTGTTCCTCATTTATATGGTAAGAATACTACTTGCAAAAAGAATGAACATATATTTAAGTTTGACACTGGCAAGAAAAATAATTTTGTTTTCTAATTATTTTTAGAAATTGGTCTGAGTTCATGATAATGTATGAATGCTGTATTTGTATTAGTGTATTTAATCTTAAAAGGGGACCATTCCATGTGTGGCACATGGTGCAGGAGTGAACAGACTGGTTACAAACCAAAAAACTTGCCATATGGGAAACCTCTTACAAGTGAGCCTCTGAGATCAGCTCTAGAAAAACTGTTTGAGAAGTATGCAGACCGGGCAACTGAGTTGGTGTCGATGGGATCCACTCAAGTGAATGAAAATTTTAACCACATGGTCTCTAGCAAAGCGCCTAAAAGAATGTAAGAATTTTTAATTTTCAAATTTATGAAATGATAAAAACCATGCACATAGATAAAACATGTACCTTTTATTAATTAGACTATGTCACCTAAACTGTTCATAGGTTTTATGGAGGTTCAGACAGTCTGCATAGTAGAGTATCTGCAACTGTCTGTCAGAAAAATGAGGGGTATAATTATATAACTGAGGTATACAAATGAAAAAAAATGTTCTTTGATGTTCTTTTGATGTTCACACATGGCAGTTTAGGCAATGTCTATAAAGTAAAGTATTTAAAAGGAAACATCAAAAATACCATTACATAGCCTAAACTTGTTTGTGTAGTTTTTGTTCTTGTCTTGTTTACATTTTTTTATTTACTTGACGCAGTTGAAATCATTTTTAATGCATGATTAATTTTTAAGGGTTTTGAAAGTTCTTCGAGAATTATATCTATAAAATGTGTGAATTTATTGTTACAGTAAAACTTGTTTAGTACGAACATGGATATTGCAAATTCACGGATATAGCGAAGTCATCTTGGATCCCCATCTATATAAATTTAATGAACTTCTTATATGGATATAAAGAATTGCGGATATAGTAAAGTAATTTTATAGGTCCCGGTGACTTCGTTATAACCGAGTTTTGCTGTAATACATTTTAATGCAGACACATTAGATTTTTTACTCCATAAAATATATAATCTCTTTACTTGAAAAAAAAATTACATGTTTTACATATTGATAAGGATCTGTTGATTCTTCTTTTTTTTCTTTTCCAGAAAAAGTTTTCAATTTCATATTTTCTATTTTTCTCAGGTGAATAAAAGACTGACAATGTCTCCTGGAAGATACACCCTCAAGCATTCCAGGATCCTACAAAGCAGACTGAAGCTGAAGCGATTACAACAAGCAAAGCGGAGCACAAAGCGGAGGCGCTTAGAGCTGAAGACAGAGCGGTCTGCAAAAGATGCATCACAATCTGTTCTTGAAGGTAAGTCAGATAAATACTATTTATCTGAAACTTAATTTATATGTGTGATGTTTGTTTGTTTTTACCTATCATTTTTTCCGAACATTTCTATTGCAGCGGATACATACAGCAGCAAAATTGGTTTGAGTGATGAAGTTGATTTGGAGGACATTTCTTTGAATAAATTAGATCAACTACCAAGTACCAACAAATCTTACATGGTATTTGACCTAGAGACTACTGGTTTAGGTTTGTGAACTTGTTTTTTTCTTTGTAGAAATAGCTAAGGAATATATTATATAAGGTTAAGAGAATTGTGTTGCACTTGACTTAGAAGTATACCCTATGGGAGTTTCAATATTTATTTTTATTTATTTCAGCCAGGACATCAGACATTGTTCAGATTGCAGCTGTATGTGGAGAGAGAGAGTTCAACATGTACTTGACACCGCAGTCCCCAATTAGTCTTGATGCATCTGCAGCAACTGGCCTTACTTTTGTTGGTGGTGTGCTGAAGCATAATGGCAAGAAAGTGGACCATAAAGAGCCATTTGAAGGACTTCAGCAGTTTGTTGAATTTTTGAAGACTGTTGATTGTAAACCTATTTTGGTTGGGCACAATATACAATGTTTTGACCTACCAGTGTTAATGAATCAGCTAGTCAAATGTAAATTACTTGACAGTTTTGCTAGCACTGTCACTGGATTTATAGATACCTTACAAGTGTCTAGGAAATCTTTCAGCAAAGATGATGTTAAAGATTTTAAACAAGTCACTCTTGTAAATACTTTCATTGGAAAAGATTATGAAGCTCATAATGCTATTGCTGATGTGAAGGCATTGAGGGAACTTTTTGAAATGAAGTTGTTGGCTCTGTGTTCAGCTAATGATGTGTTCACATTGAATTATTATACCATAAAGAAGTCTTTAGAGCCCCTTGTTAAGGCAAAGATTGTATCTTCCATGATTTTGAAGAAGTTGATTGCAAATTCTCTTAGTTTGTCTAAGTTGGTGCTAATCCACAAGAGGGATCCACATAATGGGTTACGAAATGTTTTTAGTGAACCATTATCAGGTTCAAAGCAGCCTAGAATATCCAAGTCATCTAATGTAATCAACAAATTGGTTGAATATTTGAATAGCTGTGAATGATTACTGTTTGTATGTATTTTAATTTAGACAAACAGTGTGTAAAATAAAGGTCTAAAAACTTGTATGGGAGATTTCAGTCAACACTCAACCTAACGTTAGACTGTATTTTTTTTATGCTGACTGTTAATATTCTGTTGTATACTAATTTTTTGTGTATACTGTTGAACACATAATTGGATGTATTTTGACTCAATGTAGTGGAAAGAGTAATGCTTCAAAATTGATGACTGATTAGACTGTGGATTTTCATTTCATTTACTTGAAAAACAGATACATGTACATGTATAATATGTGAAATATATCTGTAATTAATGGCACACAGAAAGTATTATAGGTTTTAAAATTATATTATATTCTAAAGAATGTTGTTATTCTTTTGCAGTTATGCATCTATGAAATGAAATAAAAGTCATCAATAGCTTTGTATTTTTTATCTTCCATCATTTGAAATTCCTTATCAAAAATCTCAATTTGGACAAAAAACGTATAAATAAATGGTGGTGCTGAGAAAAAATATATGCTGGCAATGTGCTGTTTTTTTAATTTAATTTTAACAAATAGTCATAGATGAACATAATTTGAGAATTTGACCGAAAAATCACAAGTCAATTTTTTTTTACAATAATTTTAATAGTGTTGTACTTCCAAGTTTTGGGGCTGGTCGAGGGTTGTATTTTGTTCAATTTAGTCCCCAAAAACCAAGGAAAATATAATAAGAATAAAATTTTACTGTAATTTGTTTAATTGGATATATTTCTTTGATTTAAATAGGAAAAATCATTCAATAGCATCAAAATTAGTGTTTTTATGTACAAATTATGTGAAACCTTTATTGGAATCTCATATCGTCAATTGAAAAATGGGGGTACCTATGTTTGAGAAACTCTCTCTCAATAATAATACTGACAACCCCTTCTTTTTTCCAATTCATCATACCTTAGTATGAACAATCTAAACATTTGAGAACAATTTTTTGAAAAATCACAAGTAGGTCCAGTACTAGGGACCTACCTTAACATTGAAAACTTCCATCTTATGTCGATACGATATATCCCGGTCAGCTAGAGATAAAGGAAAACATAGAGTCTGACACATCTGTTTCATATTTGGATATTTAACTTGAAAAAGACATTAATGGTAATTTAACAACCAAGCTCTATGATAAACATGCTGACTTTGATATTTCAATCGTCAACTTCCCTTTATCACCTGCATACAGAGTTTACATATCTCAGTTGATTCGATAAACGAGATAATGCTCTACGTATGAACAATTTTCTAAAACGAGGTAAATTATCTATCGATAGTCATGAAACAAGAATATCAGAAGTCTCGTTTAAGGTTATCCTTTTGTTAGTCCTATGATCGATACTATGAACTTGTTAGCGAATGCATTTCATCATTGAGTCAAATTGAAAGCAAATAAAAATAGAAATATTTATATTTATATTTAAAATATTACAGGAAATGCTTGTATTACCGTATTGACAGATGAATGAATACTGGTAGAAACTGTTGCTACAAGCATAATCAAACCATCGAAATCCATCGTATATTCTCATTAGAGCACAGTCTTCAAGGGTTCCACTGGCAAAGAGAAATCCACTTTGAGATGGTCCCTGTCCGGGCTCCCAATTACTGTAACTCATTCTAGGATCACCTGTCAGAATTTTAAAAATACCTGTATAAAAACGAAGTCTGGAACTTCAATGGTGATGGTAAAATAATATTTTTATTTGAAGTCTTTCGTGAAGTTAAAATTATTCTTAATGGATGTGGTATAAAAATACTTTATCAATATGAAAACAGCATACAGCACTGAATATTTTGATATTTCTTCATAATTTCCCAACCTTCTAAAAAGAAATGCATTTTAAATTGCTTTGTTATTATAAAACCATCTGTAAATCATTGCACAGATGAGTTAAACTGTAGTGAACTTTAAGTTTTCACTTTTAAATATTAGCTGATGGTCCATCGTTTGCCTATCACAGCATCGCCTTATATACCTACATACATCACAATAAATTATACCTACCAAATTTTTAGTTCCTTAGCGGTGAAACCGGAGGGGACTATAGGTTTCCACCTAGTCTTTCCGTCTGTCTGTCAGTCAGTCTGTCAGTCTGTCAAATGTTCCGGGTTATCTTAAGGTTCATTGATACTCTGATAAGAGAGATAACTCCACAGATAAGAAAGATAACTTTCTGCGGGCATTTTGTCATGAAATTCAGTGAATTTTCATGCCAGAGTTTACAAATCTCTATCATTAGGACCATTTTATAGATAACTCAAGCAAAACCTACCCCATGGTTCAGAGGTTGAAATCTAGTTCTATTGATAATATATTTATAAATTATTTTTAATAGTTTACCTAAAACATTTATACTCAGTTCCTTTAAACGGAGTAAATTAAAAAGAAATCTAGCTCTAAACGTGGAAGTCTTTTAATTGTACAGAAATTACAGCCGCAGAATTGTTTATAAACATTTAGATAATATTTTATTTCATTAAAAAGAATTTCAAGGGTGATAATGGAACGATAACTCTTGTTTATGGATGCTTCTTATTTTACATGCACAGAAAAAAATTTGATATTCTGATTTAAAAAGCATCGCTTTAGTATGTTTTCTAAAGGGAATTAGATAGGTATGAGAGTAAATATAATTTTTATATATACCTCATATTTCTAATTTAATTGTGAGATTAAAAATAATTGATCTTTCTAATGACCATATCAACTTTTCTTCACATCATGATTTGACATATTATTCATTTCTGAAAAATTAAGCAACGCTTCATACCTCAAACTATTTTCTATTTGAATTTAATGTTATAGTTGTTGCTGAAAATCAATGTTTGGAATTTAAAAAAAAAAGTCGTGAAATGTGGAGCAGAGGGTAATTGTCCCTTTAAAGCATAAATGTTAGAGAAAGCCATATAGATATAAAGAGAAAGCTGGCAGGCAGATGACAAACAAATTGTCAGTCCTTAGAAATGCTGTCTGGGAAAAATATTATTTGATTTTGACTCGTGGTACATCAGTTTGCCACCACCCTCCTAAGAAATAGTGTGATAGTGTAATAAGGTTAATTAAGGCAGATTTTACTTTTTTCCCTTTCTATTTCTCCTTGTATCATGTCATCTTGGATGTGAATATTTTTGCGAGACTATATCGCGAGATTTTTGGTAGTTGCCTATCCCGTTAGTATGTAGGTCCCTGATATATGTAATTGTAAATTCATGATTTTTTATTCATTGTTTACATTTAATCGTATATGCCTTACTACAACAAACACGTTAGGCTGACCTGAGGCCCATATCCAATTTGATTCTGACTCCCTGTCGCTGGCCCCAATCCAGAATCCGTCCTCCTCTGACCTTTGACCCGACAAAACCCTTTGGAGAAAATGCTGCATCCCAGAATCCCGGATCTGAACTAAGTCTCCGCCCTGTTGACGACACTTGTGTCTTGCTTCATCCCAGTTGTAGTTCCCATAATGCACCTTCAGACAAAAACCCCCGTATGTATACAAGTCGCTTTTACTCAGGTTTGGCGGGCAGTTGTCAGCGGGCAAACTTTGAACTTCAAAAAGATGCATCAACCTTTAGCGTTAAATAGTGATGCTCTGACAAAAAGCGACATAGCTCCCCTTGATTTCCACTTATATATATATAGGAAAAAATCTTTACATTTGTATTGATGCATGTTGTTAATTTTATGGATCTTCCAAAAGGCTAACCATGATTAATAATTAAGGTAGAAGTATGCTTACCAAAACAATTGAGAAAAATAAAGAAGCTTGAATAGAATATATCCATATCTTAACAAAACCCACGACTGACAATAAGAGATATACCTAATACACTCTTTCATTTTTCGTCAGCTGGAGCTATTCACAGAGAAAGAACTTAAAAGCGCCTCAAATCATATCTGTACACAGAACCATGACCATGCATGGAATTAGGTAAGTATACAACACAATACCAGGCTAGTACATGTTTGAATTTTATTCAAAAAGCATTTATATTGCAGTTAGAGATGAACTGTTTTTTTAAGTACTTAAATCAAAGTTGGTATTCGAATTATGCATTTTTGATCCTTTTAAGATATCAAAGAAGGTGCATTATAATGTAGGATTTGTACAGTCAGCATATCTATTTCATACCTATGCAAAGATTATTGTGGCATATTTCTGCCCCCTACATGCAAAATTATTTAACATTTTGTGCTTGAATACTGTTTGTTATCTCCATACATTTCATAAATATGTGGACATATGTCACTTATTTATGGCAACATGGATCCGGACCTCAAACATCAGAAGTAGGATCGGGTGCCATCAAGTTGTTTGTTTAAAGCCTACCTTGCCTTTGAAAGTGTTAATTCGTAGAGCATGCTCTTGAGTATCGAATCAACTGAGAGATGTAAACTCCGTATGCAGGTGTTAAAGGTATACTGCAGCATAAGTAAAGGAAGTGGACAATCAAACGTTGAAGTAATCATAATTATTATAGATCTTGGTTGATGGAATACCAATATAATTTTTACTAGTAAAATACTCATATATGAAACATATGCGTCAGACTCTTTTGCATCTTTTATTCCAAACTCACTGGAATTTGTCGACATAGGAATCGGAATAACTATTGTACATCGCCATTCAGTAATATTGACGAGGTGTTATCAATTAGATAACACCTCGTCGACATATCTGAATGTCGAGTAGAAGATAACCAGTCTTTTTCTCTTCTCATGTATAAGATCTTGAATAAATTGAGACTACTTGATTTGAATACAGATTTTGATCTGCTTATAGAAAGAGTTTATTATTACCTAAGGCATTCTAGCAGATAGTAGGAAAACCTGGTCTTCTAAAACAACGTAGATACTGTCAGTCAGGAACTCAAGCATCTTTTATTTTATTTTTTTTTAATTTATAAGAAAAAACATAACATCATATACATGTTACACACAATGCATTGATTTGTTAAGTTGAACAATATAATTCCTTTCTATTTGTCATGTATAAACCATATGGAATTATTTATCATAAAATATCAAAATGAAGAAAAGTCATTTAAAAAATCCAGCTGAATATCGTACGTATAATTGTAAAGGTACCCTTATAATTCTAGGAGACCTCACCTCCAGCTCAAATTACAGTCTAAATATTGTCTTCCAGATAAGATTTGTAGAAAAACAAGCTCATTCTACAATGGGTTTTTGAATTCTAATTTGTCTTTAATACATTTTATAACATTACAATATTTCAAATGGTGAATTTTCTAACATACTTCCGAAAAATATTCAATATACTCTTCATATAATAACATATTTCTTGAGGTTTTTCTTCTTTGTTTTCTAGTCTACAGTGCATTTTGTATTTGTAAATTTTAAATGCAATCAGGGATATTATGCTATTCAAAAATAATATCTTTTCATTATAAAATTCAATAACAATAATTTTCCATGATGTATCAAATTTCAAGTCGCGCTGAACAACATCCCATATGTGAGAAACATTTTGACATTTTACAAAAAACATACATTTCATTTTCAACAATTTTCCATTTCGTCAACATTTCTCTTTTACACAATAAGTTATTCAATAATCTATAATTAAAGTCTGATATTCCTCTATATGCAATTGCTGATATTTTTTTTATCATATATAGATTTCCAAGCTGTTTTTGGAATTTCAACCAATTTTTCATAATAATATTGATGTCATGGAGCTTTAAATTTATCATGACAAAGAATGTTATAAATCAAGTTTGAAGTAATAGCAAACACAGTTACTTGAAGTGATACTGGCAGGCGTGTCGCCCAGTATAAAAAGGCGTCACTCTTTTGCGTCTATAAGGGACACAGACTCATGGAGTTCATTTGGTGTCCCTCGGATTATCCTCAGGGATAATAAACATATGTCATATGTACAGTCTTCAGATTCCCAGTTTTGGTATAAAACCAAAACATCATATACCAAATTGAAAGAGTGTAAAAATTCTATTACAGATATATTGGGTGATTCATTTTCCGATCCAATGTCTTCGATTTCAAAATGTTCTGTGCAAAACTGTAAAACCTGTGACATTTTGATAACTGACACTTCTTTCACCAGTAATCTTACTGGACAGAGCTTCTATACCAAAACTTGGGAAAATCTGAACTGCAAATCTTCTAATGTTGTCTTTGGAAAAAATGTAATCTTGGTGGACTTATTTACGCCGGTGAAACTAAGGGATTGCTTAACAAAAGAATATCAGGACATCGATTTCAAATAAATCATGGTGGTCAGAAGCTTTTATATAAGCATTTTGATTCACCTGATCATTCTATTTTATCAATGAAAGTTAGAATTTTGGAAAAGATTGATCACCACACAAATAGTCCGTCGTTGAGTACACCTTTCCGTAGACAACGTAAAGAAGTTTCGATTAGAAAACTAGGGACAGCCTTTCCCTATGGATGTAATGACAATGTCGATAGTGTTGGAAATCTTTCAAGTCCGCAGTGTAAATATAATATAAATGTGATGGGACTTTTTATCAATACTCAGAGACGTAAGTGTAGTCATGGACATCGTTCGTACAATAAACCTGCAATACCCGACGTCTCTTTTGATTCATTACTACCTTATGTAAATCAACAGTTAGGTCTACATCATATTCGAACAAAACTTTACTCTGTCCCTTTGAAACTTTTAAGTAGTCTTCTTGAAAAGACCAAGGAACATCCAATTTTAGATTCCTTTTTACCTGAATATAGGCTCGATTCTGTGATTATGGATATTGCATATCATAGGCTTTTTAAATTTTAAACCCGCACGTTTCACGGAAGAAAATGCAGCTAAAACAATCCGTCTTTTCCTTAAACTTCAATATGCCAATAAAGGAATTGACGCGGTTAATATAAGTAATATTCTTAATCACAAAAGGGTCCAGTCTTGTATTCCACCATATTTCAAGTTAAAGACTACACCTTGTATTTCCTACAAATACACATCGACCATTGCTTCCAAACTTTTCAATTACAAAAACACTTTACATGGCCTGGATATCGACTATCTGAAAAATAATCCCCCCCTTCGTGTGCATGTTCTTCTTCGCCCTATAACTATAGTCCTGCTGGACACGTTATTACAGGTGACGTAAAAATAGTTCGTAATGAGGACCTTAGATCACTTATTTTAAAAGGTCCTAAATATAGGGAACCCCGATCCTTCAACTAGCGTCGGAATTTCATAAATATTATGGATTCTGTTGAAAATTACGCCAGACGATGGGCCAGATATGAAAAAGAAGACATTGACACCTTGTCAGAATGGATTAAATGTATCAGATGCACGTCAACGTCACTTATTAAAAGATTGACGGGCAAAATGAAAACCATCTATCATTCTGTGTTCATTAAACCAGAAGTGAAAAAAAGAATTAGATAGATTACATGATCAGTACGTACTGGTTCCTGCCGACAAAGTTAGTAACAACATTGTTTTCGTTTGTAAGGCTCATTATATAAATTGCATTCTAGAAAACCTTGGATTTAATTCTACAAGTGGTAATCCTACCTTTACTCATACTTCTCTTTCTAAGGAAGAAATTCTTCAAAATCACCTGTCAGTTTTGAATACTTAATATTCCACAGAGCAAAAATGAATTTGAACTACCTTATATATATTGGTGGTGTGAATCAGATGTGGATACTTAAAAATTCTAAAGAACTTTTAGACAATTTGAAATCACAAGACTTTACAAAAATCAACAGCTTAAAAACTTACGACTTTTCAACTTTATACACAACAATTCCCCACGACAAATTAAAATTCAGGCTTTTTGATATCATTGGCAGCTGCTTCTTCAACAGAAATGGAGCTCGTAAATTTACTTACCTTGTCATTGGTCATTTGAAAAATTATTTTATTAAAACAGATTCTGATTGCACACATAAGTACTCTGAAGTTGAGATCAAGAAGATGCTTGAGTTTCTGATTGACAATATCTATGTGGTTTTTGGAGACCAGGTATTCCAACATTCTATTGGAATTCCCATGGGAACAAATTGCGCTCCGTTATTAGCAGACTTATTTTTATATTCATATGAAGCAGAATTTATGCAAAATCTTATGCGTGAAAAGACGAAAACGCTTGCTGTGGCCTTCAACTCGACATTTAGATATATCGACGACGTATTGTCAATTAATGATGATAATTTCCATTCCTACGTCGACACGATATAACCTGGTGAGCTTGAGATAAAAGATACCACAGAGTCCGACACTTCTGCTTCATTCTTGGATATTTTACTTGAAAAAAGACACTAATTGAAATCTAACAACCAAACTATATGATAAACGTGTTGACTTTAACTTTTCTATCGTCAACTTCCCTTACTTATGCAGCAGTATACCTTCATCACCTGCATACGGAGTATATATATCTCAGTTGATTCGATACGCAAGAGCATGCTCTACGTATGAACAATTTCTTAAACGAGGTAAATTATTGACAAGCAAGTTGATGAAACAAGAATATCAACAGTCTCGTTTAAAGTCATCATTTCGTAAATTCTATGGTCGATACAATGACCTTGTCAGCAAATACAATTTATCATTGAATGAAATGCTGACTGACGTTTTTCATACCAATGTTAGTCCATTATTTATACACTGAATTGACGATGGATTTTTTCCGTTATTTCCTGATTATGACAACGAGCACACGGCGGGTGTGACCGGTCGGCAGGGGATGCTCACTCCTCCATGGCACCTGATCCTACCTCTAATGTTTCGGAGGTCTGTGTTTGCTCTGCTCTTATTTTGTATATTGTTTAATGGACGTTGAGATTAAATACTGCTCGTTATTTCCATATCTTTCTTGAAGATAGTGAAGTAAATCATATGAATTATTTTCATATACACTCTTTGATATTTTTATACTTTTTATTTCTAAATTCATAATCTACAAAATCTTATTATCATATATTTATAAATCCAATTTTTCTCACAGACAAGGTTATCATAAAACCATTCTATAGGTTGCATGTCATTTTTGTATACAATATCATCAATATATTTAAATCCACCTTTCAGCCAATTAACAAAATACATTGGCTTGTTGTTATATTTTATTTTATTTTTATTTTTTATTATACTTTATTTTATTTTTACACCACATTGATTTCTTTAATTAAGCATTCAAATTTAGTTTCCTTTTGTTTATCTTTTAAAATATCAGTTAGAAAGTACTTGTGTGTATGAACAGAATTTTTAGCAAAATAAATTTAAAATTATCTTTGGAAAGGTTAGGTAATATACGAATTCCCCTTTTTTTTGAAATAGCTTGAAATAGTCTGAACTTAAATTTATTGCGCTGAATTGAAGAATAAAGTGTTGAAAAGCCGTACGTTTTGATGTTATTGTTATTTGGAATTTGGTTATTTCAAATTTTCTAAGGTTACTTGTAGCTTTTAAGTATTCACATCTGATTTACACCACTTCTCAAATATATCCTGAATTTTTCTTCCAGCGCTGTTAATATTTTAGTAATCAATAAAGAAAGAAGCTTAAAAGAACATTTACGGGAATCTATGACAAATTTATGGTGTACATTAAAGAATATAAACTTTAGAGAAGAATAAATACGGATTTCTAAAACACAAGAGGTGCGTACAGGTGACATAGAGGAGTGAGCATTCCTTGCCGACCTGTAATTTTATCCATACTATGTGATATTATAATAAAATGTATTTTATTTTCAAGAAGAATGCATTGTTTGGTCTTAATTTCGCCCTAAAATGGAATGTGCTTTAAAAGTTATGAAATTTTACTTTAAGGGATCTGAGTAGATGACTTTGATAAATCATAAATATAGCATAAAGGAGCACAATTCTGGAAATATATGGTCAATAATTTGGCGCATTTATGAGTTTTATGCAAAAAAAAAACAACAAATAATTATTTATTGCTTTGCTTATTTTAACTTTAAAAATAGTGTCTGCTGTCTGCTCGGTTTAGTGGGATCAAAACCCGCTCCCCTGGAATTAGCTTTATCAACAGTGTATATACTATACCAATAAAAATGACCTTAGACTCCTACTTACGAAATATGGTCCTCTCCTAGAAAACACAAATCTATGTGAAATTGGTATGAAAAGGTATACTACAGTGCATATCTGTATTTTTGTCATACACGGAAACAGGCGAATAATTAGCTCAATACACGAGTCGTACATTTGAAAACTTTATTTACAACTACTTGCTGAAAACATTTTGCATCTTACAAATAAAGATGTCTTGTATAAGAATAGAATGGTTTTCTTTCTATTTTAACATTTTCACACCCTTTAACAAAATTAAAATTCATTCATGTTAGATATGGATTGTTTGTGTGCAATTTCTATATATTCACTTTTTTTAACGGAATTAAGTTGAAAAATAATTGCCTTTACACATATATGCTTTATTCAAAGTTAAGTCTGGAGTTTACGTATTTTAGGGGGGGGGGGGGTAAACTAATATTGTTTAAAGCAATATACGAGCTGCAACCTTGTAAGAGCTGTACGACTTTTCTATTGCAAAATTGTAATCAACTACAATTTTACAACTGTATTTCCAGAACAGAGAAAAAAAAACATTTATAATCTTGTGTTGTCCATATTTACGATGGATGAACTTTTTATTAGCTACGATTGAAGCAATGTTACATTATTGTCATCCTGTAGCATATTGATATATTTAGTTGTACAGAGGTCTGAAACAATTACCTTATTTTAAATTTCATACAAATTATCCATAATAGCACATTTTAACGGCGTAATAAAATTCTCAAAAATCACTAAATTCAGCTTTTAATACTGATAAATTTTTTAGTAGCCTGGATATACTTTCAAATACTCCTTTCAGGAGTCTAATTATAAAGTACTTCACGTGAAAAAAAGAAAACACTTGGTGTGGCCTTCAACTCGTCATCTAGATTTAATGATGACGTATGTATTGTCAATTTCAAACATTGTTTATTTAAATTTGATGATGACATGATATATCCTTGTTAGCTTTAAGTAAAAGATACCACTGAGATACTAAAGACACTATTTAAAAAATTTCTGTTTCATGTTTGGATATTTAACTAGGAAAAATTCTTTAATTGTAACATACCAACCACGCTGAATGATAAATATGATGACTCTTCAATCTTCAACTTCCCTTATGCAGCAATATACTCTTATCACCTGCACACGCGGGCTTAAATCTTACAGTTGCTTCGATGCAAAATTATGCTCTATGCACGAACAGTTTCTAAAACGGACGTGAATTATTGACACACAAGAATATCAACAATTAAGTACACCATTATTGTTTCTTAAGTTCTATATGTTCGATGCAATGACAATGAAAGCAAATACAAACTATCATTATATCAACTGCTGAATGACATTTCATACAAATCGTTAGACCATTATTTAAACACTGAATTTTCTATGGATCTTTCCGATACTCTCCGATGGAGAGATGAGGCAAATGTGACCAGTCAACAGACTGCCTACTCCTTCATGGCACCTGATCCCTCCTCAATATTCTAATGGACGTAAAAATAATACAATCTGAATAAATATTTTCTTAAACCAAGGTGGTCTAAGAATCATTATATCGTCGTTTAAAAGCAAATTATATATATTTGTGTTGAGAATTAATTTCCTATAGAGTTCATCTAAGTAATATAGATAATGTTTTATTTCTTTGTCTTGATTAAAGAATTTCATTAAGTTATAGATGAAAATATATAAATTATGTGTAAAAAGTCACACTGCAATAAGCACTAATTCAGAAAATTTTCAGTGTTAATAAAGTTATTACTGCAAGTGACATTAAAACATTGGACTTGTTGAATATTCTTTCTCCGGAATTTCCCATCTCTAAAAAGCAACAAAAATAAAGCTTTTTAATTACCTCTAGTTTAAGAATAATGTATGAATTTAGAAATTTTGAACAATCAAAAAATATTTTGCTGAAAACAATTATAAATCTCCTCAGTCTCTAACTCACCATACTGACAAATGTAGGAGTATTTGAGGAATTTGTTCCTGCACGGTACGTCGTACCATTTGAACCCGTAGTCGACACGCATCAGTGCGCAGTCGTCCAGGTCAGAGTCCGGGATGTGTGGCCCTGCCCTGGTCCCCTGTCCGTCCTGCCAGTTGGAATACCTCATTGTTTTATCACCTTGTCAATACATTGTATACAGAAGTGTTTGTTAAATTTTAACTTTTTAAAATGGGAAAAAATAAACGTCTGTATGTACTTAAAAAGTCATTGAGCATTGCGTAAAGCTACTTTTCAATAGCCTAAGGAAAATTTGGGATGGTTTTCGGTATTTTGGTCAGCAAGTTACTGACAGAACATATAGATATATTTATTTGTTTTTAATTTTTTATTTGATGGGGACATCTTTATTATCTGATTTTATGTCAAGCCATTCCTGGCAGGCATGCAACGTTGTTCTCAACGTTGAAAGGAGGTGGAATATAGGTTGCGACGTTGATCAACTATATTTCAACGTTGTTTCAACGTTGAGGTTTCAACGTTGAATCCTCAACCTTTTTTCAACGTTGAAACAACGTTGAAGCTGCAACATATTTTCAACGTTGAATGTTCGTCGATATTTCAACGTTGAAACAACGTTGAGGAGGCAACATATTTTCAGCGTTGAATCCTCAACCTTTTTTCAACGTTGAAACAACGTTGAATCTGCAACATATTTTCAACGTTGAATGTTCGTCGATATTTCAACGTTGAAACAACGTTGAAGCTGCAACATATTTTCAACGTTGAATGCTCGTCGATATTCAACGTTGAAACAACGTTGAATATTCAACATGTTTTCAACGTTAAGTATTTTCTGATATTGTAGAGTTAAAACAAGGTTTAAAAATGCAAAGTTGACAATCTCTTGATTTCAACGTTGAACAACGTGGTAGATGCAACATATTTTCAACTTTAGGAAATAAAAGTTAGGAAAAGTTAACGTTGAAACAACGGGTAACGAGTATTGAGCACTTTTGTGTTTAATTTCAAAATATAAAGGTGTCTTTAACTTCTAATCCATGCGATTTTTAGCAATATACACACAGCTGTATGCATTGTTAGAAAATATTATATATATAATAATTATACTTAATAAATGAAACTCATGCATTATAAATTGATTTACTCACCAAGAGTTGTACCAATAGCTAGTACCATTATAAAATATTAAATATGAATTTATATGATTTTGAAGATGGTATCTACATTTAACACTTCATTATAATTACAGTGTGTATGTTTCAAAAATGTTGTTTTTTTATGAATTGTGAATATTTTTTTTTACATATTTATAAAATATGCTTCATATAAGCTTTTTAATATACAATAACGTCATCTTTATCCAACATCTCGCTGTAATTCCATGTAACTATAGAATTAATAAAAATAATTATTCCGAATTAACAGGATTAATGTTCTTAAAATTAGACTCATATGGATTCAATCCGTATATTCTTGCGCAGATTATACGGATACAGAGCGAATCTAAGAAGTCTTATTTGATTAGATTGTGCTTTTGCTGTGTGTATTAATTTAACAAATCTTTCACAAAATATAAAAAAAAATCAAATAAACACATACAAATTTTCACACTGACAATTAACCGGTCAAGGTGCATTACTTAAGATCCACTCCCCAAAAACCTTCGAGATATCAGATAAGGAGTGTCTCTCGCTTAGTTGGTCAGTTTCAGTGTCGGGATAACCTAGTTATGCAATATTCTTGCTGGGCAGAGTATAGCAGCTTATCTAGGTCAAAATTTGAATTCAACTGATGGACAAGTTTGGCTTTCCAGAAAGCCTGAAATGTCATCTCTTTGGTATCAATAATTTCAATGAAATAAAACAGAAAGGGAAATATTTTAATGCAATGAATATATGGATTATTATACCTGAATTCCCAAATGACTTATTCAGCAAACAGAAAACTAAGCTGACAGGTATTTCAACATAAGCAAGAGCAATCCAAAGATTATTTCTACCCAAGCAGTTTTCCCTTCGCGTCAACAAATCTATATATAGAAATCACGTCATTGTCAATTCTCCTTGTGTGGCTTACCAATTCAATAAGATTAATTATATACGACACACCAAAATATAGGTATTTATAAGCATCGTACTTCTTTTCTAAATTTTCCTTGCCTTTCAAATAGGCCTAAACCGAAAGTAGATCACACACTTCTAAGCTAGTTCTTCTAAAATAAAACCAGTTTACAGGCTACTTGGAACTCCTTGTGTAGATTCTCACTTTAGATATTGTAAAACATCGAGGATTCCCGAAAGATTAATGGAGGCTTACACTAGGACTTCACTTCCGGCATACAATCTTAATGTGTCATCTCCCGAGGGAGATATTGCTGTTCATATTTAATGTGTTTCCAAGCTATATACACAAGGATTAAGGATGGAATATCAACTTCTGCTCAGTAAGTATTATTTCCTTGTCATGAATTTAAGAAATTAATTTTTTTAGTATCTGTTCATCATTTTATTCTTGTTTTATAACATGTACAAAAGTATATTTGAAATCTGCGTGAAATGCACATCCTTGGTTCTTGTATTATGTGTTTTGTTGATATTTATTTGGTTATGAAATATACGCTAGTATTCAATATATTATACAATTTAACTAATTGTAGTTCGTCGTAAGGTTCAATCAACCAGTGGTGTAGGGAATTGATTGTATAGTCAGCCATGATTGCATCAGATTCTTCGCCCGTGAAAATTATACAAAGGAATGCTACATTTTGTAAGTACACTACATGTATGTATATGTATGTGAAGGATATGAAAATAACGAACAGTATTCAATCTCAACGTCCATTAAACAAATATACAAAATAAGAGCAGAGCAAACACGGACCTCCGATATGATCAGGTGCCATGGAGGAGTGAGCATCCCCTGCCGACCGGTCACACCCGCCGTGTGCTCGTTGTCATAATCAGGAAATAACGGAAAAAATCCGTGGTCAATTCAGTGTATAAATAATGGACTAACAATTGGTATGAAAAACGTCAGTCAGCATTTCATTCAATGATAAATTGTATTTGCTGACAAGGTCATTGTATCGACCATAGAATTTACGAAATGATGACTTTAAACGAGACTGTTGATATTCTTGTTTCATCAACTTGCTTGTCAATAATTTACCTCGTTTAAGAAATTGTTCATACGTAGAGCATGCTCTTGCGTATGGAATCAACTGAGATATAAATACTCCGTATGCAGGTGATGAAGGTATATTGCTGCATAAGTAAGGGAAGTTGACGATAGAAAAGTTAAAGTCATCACGTTTATCATATAGCTTGGTTGTTAGATTACCATTAGTGTCTTTTTCAAGTAAAATATCCAAGTATGAAGCAGAAGTGTCGGACTCTGTGGTATCTTTTATCTCAAGCTCACCAGGATATATCGTGTCGACGTAGGAATGGAAATTATCATTATTAATTGACAATACGTCGTCGATATATCTAAATGTCGAGTTGAAGGCAACAGCAAGTGTTTTCTTCTTATCACGTAAAAGATTTTGCATAAATTCTGCTTCATATGAATATAAAAATAAGTCTGCTAATAACGGAGCGCAATTTGTACCCATGGGAATTCCAATAGATTGTTGGAATACCTGGTCTCCAAAAACCACATAGATATTGTCAATCAGAAACTCAAGCATCTTCTTGATCTCAACTTCAGAGTACTTATGTGTGCAATCAGAATCTGTTTTAACAAAACAATTTTTCAAATGACCAATGACGAGGTAAGTAAACTTACGAGTTTCATTTTTGTTGAAGAAGCAGCTGTCAATGATATCAAAAAGCCTGGATTTTAATTTGTCGTGGGGAATTGTTGTGTATAAAGTTGAAAAGTCGAAAGTTTTTATGCTGTTGATTTTTGTAAAGTCTTGTGATTTCAAATTGTCCAAAAGTTCTTTAGAATTTTTAAGTATCCACATCTGATTTACACCACTTCTTGAATATATAGTTGTACAGTACTCTTGAAGTTTTTCCTTCACTACTGTCAATATTTTAGTGAGAAGTAACGAAAGAGGCTTGGTTGAACATTTACTGGAACCTGCAATGTATCTTTGTTTGTAAGGATTCTTATGAAGTTTCGGAATCCAATATATATAAGGTAGTTCAAATTCATTTTGGCTCTGTGGAATATTAAAAGTATTCAAAACTGACAGGTGATTTTGAAGAATTTCTTCCTTAGAAAGAGAAGTATATGTATAAGTAGGATTACCACTTGTAGAATTAAATCCAAGTTCTTCTAGAATGCAATTTATATAATGAGCCTTAACATGAGTCTATAACATTTTCCTTTAGTAATAATTACTTATACTCATACGGAGTTTAACATGAAGTCAACTAAAATTCTTTTAATCGTGTTAATTAAATCCAAGTACCGGAACATATTCCTTTGTCTGATTATTTAAATCATTCATCTATATTTATTTTTATTGTTTGAAATAACGTGTTACGTTCATTTTTATCGAACAAATGGCTTTAACATCTTTATTTTTTTTTTATCAATAGGCTTTTGCTTTAGAGGGTAGTGTGGATTCTCTTGTTCATTTCTTTCATTCCTGGGACTCCACGATATGCGTGATTAAAATTAATTGATCCGCCACTTTGTGGAACTTAGTAGTGTAATGCAGACGCGTACTTTGAAGGACTTGGATGTGATTACCGTGATCAACTTTTCACTAGAAATATGAATTTTGTCGAGCAGTGATTTTTGATATTCAGTGATTAAATTTGAATTTGTGTTTGTCTTAAAAATACATGTAAAATAAATTCTCTCACAATCATAATACTGGATTACAACTTATATAAATATTACGCAACTTGAATATTTTTTTTTATAAGAATTTGAAATGAATTTGTTTATAAAGCAAAATGTGATTCGAATTCAACGTGATTTCACCCAAGTATCAACGTTTGTACAACCGAAAAATTTCAACCAAATCTCAACCTAATTTCAACCAATGTTCACTTTTGTTCAATGTTGATATTTGACTTTGAAACAACGTTGAAGCTTCAACGTTGCCTCAACTTTCATTTGCAACCAAAAATCGACCATAAATCAACCAACAATTAAACCCATTTTAAACGTTTATTCAACGTTGAGACATGACGTTGAAACAACGTCATGTCTCAACGTTGCCGCAACTTTCATATGCAACCAAAATTGAACGTTGATTCAACGTTGAAGTGCAACGTTGATTCAACGTTGAATCAACGCTGAAATGCCTGCTGGGAATTACCGATAGGGATCCACCATCTTAAGTATAAAAAAATTAAATTCACTTTGATAATTCTATAAATCAAATTTTCGTTAAATTTTTTTCAAGGTAAAGTCTTTACCAGAGATCCATTCCCACTGGGACTCATTGTCCTTGTCAGAAGCACCAAACCAGAATCCAGTTTTCTCCCCTGTGTGTGACACCAGGTAGCGCTCTAGAAACTGTTGTAGACCCCTCGTCCTGATCTGGAGAAGATCGCCGCCATCACTGAGACAGGAATTCCTGGCTTCCTCCCAGAACGTGTGGTTATAATTAAACTGGAGACAGGAGCTACCGTAGGTAGTCAGGTTAATCGGGGGCAGAGAAGCAGGACAGCCCGTTGGAGTTCCCATAGAACCGAGCGAACCTGAAGGTAATATTATCATCTGGTAAATAAATTTAAATTTCTTTTAAAAATAAATCTTTTTGGAGAGAAAAATATATTTTCTTTGTTTGTAATTTTTTATTTTACATTTTTCATTAAACCAGAAAGATAGTGTTTATGAAACTTCGAATATTTACCTGGTTCAACATAATAAAATAGACAGAACAGCGTGAAGTAAATAGAACTCATAGTGTCCAAATCCAAAATACAAAACACAGGTCAGTTATTACCAGGTGGATTCATTAAAATAACATATGTTTATTGAAGATTGAGTTTATATGCATTTTACAATCCATGATAATAATTCAAATGGGAAACTTCCGTGTTCATACAATAGAAAGGTTATTTACTAATAAATTTCTGATATGATTAGATATATACATTATCAGTTTGTTGGATGTCGTGAAATTGAAAGCCAGGTTATCTTTCTTTATCATATATATTACAGCAACAATATTTAATGTAATAGCTAGATTTGTGTTTGCATTGATAATAATTGGATAGATACTGCTTAAATATGTGGAAGTTAAAACTACTTTATATAAATAGCATATTTATAGTCTCTGCATTACCTTTGAAAAAAGTAAATGTTGATATTTCATTGCGTTTTATTTGTGATCATGCGGCAGTAGCGTACAGAGTGTCACAAAGGAAATCACTAATAACGTCACGGTTAGTACAGGCTGTATAACTTGATCAATCTCTCACTAGAGGGTGCGCTGTTGCAACCACTGTTGAAATAACGACCACTATTGAAATAATTATATCAATAGTGGTTGAGAGTGCATTTCAATAGCAAACATAGTTAGTAACCACTGTTGAAATACGACCACTATTGAAATAATTATATCAATAGTGGTTGAAAGTGCATTTCAATAGCAAACGTAGTTTGTAACCACTATTGAAATACGACCACTATTGAAATAATTATTTCAATAGTGGGTGAGCGTGCATTTCAATAACAAACATAGGTAATAACCACTATTGAAATACGACCACTATTGAAATAATTATATCAATAGTGGTTGAGAGTGCATTTCAATAACAAACGCAGGTATAATCCACTATTGAAATACGACCACTATTGAAATAATTACTTCAATGGTGGGTGAGAGTGCATTTCAATATGATGACCATAGGTTTCAACCACTATTGAAATACGGTCAGTATAGAAAGTAAAGTTTCACCGCGTTATTTTTTATTTTTTATCCAAAATTTCACAAAAATTGGATTTGGGGTGAAAATATATAGATTAATAATTAAAGTGCATAAATTAATAAGGATTGTTTTAGTGAGGCAAAACTTCTTTATATTCTAGAAATTTATTATTTGCATCATTTTTAATGAAATCAGACCAAAAAATATATACCAATCCAGGCATCCATATTTTGTTTGTATCATCTGTCCTTAAATGAAGATTTAGATAGTTATTGAAATAATGATTTCAAAAGTGATTTAAATAATTATTTTGATAGTTGCTGATAATGCTTCAAAACTAAAATCATACATTAATCCATATTGAAATCTTTTTTTCAAAAGTGAACATTATTTCAATGGTGGTTGCAACCTATGTGAATCTCACCCACTATTGAAATAATTATTTCAATAGTGGTCATGTTTCAATAGTGGTTGAAACCTATGTTTGTTATTGAAAAACACTCTCAACCACTATTGAAATAATTATTTCAATAGTGGTTACAAACTACGTTTGCTATTGAAATGCACTCTCAACCACTATTGATATAATTATTTCAATAGTGGTCGTATTTCAATAGTGGTTACTAACTATGTTTGCTATTGAAATGTACTCTCAACCACTATTGATATAATTATTTCAATAGTGGTCGTTATTTCAATAGTGGTTGCAACAGTGCGCTCTGCAAGCTTCACTTACACCTCTGTTGTCGTCTAAAAAGTAGTTCGGATTGTCATATAATTAAATGACAACGGACAATTTAAACTGATTGTTTCGTATTGTTTTAAGTTCTCAGTTACTAAATATTTCCATTTCTAAATTTTTTCTCTATGATAACCCTTTGAAAGTAAGCGGAGTTGATTTCCTGATAATTCTGCCGGAATGTAAATTAGGCAGGTCGAAGATCAGCAGCTAAGGAGGCATAATACGCATGCAAATCTCGTGCGCATCTGTCTCTGTGTCTGACGCTAAGAGGCCAAATATGCATGTAAATCTCGTGTGGCTGCCTTTGTGTTTGACGTCAGTGTGCGAGGACTATTGAAATTGGCATGGAAGTCCTCGTGTAATTTAAATCGATTAGTCTAAATTCTTAATGTCTAAGTCTACAATTTCATTTCACAATGAAATGGAAATATAAGGAATCACTGTCTAGTTTTGAGAGTATGCCAGGGACATCAACAATAGTGGGAAACATGGGATAATTTTTGCATAACGGGCTTCGCCCGTTATGCAAATTTTCCCATGTTTCCCACTATTGTTGATGCCCTGGCATACTCTCAAAACTAGACAGTGATTCCTTAAATATCTTCTTGTTTCTTTGAATTTTAAATTTATGGTATGTTGTTATACGTCCCATTTGAGAATTTTTCACTCATAAAGAAAAAAAAAATACAGGTGAAGGACTTTAAACTTTTTGGCCTTTACTTGGAACTAGGGGTCATTGAGAATTGATGGATCGTTGTCGTGCCAACGGCTGTCATAATACTTGGGGTCTCAGTTTTTAAGTTCTCAACCGAAAGACCAGCAATATTCAATTTAAAGTGCCGAGCGCATGACGAAGAAACAGTTGCTTCCCAATGTTTTATAGACTTACGTCAGTCGCGACCCAGGTCCGAACTCAAGCCCTTCCGATCATGAAGCGAATGCACTACCGACTGGGCTACCGTTAACGCAAAATGAAAATGAGTGTTAAATATCAAAACTACGGAAGCCCATTTAGGACCTATCAAAAATATTATTGGATTCGTTATAACGAATTTAATTTGTTATAACAGATTTATCAATTTCGTTATAACAGATTTATTAAATTCGTTATAACGAATTTAATTTGTTATAAAAGATTTATTGAATTCGTTATAATCAATTCAAAATTCCCTGAAACAAATTCTTGAATTCGTTATAGCGAATCCAACAAATCTGTAATAACTTATTTAATTCGTTATAACGATTTCAATAAATCTGTAATAACAAATTAAATTCGTTATAACGAATTCAATGAATCTGTTATAACAAATTAAATTCGTTATAACAAATTCAATGAATCTGTTATAACAAATAAAATTCGTTAAAACGAATTCAACAAATCTGTTATAACAAATAAAATTCGTTATAACGAATTCAACAAATCGTTATAACGAATTCAAAAATATTTTTGATAGGTCCTAAATGGGCATCCGTACAAAAAACAAAATAGTTCCGTTTTTTAAAATTTATTTTGATTTATAATCTTCTAAAAAACGTAAAGTAGGAACAATACCCTGAAAATTGTAAGTTTTATCATACAATTGTTTTTTTTTTTTTGAAAATATTGGTTCCTTTGAGTAGAATATGTTATTTGTAGAGCATTTATCAACTTTACAGCTATATTACAAATAAGGCGTTTTGATAGTGGGTGTAAACTCGTAGGATCAAGATTGTTCAAATGCATTTTCGGGTGTCTGCAGTACTGTTAAACAGGCGTCAGATCCTACTTCTGGTGTTTTCAAAGTTCAATGTAACACCACAAAACTTTAAAAATAACATAGGGACATACAGTGTACTAAACAGTTATGGAGCTCAGAAGTTCGATGTTACCTTGTCATTGGTCATTTGCAAAAATATTTTTAAAAAACATTTTGCTGATTATACAAACAAGTACTCTGAAGTTGACATAAAAAAATAATTGATTTTTTTATTAGCAAAATCTATGGGCAGTATGTGGTGTTTGGAGACGAGGTCTTCCAACAATCTATTGGAATTCCCAAGGGTACCAATTACGCCTCGTTATAAGCAGATCTATTTTTAAATTAATATGAAGAAGAATTTCTGCAAAAGTATGTGCATAAAAAGAAGAAAACACTTGGTGTTTATACGAGGGTTGTCCCGTAAAATCGTGGACAAGTTGTCTAGTGGGAAAAATAAACATCACTGCGTTCTGAAATTTTCACTATTATTTAGTACATATTTTAGTAATATACACAGCAAATTTCATGCAGATAAATATATGCATAAATAAACAAATTATGAGATTTTATGCTATGCATTGTATCACCTTACGGCGCATGGATTATAACGTCAAAGTGCCTAAATCAGTGTCACGTTTTTTCTCTGCTGAAAATAAAGTTGGATGAGTCCGACTTAAATTTAGGAATTTCTTTGATACACATTCTTTAGTCTCCATAAACAGCCGAAGAACCAATTGGCACCCTCATGCGATCTTCTGAAGATTTATTAGTAAGTTACAGACAATATTCTTACCATTATTCAATAAATAGAAAATCTCATACCGGCGGTCTACTGTGACAGCGTCTTTTGCTATTACATTAGGAGTTTGTCCGTATGTTTTGTACTCCCCAGGGACTCGATAAAATAACTTCGCTTAGAAAACTCCTACTCAGTATTTCAATTATATACGTAAGATATGGTGATATTTTTATAATCTTTTTGCTTCTATGGTCATTTTAAGTCTCTAAAGGTGTCATTACAACATCGAAATAAAACTGAACTGTTCTCCGGTGCGCCGTAACGTCATAAAACGTCGTCATTTTTCGTGTGTTGTTTTTACCACTTTCCCATTATAAATGCTTGAGAAACTGCCAAAAATTAAGCAAATGCCTTAACATTTTTACAAAGACTACAAAATTGATTGTGGAATTGAGTTAGGATAATTTTAATCCAAATCTTATGTACCGGTATTTAAAACTTTATTTTGAATCAAAATTGTGTATTCTTTAATAAAATTTTGTTTTTTGACTGTGCGCCGTAGGGCAATACCTCCTGCACATTCAAGCATAATAAAATCTTTTTTTATGCCTATATTTTACCAAAAAAATATCAATTACTTAATTACTCAATTACTTTAATATGATAAATAAACATTTACTGAAATTTTCAGCTTAGTGTGCCCATTACTTTTCGAGAAAAACGCTTTGTCCATGATTTTACGGAACAACCCTCGTATATATATATATTCGGGAGCTTGAGATTCAAGAAACCACAAATTCTGAGACACATCTAGGAAGGATATGCAGATAACGAACAGTATACAATCTCAAAGTCCATAAAACAATACGAAATAAGAACAGAGCAAACACGGACCCCCGAAACATCAGAGGTGGGATCAGGTGCCATGGAGGAGTGACCATTCCTTACCGACCGGTCACACCCGCCATGTGCTCCTTGTCATGATCAGGAAATAACGGGAAAAAAATCCGTCGTCAATTCAGTTTATAAATAATGGGCTTACAATTGGTATGAAAAACGTCAGTCAGCATTTGACTCAATGATAAATTGTATTTGCTGACAAGGTCATTGTATCCACCATAGAACTTATTACGAAATGATGACTTAAAACGAGACTGTTGATATTCTTGTTTCGTCAACCTCCTTGTCAATAATTTACCTCGTTTTATAAATTGTTCATACGTAGAGCATGCTCTTGTGTATCGAATCAACTGAGATATATTTACTCCGTATGAAGGTATATTGCTGCATAAGTAAGGGAAGTTGACGATAGAAAAGTTAAAGTCATCACGTTTATCATTGAGTTTGGATATTTTACTTAAAACGTTAATGGTAATCTAAAATCCAAGCTCTGTGATAAACGTAATGACTTTAACTTTTCTATCGTCAAATTACCTTACTTATTATGCAGCAATATACCTTCATCACCTACATATGGATTTCATATTCTTCAGTTTATTAGATACGCAAGAGCGTGCTATACACGTATGAACAAAATCTGAAATGAGGTACATTTTTGCCAAACAAGCTGATGAAACAAGAACAGTATCGTTTTTAATCCTCATTTCGCAAGTTCTATGGTCGATACGATGACCTTGTCAGCAAATACAATTTATCATTGAATGAAATGCTGACTGACGTTCCTTATACTTATTTTTTAGTTCATTATTTCTACGCTGAATTAACGACGATTTCAGTTATTTTCCGATTATGACAAGGAGCACACGGCGGATGTGACCTGTTGGTAGGGGATATTTACTCCTCCAAGGCACCTTATCCCACCTCTGATGTCTTTGAGATCTGTGTTTGGTCTGCTCTTATTTTGTATTGTTTCATGGACTTTTGATCTTAAATACTGTTTGTTATCTCCATATGTTTCACAGTACAAACTGGGGGAAGAGCAGATGCGAACCGCAGAAACATTTGAGGTATAATTCGGTCCCATGATTGAATAGTAAGCATCCCTTGTCAAACAATCACATCCACCTTGTGCTCCCTTTATTGACATTTTTAATTTGTAAAGCACCATTGACTTTCTTCGAATATCGTTTTAGTGTACACTCAAGTTTATTAATATAAACAGAAAAAATTATTTTTCCCCCTTGAAATGAGGTTTCCAATATGGAATTTAAAAATGTAACGGTGTAGGGGAGCAAGAAATTGAAATTACAAGTGGACATTAAAGTTGGCATTGAAAAAAAATCAGCTGTGAATGTTGTTGGAATGCTATTCTTAAGGATTTTAATACATGTACTTGCTTTCATATTACATTGATATTTCCACTAAATATTGTACATACTGACACAGATATAGAAATCTATATTTCAGATAGCATATTAAGAACATTTACATGCAGTAGCATTTAGGGGAAAAAGTGATAAATTCTTGCTATTTTAGGATTTCTTTCCCAAGTATCTCAATAATGATCATTTTGTTTTCAAACAAGCGATGAGAAAAAAAAATGTTTTATTCATTTCTTGTTTGTAGCATGACAATCTTTTCTAAGGTACATCTTAAAAGTGCAGATGTTTAATATTTTCAAATTTTGATGAAAAAAAAACTACAGTCTTTATCCTATAATGATCATGCCCTCTGGTTCACTCTTTGCTGTCGTGGTTGAACTTTGACCTTGCTCTGTGACTAGTATCTCTAATTCTTCTGTGGTCGGCTTAGGATTTCCCTCAGATGTGATTTTGTTCGAAATTAAACTGATTCCATTTGTTTTCTCAGCCATGTTGAACTTCGATGTTAATAGAGAGAGAAGTGTGGTCTTTGTTGACTTTAAAGACTTTGTTGTCATTGCTGGAATTGACGATACTTCTTTTCTTGCTGAACTTTTAATACTTGTAGAATGTGTTGCTGATGATGTTATCTCTGTTACTTTTGGTGTAACGTTCGGTTTTGTGGGTGATTTCGCTGTTGATTGTGTCGTTGTTTTTGTTAGTTTTGTTGTCGATACTGCTGAGGTTGGTTTTAGAGTTTTGTTTGTTTCTGGTCTAAGTGTTGTTTGTGGTATATCTTGAATATATAAAAAAAAATTCAGTCATTGTTAAGTAATACTTAAACCTGATGACGTAACATAAGGTTTTACCATTTTTTCCTGCCTTTGAATATTCCGCAATAATGTCTTACCAAATTGACAAATGTACGGATAAAAGAATGCTATTCCGCTGTGACAGGGGTAGTCGTGCCACATATAATGATCTGTGATCTTCAGTAGTCCGCAGTCCTCCGTCCCTCCCCCCGGGATCAGCAGGAAGCCAGTCTGGTGAGGACCCTGGTGAGGGCTCCAGTTATCATACGTCATCGTCTTGTCACCTACAATGTTAACCTTATGACATTTAATTATTATATAACAAATCATCTGAACATTTATCTAAATACATATATATATATACTAGTAGTTAAACACGGACCTTGAAATATTCATAAGTGGGATCGGGTGCCATGGAGGAATAAACATCTTCTGCAGAACTTACCTGACACCCACTCCCACCTGCCCTCGTGATGTTGATCTGACGCCCCGATCCAGAATCCGTCCTTGATGTTGTGATGGACCTGTCTGATCTTCTCTATGATGGAACCCTGCATCTCGGCATTCCGGATCTGCACCAGATCCCCGCCATGGCGCTGACAGCGCTCCCGCGCGTGCGGCCAGTCATGCTTGTCCAGGGAGATCTGCAGGCACGCAGAACCATGTATCCAGACGTACTGTGGGTCTAGAGCGATGTCCTTGGGACAGAGATTTCTTAAATCATCTAGTACAGCAAAAGCTGATAGGGGAGAAAAATGAAATGTTTTACTTCACGTAAGAGCATAGGCCTATAATGTACCACAGAATAGGCAAGACTCTCAATATCTCGTAATTCCGGGATTTCTGAGGTAAATGTTAATTAGATATATCTATAATGCTATTAAACATTTTACATTAAAACCCCGTAGTTTATCTATCAAAAATCACTTATGATTTGCATGTTTGATAGGACTGTTTATACTCCTTTTCTTAGTAGTAATTATTTCCAAAAAAAGCACATGCCCTGATCATCCGTTTTACCGAGAATTCGCGAATTGGTGCTTGTTTGATTAATATTTAAATTATATTATGATATGTTCTTTAAGAATTATTAAAAATCCATACTTATACATAAAAAAACATACAAAACAGATTATATTAATCGGAATTCATGATGTTGTTTAAACATTGTATGGAAAATTTGTAGTGATGTTTTTATTGACAATAAGTACATGATTTATTATAATAAGCCAAGTAATCAGTGGCTATTGAAAATTGTTGATTAGTTAAAATCTTAAAATGTTGGCTATCCGGACCCTGGTAGGACTTTTTTGAAATACAATCCATTAGTCAATTCAATGCACACTCTATGAATCTAGACTTTAATCACTGAAAGTTATAACGATTACATATATCAAAAGGTTTAATATTCAAAGTGAATAAATAAATGTGAGAAGTATTGCTGACTTCCGAAAGGTTTTCTATTTGTTTGTTTTATTTATTTTCATTCTTGAACCTATTGATGAATGAAATCTTCATAAATATTCCATCTTATATATGACTTTTTGAATCTGCAAAAGAAAGTTTATTGCTAAATTTTATTCTGAAATACAGTTCTCAACTCATTCAATTAAAAGAACTATATTACTAATAAATGCATCACTTACAATAAGAAAATGCCTAATTTAAATGCAATCCACGCTATCAAAAATTTGAAACGTTTAATAATGCTTTGCTTTAAAGTAAAAGATTTTTTAAAAAGATTGAAAATAGAATTTTTACCTTGTGAAATAAAAATAACAGTATATATCACAACATGACACCGTGAGGAGCCCATCATTTTTCTCACAAAGTGGATAACTGACCCGCTAACCCCGTGACGTCGTGTGGTGTGATGGTCCGATGTAAGTTTATCAATGGTATCACTTAACAGCACAACATTAATACTAATGATTGTTGTTTATGTAAACAGTAGTTTTTTATAATAAGAAATGAGAAATGACACATATAAACAACAACTTTATTTAGCAAACTTATTAATTAAATTATGTGCAAAAAAAAAAAAAAATATCAAATTACAAAGATATGATCACATGACGAAAGCTATAAAGTAACATTTGCTTTGGCGAGATTCTTTGCATATGATGTTGGACGAAATAATTTAAAAACTACTGAAAACATTTCCAATATAAGGCCTGATTTATTTTCAAATTGCAAATGCATTACATGTAAGTAGAAAGCAATTAACATTTGTGCAATGATAAACAACATATGAAAATTGACAATATGAAAATTATATACAAGTGTTGACCTTTTTTTCAATTATACATAGAAAGTACTCTATATCCTTTTGTTTTCATGGAATTAATTTCGGGCGAAATAAATTTCAGGAGGAGGACAAGATTTAAAAAAAATTCACATGAATAGTTTAGAATTTGGAAGTTATAGTATCTTTCAGGATGACAACCTTTTTCATGAAGTATTTCTACAAAGTTTTCCCGAAGGAAGGTAAAATAAATGTGTTGCCTCATTTCTTAAATTTTTTCTAACTCACACTTTGAGATAATATCTTTTTAAAAAAATTCTTCACCTTTCACACTGTGATAAAATATCGCTTTAAAACAAAAAAAATAACTATCTTTTTTTACTTTTGAAAACACAATAAACGTCTCTCCATGACAGGAACGTTTTTGTTTTATCCTGTTGTTCTGATAAAATCCTTAAGTCTGAGTTTGTAAAAACAGAGTAAGAGGATGGTCTTTTACATGGTCTTCAAAGACCTTTCCTTGTATTCTTTCTTCATAAAAGGTAGAAATTAGTTCTCTGTTTGCCTCTACGGTGAAGGCCGATTTTTGGCCTTCAGGACGGACGAGTTGAAGTATGGCATCAAGGTGGCAGTAACGCATCATCTTTTCCGGGTATAGACTGTAACAGGCATGGAAGGCAGAAATATAGAGAAAAGTATGCCAAAAGACGACAATCGTGTTTGTTTCTTTATAATCACCACTAAATGTTGATGTCCACATCTGTGTTATCTCCTCAGCTTTAAGAGTTTTTGTATATTTGTGTAGATTTGTGCCGTGCTGGAGGACGTTTTCTGAAATTGAAAAGTTGTCTGCAACATCAGATCTGAACATCGTTTCATCATAAAAACCAACCAAAACAATATAAAAAATGCATTCAAACAGATTTTTGTCTTCGTTTTCCAGGTCCTTGAAATGTTGTTTCATTGCCTGAAGTGGTCCATCATTTCCAGATAGCATAAGAGGTGCCATGGTGTGATCCAAATCCAGAAGATCAATTATAAGGTGGCCTCCAATCATGTCACAAGACTTTATATCTTTTAAATGTAATGATTTACAACTACATCCATCAGTAGTGCATTTCCGTTTCAATTCTTTTAAATGTGTTTCCACTCGAGTGTCTTTATGTCTTGAACTTGAATCACGTAATATTTTTTGCCTTTCAGGGAAAGAAATTCCAATCCCCTCTAAATCCTTTTTATAGGACTCAAATTCATCAGTGCGAAGTCCGATAATGAACTTAATATTTCTCTCCTTATCCTTAGCTGATTCAATGATCAAACGAAAATTCTCCAAAACGAGGTCTTTTTCACATGGATTATCATTCCATAAACCAAACCACCCATCAATATAATACACGGTGCTTTCAGAGAATTCAAAATTTTCAGAAACATCCAAGTACTTTATATTTTTCGATTTCATATTACGCTTCTCCGCAAATCCTGATGCTATTCCGTCCCCGACAGTAGAAACAGAATTGCCGAGCTTTCCAATTACATATAGAATGTTTTCAGAATGGAGAACGTGGATGCCATTTTTTATGTCCTCATCTTCAACAGAAAGATAACAATTATTGTTGAAAACGCATCATAGGTGAAAAATTTCAGTTCAATTCATTTTCTCTCTGATAAAGCATGCTGTTTAATAACAAAAACTACATAAAGTATTATGTAGTTTTAATCAAATACAATTATGTTCCTATTACAAGCATATATCACCTCAAGCAATTCACATCATGCAATATCGGAGTTAAAATCGAAATAAGCAACTGATATCTTTTTAATTTTGAAAATTTAAAAAACATGTTCTTTTTTATTCTTATGCAACAACTATAAGAAAAAAATCAATTCCTCAAATTTTCCCGAGGCATGAACACTTAGAATTTGCATTATAAAATTCTTTTAAATGGGAAATGTAATTTTTTAACACATGTGTTTCTGTATTCATAATTTTTGTATAAATCAGAATTTAATACTCAGTATTCAATAAATCTTTACAAACAAGCATTCTGGCAGCAGTGTATAAGAAATACCGTCTACAATATGGCTCGTATTTCAGACTAATCTAAATGTGTCTCGGGACAAATCCTCATCACAGTCAAAAATCCATACCATACCATCGCAATGTAGCATAAATTTGCGGAAGGAGAAACGCAAAAGGTTCATTAAAAGTCACCATTTCGTAAGTTCTATGCTCGATAAAATGACCTTGTCAGCAAATACAATTTATAGTTGAGTCAAATGCTGACTGATGTTTTTCATACGATAACTATTACTCCATTATTTAAACATTGAATTGACGACGGATTTTCCATTATTTCCCAATCGTGACAACGAGCGCACGGCGGGTGTGACCATAGAACTTACGAAATAATGATGTTTCCCATTAAGGTCTTTTTCAAGTAAAATATCCAAATATGAAACAGATAGGTCAGATTTATCTTTTCTCTCAAGCTCACTAGGATAAATCGTATCGACATAAGAATGAAGCTTACCATTGTTAACGAGGGAGTTTATTAAGACGTTTAGATTTTCGCAAGACAATATTTTATAAATTCTAAGGTCGATACAACGATGCCGATGCCTTTAGCAAATACAGTTTAAATTGACGTCAAATTTGACGTTGAATACAAACATTAGGACTTGATTAATGCGATTAATAAAAATGCCGCCCGTTTCTATTGGATGACATGATAACTAGGACCACTCACTTTCATCACTCCTTGGTCTAAGTTGACGATATGCCAAAACAATTACCACAACAACAAAGATCAGGACAACTGGAACTCCAATCCCGATCCCGAGGTCCAAGGCAGAAGTCTCCTCGTCGTCCCTATGAATTAATATTAACAGAATATTTATTGGATATGTTTAAGGAATCTCTGTCTAGTTAGTATAGTATGCCAGGGCATCAACGATAGTGGGAAACATGGGATAATTTGAATAACGGGCGAAGCCCGTGATGCATAAATAATCCCATGTTTTCCACTATCGTTGATGACCATGGCAAACTATACTAACTAGAAAGCGATTCCTTATATTTCAATTTCATTGTGAAATAAAATTGTAGATTTAGATTTTTAAAAATATGCAGACAAATATTGAAATTACACGATGACTCTCATGCCAATTTCAATAGTCCTCACCCACTGACGTCAAACACAACCTCAGCCGCATGAGATTTACATGCATATTTGGCCTCCTTTGCGTCAGACACAGAGACAAATGCGCACGAGATTTGCATGCGTATTAGGCCTCCTTAGCTCCCGACCTATCGACCTGCCTAATTCACATTCCAGTAGAATTATCAAGAAACCAACTCTGCTTACTTTCAAAGTGTTATCGCAGAGAAGAAAATTAGAAATGGAAATATTAATGCGACCTTAAAAAATAATTTGAGAGGATAATAGATGGAAATAACAAAAAGTATTCAAGCTCAAAAGTCCACTAAACAATACAGAATTTCGAGCAGAGGAAACACCTCCAAAACATCAGAGGTGGGATCAGGTGCCATTTTAAAGAGTGATCATTCATGATTAAATACTTTAACATGTATAAAATAGATAAATTTAAAATTATGAAAGAGTTGTAGGGATATCATAGGGTTATTGGACTTATATATGTGAGTATTATGGCTGTAATGTATGAGCTTTCGAGTGCATTTGTATATACAACGAGTGCCAATGTTCACCAAAATAAGTTCAATAACTCTTTTATTATATAGCAAAAACATTTCCACTTAATTAATATTAATTATTCCAACTAAAAAAACTCAAATTAATGATTTTTTTTTAGTATCGGTCTTCAATATAACGTCTGTCCTGTAAGTGTTTAATATCGCATCATTCCGATGACCCTACCAAGTGTTATGATTTGCTTTTAGGTTTTAATGGGTCTAATTTAATACATACTGGTTACATGTAAATTTTTGATTAATGATTTCAGTTTTGTGTAAAAATAAAAACATCTTACCTAGATGCCACTTCATTACTTTAATTTGACTCTGAGAATTTAATCAGACGACATTTTTTGTTTACAACGGGGCGTTCGATATTGAACGCTCGTATTCGGAATGTTTCGGGCATAATCATATACGTACATGTAAATCAAACTCAGCGTTCATAAAACGTGAAGATATTGAACGCTAAAATTCTTTCGACTTTCTGTAGTTTTTTTTTTTATTAGAAACTATTTATTAGCTACATAATAAACATATTTATTGGCTGGAGACGGTACATAACTTTAATAATTTTAGTCTATAAATATCGTTCTTTGTGATAATTAGAAGGAAAAAAATGTAATAAATATTTAGAATACAGTCGTGTATAACTCATTGCCGAAGGAAAAGAAAACATATCCCGTTTGTGCAGTTTAAACATTTTAACAAGATTTTAATGTTTAAAAAAGAAAAGAAATTGAAAAAAGAAAATTACAATTATTTAATTTAATTAAATAAAAGCAATGTTATCATTAAAATAGTTGTTTATTTACTTGTCATTTATTATGTTATTGTATATAATGTAATATGTTCTGTATATATTCTTAATTAAATAAATTCACTTGATCAATAAAAGATCGTCATTCTTACCTGGAACCAGATATGGAGGCTATAATGTTATCTGTGTCTCCAAAACACACTCGATCTATAATAATTAGTTAGTCCTTAATTTGGAATTGAGAGTGTATGGAAATTAAACCAAAATCGACAAACCAACTATCTGAACGCTTTTTTAAAATATCGAAGCCTCCGTGAATTCGAAAAATGCATAAAATAGATGCTTTTACATGTTAATGAATGATTTTTTTTAAAAGTGAATTTACATTTGTATACTTCATCACTTGTGTAGGTTGAGTTAGGACACCCTGTTCCATTGCATGAACTCCAGTGTAAATAACCAAAGTCAGTGAATATTGGACAAAAGCCTGCAATTGTAAAACAGATATTAAAAAAAATGATTTTTACGTTTTTAAAAGAAAATTAAAATATCTTGCACAAGCAGAGTGTTACCAAAATATGGGTGGACTAAATGCCCTATTTTGGATCTTTTTGTGACTCCTGTACCAAGCTGTAAATGAAGTGAATCCAAAATTTATCACAAACAATGGCAAGAGCTACGTATACAGTAAAACTCTGTTATAACGAAGTCACTGGGACGTATGAAATTACTTCGCTATATCCGTAATTCGTACTATCCATATAAGGATATTGTTAATATAAAGAACTATATGCGGTATATTGCATATATTTGCCCCCACAAAAGTCAAATTTTGAAAACTTCCTGAAATGTGCTGAATTCAATAAAATTGTAATGAGAAATATAAATTAACAGAAAATATTATAGTGTCAAAGCAGCGTATTCACAATTTTTGTTTTTATGACGTCACAAACTAGTCCGATTTTATATCCTTTTTCAGAAAGAGGACAAAATAGACAAAATTTCAGCAATTTTAGCTTTAAAATTTATAGAGCGCAAGTTTGTTCAGGAACAATATTGACATATTTCATTGATATTATCATTCTACACATTATATCAAAATATTGATCCTGAACACACATGCGCTCGGTGACTTTTACTCAAAATATCGACGTAATATGTACATTTTTCTCTAAAATTCATAAAAAACTTAAATTTACGTCATGTTTGTGACGTCATTACGTACATATGGCGTAATTTCTTATGAAAATATTCTGTGCTTTGAAGTCAGCATATACTCCTCTGTTTAAGAATTAATTAAATATATCTCCATCAAAGTTTGATTTGGGGGGCAAATATTGGTTATTACCGAATGAAGTTCTTTATATAGCTGGGGATCCAAAATAACTTCGCCATAACCATGAATTCGCAATATCCGTGTTTGTATGAGTTTTCTGTACTTGGTTATGTAAAGTGGAACATTTGAACAAAACAATGCTCTCTTGCCATGCATCAAAACTGAAGCAACGATACATGTCGTCTTAAGCATGAGATATTCATTAGAAAAAGATATAGATTTCATGTTAAATTTGTCAAAAATTTGTATGTTTAAAGACGTAGTTAAACTTTTAACAAATTTGTTATAATGACTAATTTTGTAATTTTCTTTTTCTTTGTTGTTTTTATGTTGGTTATGCTAAATACCGGGGTTAACTGGCAATTGTAAATGGGTATTGTTGGGAACTGTGTAATAAAAGATAAAAAAAAAAAAAAACCGATACATGTCGTCTTCCAGAATTTGACAAGTACCCGGCGTGTTTTTAGGGGCACATAATCAATATTTATAAGAGGCTGGGCTATCGATCGAAGTCATTGTTGACATCTCTCTATCCCCCCCTCTCTCTCTCCAAAATTCGAATTTTGTTTGGTCAATATGAAATTATTTTACAAATGTGATGACATGCATAACTAAAGCAACATTGAATTCGCTAAAACCTGAAAACGACAACCAAACACGCTCAAAGACATGACTTAGATCGAGGTCAGGTTGAAGAATATAAGATAACTGTTTTCACGAGTACACTCGCAGGTTGACATCACCTGACGAATTGTAATATTAAAATAATCAATCGAAGTAAAATCAAGGTTAACGCAGTCATAGCGTTTGTTTTGAACATATTTTTACGTTAAATTAAGTATGAGCACATGTTTGTTGGCTCTTCTCCTTTTAATAAAACATTTTGTTCAATATACAACTACAGTTTTCCTACGAATAGCTGACAAACATGCGCTGACTATGTATTAAGACGATCAAATGCGCATGACCCTGATTATCTATCGACATTCAAGAAATCTTCAGGCACCATGCCTTCGATATCTATTTAGTTTACCTCGAAAAAAGCGTTTTAAATTCACATCTGTACCATAAATACACGGTTAAGATATCGTTGATTTATATGATGAAAAAAAAATAAACATTTAATGAAACTTATATTTACAGCATTTTTTTCTGGCCAGTTAAGTCCACCCATTTTTCGTTTACCTTTTTCTATCTTTGTTCTTTCTACACAATTTTCTTTCACGGAAACTTTATTTTCAGTAAGAAAGCAGTGATAAACTTCCTTCCCCTGACAAAAGAATTTCGTCGATCTCTCCATCCACTCAGTTTCATTATACGGACATTTATTGACGTCTTGTGATTCAGAAGACGGGAATGCATCTGAAATTTATACATCCAATGGTCATATATCTGTTTAAAAATTCTTCTTAGTGATAAAAAATATTTCTTGTTGTAATAAGTTTTCTCTCTGTCTCTACCTGTGAATTAACGTTTTGATGTCCAATTAAGGAGCGTATTATCCACAATCAATTTTTAAACACACATATGTGTACTTTAATTATAGTTTTTACTTAATATATTTAGCTGATATGCTAACCTAGTATGGGGAAAAAGAAGTGAAAAAATTAAAACAACAAACAGTGATCAATATCAGAAATCTCCGTGAACTGTATTCATTTGTAAACAGGGTAATGTACGTATACAGGAAAATCCAGGGGTAGGATCAGGTGTAGGAGTAAACATTCCATATCAACAGTCTCGTTTAAAGTCATCATTTCGTAAATTCTATGGTCGATACAATGACCTTGTCAGCAAATACAATTTATCATTGAATGAAATGCTGACTGACGTTTTTCATATCAATTGTTAGTCCATTATTTATACACTGAATTGACCACGGATTTTTTCCGTTTTTTCCTGATTATGACAACGAGCACACGGCGGGTGTGACCGGTCGGCGGGGGGTGCTCACTCCTCCGTGGCACCTGGTCCCACCTCTGATGTTTCGGAGGTCCGTGTTTGCTCTGCTCTTGTTTTGTATATTTGTTTAATGGACGTTGAGATTGAATACTGTTCGTTATTTCCATATCCTTCTTATGGTCTCTTTTATGTCAAGTTCACTGGAGTATATCGAGTCGATACATAAAAAGGTATACATGAAGGATATGGAGATAGCGAACAGTATTCAATATCAAAGTCCATAAAACAATACAGAATAGTAGCAGAGCAAACACGGACCTCCGAAACATCAGAAGTGGGATCCTGGCATACTACCCAGAATCAATTTCAACTACCTTTTATAGTTCCATTGTTTATTTGAAATCTCATTTCTGAGTTAGCTCCGCTCATTTAATTAATAAACCAGTCCACTGGGACTGATGGTACTGCTTTCTGAGACTGCTTTAGATAGCTCTGCGACTGCTGTAGGACTACTCTTGGACTGTTGTAGGACAGCTCTGGGACCGCTGTAGGTCTGCTCTGAGACCGCTGTGGGAGAGCTTTAGCATGGGGACTGCTCTGAGACTGCTTTGTGTTAGGTTGGGTCTAGTCGGTACTTTATTTGCTGACAAGATCATTGTATCGACCACAAAACTTATGAAATGATGAATTTAAACGAGATTTTAAACAAAACTTAAACAATACGATATATCCTGGAGAGCTTTAGATAAAAGATTGCACAGAGTCTGACACATCTGTTTCATACTTGGATATTTTACTAAAAAGGAGTTAATGGTAATCTAACAGCCAAGCTATATGATAATCGTGATGACTTTAACTTTTCTTTCCTCATCTTCGGTACTTATGCAGCAATATTCCTTCATCACCTGCATACGGAGTATATATATCTCAGTTGATTCGATACGCAAGAGCATGCTCTACGTATGAAGAATTTCTTAAGCGTGATAAATTATTGACATTGATGAAACAAGAATATCAGCAGTCTCGTTCAATGTCATCATTTCGCAAGTTCTTTTATCTATACAATGACATTGTCAGCAAATTAAATTTATCATTAAGTCAAATGCTGATTGACGTTTTTCACACTAATATAATTGTTAGTCCATTGTTTGTACATTGAATTGTCGCCAGTTTTTTCCCCTTTATTTTCCGATCATGACAAGGAGCGCACGGCGGGTGTGACTGGTCAGCACGGGATGTTCACTCCTTCATGGCACCTGATCCCACCTCTGATGTTTCGGGGGTCCGTGTTTGCTCTGCTCCTATTTTGTATTGTTTTATGGACTTTGATATTGAATAATGTTTGTTATCTCGATATTCTTTTCTTAACATATTTTGTATTTTATCATTTCTGTTATATCGATCAAAGTTTGTAACCGTAACCTTTTTATAACAGACAAAATCAATAACGAATCAGGTGATACAAGACTCTGAAAGTATTTTTCTCGTTACAGTATTACTAGACATTTGTAGTTGAGAATAACAAATACTTACCTATCAGGTGAAATAAGGTCAGCGCAATAATGAAAGGCGAACTTAATTGAAAACCAGTCATTCTATATATCTGGTATTTTAACTAAAACGAAAGAAATGTTTACATTATATACTGAACAAAAAAAGGTATATATCTGAAAATATTTTGTTGTTCTTCAATTTGAAAGTAAAGGTTTACAATAAAACGTCCTATATAGGAGACACAAGAAAACATTGATGTAACCATCAATTGTCACCCGGAAAATATATAAAGTAAACTAAGGAAATGAATCTTGATCATCAAACCGCTTCAATGTGTGTGAAAAGGCGAGCGTCTAATTGATGGAGACGATAGTCGCCAATATTTAGAAAACTTATAGTCGGATAAAAATCAAACAAAAACGATACCATTTTAAACTTGATCAATTCTTCAAGTAAATGTTGGCTGCATAAAATA